GGTGGACCCACACCTGCTAACACTTTGAAAAAAGGGAGATGGGCAAAAGAGGAAACCTTACAGCTCATCCCCCCAGATCCCACTGAAGCAGAGCTTCTCCCTAGAACCGAATCCTGGCCCGCCTGTTCTGTAGCTGGAACTGTCATCGTGCGCTGAAGGGGGGGGGGGGGAGAGGGGTCAGCTTGCCAGGCTATGCACAGGACTGCTGCCCCTTGCTAAGGGTCAGTGCCTATGGGCACCTGGGAGTACCAAGGCGATCTTCATCTGAGGCACAGGCGCTTTGCTGGAGCCTCTGTAATTAGGTGCACACATCGGAAGCTCTAAGCCTTTGGGCTAAGCAACTAATTTAGTGGGCAGCCTGCTGTTACTGCCAAAATGCCAGCTTCCCAGCACTGAATAGCTGAAAGGCACTTGTTAAGCCCATTACGCTCCAGCTGTACTTTTCCACCTGTTCAAAAGACCTAGTTCAGAGGCTACCCCCGTCCACTGCGTGAGTCACCCCAGCCAACCCCAAGTGCACACTTCTTAGGAGCACGTGCTGTGTGTGTGTGTGTGTGTGTGTGTGTGTGTGTGTGTGTGTGCTGGGGGGAATTGCAGGTCTTAGTTCCCACAATCTATGGCGATGTACACATTAAAAGTGCAGCAAGTTTGTTTCTCCCCCACCCCCCCGTTTCAAGTTTTTTTTTTTAACTTTTCACACACTAGACAAGGTGCAGGTGATGTCTTAACCCGATGCACGTTTTCTTATCTATGTCCCTATGCCTCCAGCTCCCCCCCCCCCAGCTGTCATTTGCACATGCACAAAGGCTGCCTCAAATGTGCACACCTGAGTTTAACTGCAGCTTATGTTTTCAGATTGGAAAGGCACTCTGCATATACCCAAAGACACTGTATTGGTATTGTGAAAGCTAATGCTCTCCCGATATTTTGGACCATCAGCCCCAGCAACGTAAGGCCTGTCAGATGGGATCAATGAGAGTTGCAATCCACAACACCTGCCGAGTTCCAGAATGGGGAAATCTCCACTAAATGGTAGGGCTTGGTTTTTGAGAGTTCTGGTCAAAAGACCTGATAAAGCAGGTTGCAGTGTAGCTACCCGCTGGCTTTCACACTTGCTCCCATGATCCGATGTAATCTCTGCTCAAAATCTCTGTTGGACTCTCCACTGGAGAGGCCAGGGTATTGGGCATAGGACCTTCTGCAATGCCGCTGTTCTGCCGCTGAACTGTGACCTCTTCCCAGCCATTTCCACACCCTCATATGAAGAATAGCTGGACTTGAGAAGGTGCAGGTAGACAGAGCTTTACAAGCACACACACTAGGAGCACAGCAGCAGCTGATGTTTTTAAAATCCAGACAAACTTTCACTACTGTTTGCCCCACACTGGATCCCAGCGAACGGACACCCTCTGAGGAACCCAACATGCCTCTGGCTCTGTAACATGGACTAACCCTCTCCCTGCTCCCTTGGATGCCTCTAATAGATTTCTCAGGGAGATTGCAAATTGTTCCCAACTTTAGCTGCGTATGAGGAGTCAAATCCCTACAGGAGGGGGAGGTCAGCGCAGAGGTGCTCAGAGTCCAGCGCCAGATGAGGCTCAGGTTATTCGCGTCCCACTCGCTAGAGGTCTAATTCACCCAATTAGAGGCTGGCTCCCTGCTTGCCACATTCCAGCTCAGGGCCATTTGTTTGTAGACCTTCCTCAGGACAAGACTTCAAGTGCGCTCAGCTGTGCAGTGCGCCAGGGCCCACATGCAAGATTTATACTCAATTTTCTGCCTGAAGAAGCAACTGTCACTCACGCCAGATCTTTAAAGATTATGCATAACCTGATGAGATGTAGCAGTCAAGGTAGTTTTGCCCAACTTAAACATCTAACTAAGCAGCAGCTGCACACCTGCACTCGTTGCAAACCTGCCGAATCACTCAGGCAATGTGACGGCCGCAGCTAGGTGACTGGGCTGCCGTGGCCTTCTGTGTCTGAGGTTTGGGGTTAAGCCTCGGTCTCTCCTCCACCCTCAACGCCTAGGACAGGCAGGCACCCCAGCTATTCCTGATTTTTGCCACCTAAGGAACAAGAATCAGCAATTTCTCTCCTCACCCTTAGTTCGGTAAATATGAGAAACTCTTCAGGCGCCTTAATTGAACACTGGAGAAGTTGCTTGTTAACTGTGTGCATTAAAGAGAGAAGTTGGACCCAGTCTCATTTTTGCAAGACACCCTGGGGGAGTCCATAAACCCTGTGTTTTGATTTTGGGTATGTGCAGGGGTGTAGGAAGGGGGGGGGGCGGTTGGGGTGGCCTGCCCTGGATGTCATCCCTGGGATGTGTGTGACAAAATGCCCCCCTGGGCGGATTGCTGTGCCCCCCCCCCTGGGCGCTGATCACTGTGCTGATCGCTGTGCCAATCACCCCCCGGGCAGCTCACCCCCCCCGGGTGCATATCATGTGTGCTGCTCTGGGTGCCCAAGCAGCTAGCTCCGCCGCTGGGTATGTGCGCTGTGATTTGTGCTTTATTTGTGTAACAGTTGATGTTACATTGTGTGCACACACGTGCAAAACCAGTTATTTATTTTAAACTGTCCAGAGAATTTTATGTTATATGGCGGCAGCAGTGGAGGATGTGTTGGGGCTGCCATTCACCTCCAGCTGAGTCACTGCGGTTACACCAGGATGGAGAAAGGGAGGGCACAGTGGCTGTGGTGAGGCTAAGGGGGTTGCAAATGTGCTTGCAAGAGCACCGGATTGGCTCCACTGGCATGTTTCTTCTGCCTGAGCCTTGATGCTGCACACCTCCACCACTTGGTCCCAGCATGCTGCAGCGACTCACCTGCATGAATCTCAGGTGAGCAGCTATTCAGTCTTGCTTCCATAGAGCAGTACACAAATGTCAATCTGTCATGGATGCTTTAGTTGAGATTCCTGCATTGCAGAGGGTCAGACTAGGTGACCCTCCAACTTCCAACTTGACAGTCCTATACTTAAGGTAAACAAACACAACTTTAGGAAGAGGATTTTATTTATTAGATATCTTATTAGATATCTTTACCAGAAGGTTCCATGACAGGTAACCGTAATAAAATGTACTCTTCCCCTACCCTATTCCTTAGTAAAATGTTGCTGTTGCTGGTTTTTGTTTTATATTGATTTTAATACATAGGAAAGGTTTACTTTAATATAAATCTACATCTATAACTTTAGATAGACATTGTGGCGTTTGCCCTCCTCTGTGTGAGACATCATACTGGGTTCATAGGGAAAGGGTTAACTAATTGTAAAATGACTAACCAATGGGAACCCAGGGGGCAGAGTTAACTGTGTACAGTGGTACCTCGGGATGTGAACTGGATCCGTTCCGGAGCCCCATTCGCATCCTGAACAGAACGTAAGACGCGTCTGCGCGTGCGCTGGTCATGTTTCGCCGCTTCTGCGCATGCGTGTGACGTCATTCTGAGCGTCTGCACATGCTTGAGCGGTGCAACCCGGAAGTAATGCGCTCCATTACTTCTGGATCGCCACGGAGCGCAACCCAAAAATACTTATCCTGAAGTGTATTATACTTGCCGATCAGAAGGTCGGCGGTTCAAATCCCCACAACGGGGTGAGCTCCCGTTGCTCGGTCCCTGCTCCTGCCAATCTAGCAGTTTGAAAGCACGTCAAAGAGCAAGTAGATAAATAGGTACTGCTCTGGCAGGAAGGTAAACAGTGTTTCCATGCGCTGCTCTGGTTTGCCAGAAGCAGCTTAGTCATGCTGGCCACATGACCCGGAAGCTGTACGCCGGCTCCCTCAGCCAGTAAAGCGGGATGAGCGCCGCAACCCCAGAGTCGGCCACGACTGGACCTAATGGTCAGGGGTACCTTTACCTTTACCTTTTTGATTGTATGAGGTTTAAGCACAGAGGATATTTTTTTTGAGAGTTAGGGTGGTTGAGAAGACAAGTCTGTGGGTTGGACTAGTCTGGTGTGAGAGAGAGTGAGAGAATTTGTTAAGAGGAGTCAGTCAAACAGTTGAGATCATCAGTCAGAGAGTATTAGGAAGGTATAGGCCGGTAAAGAAACTAAAGTTAAGATACTGATGGGAATATTATCTGAGAAACCATAAACTTGTTAACGTTTGTAAAATAAACTTGGTTTTTTTGGTTCACTTTTAACAACTGTCTGGACTCAGTGTTTTACCAGAGAGTAACGGGTTGGTGGCAGCGAGGAAGTGAGCACAGTGGTGGCACAGGGATCAATAGACCGTTAAACGTCCGGGGACCCTGTGTGATCGCCACACGCATCTTATTAGAGGGCATTTGAAAGATAGATCTGATTGCTTCTATTATTAATGGTTGTTCAGTGATTTGTTGTTTTAACGGATTGTGTTTACTAAAATAAAAATCTGGGGCGGGGGGGGGGACAATAAGACATACCATTATAAAACAATTACCACCATAAAACAAGAAAAGTATAAAAGCAGTTCCACATATAAATCAATTCCATGTATAAAAGCAAAACAAACCTTTAAAAATAAGTCCAAATATAAAAGCAATTTAAAATAGTTCCAAAAAAACAGCCCCCCCCCCCCATTTCAGGGAATAATAAGTTCTTTTGGCTCAGATCTCTTATAAACATTTGGACCTGATTAAAGTTGTAATAATTAGAAAAGAAGGAATGAAAAGATAGGAAGCATGTTTTCCAACAACTAATAACTGCAGTGCTGCAATCTTTAATTTTAAAAGATTTATTAAAACCACATTGCAAAAAGTCTAAGGCTGTGCCTGATCTTCAGATGCTACTCCTAGAAGTTTTTTGTAATTTATTTTTCTTACGGCTAAAGGATCCCCCCTCTTGTGCTCCACGGGAACGTAGGAAGCTCAGTGCATCTCACGCAGTGTTGCCTACATACTGATGGCAACACCTCCAGGATTTCAGACTGGGGTCTCTCCCAGTCTTACCTGTGTATGCCAGGAACTGAACCTGTGACCTTCCACGTGCAAAGCTCTTTTGGGGGGGGGCATTTAGTCATTTAGTTGTGTCTGACTCTTCGTGACCTCCTGGACCAGAGCACTCCAGGCACTCCTGTCTTCCACTGCCTCCCGCAGTTTGGTCAAACTCATGCTGGTAGCTTCGAGAACACTGTCCAACCATCTCGTCCTCCGTCGTCCCCTTCTCCTTGTGCCCTCCATCTTTCCCAACATCAGGGTCTTTTCCAGGGAGTCTTCTCTTCTCATGAGGTGGCCAAAGTCTTGGAGCCTCAGCTTCAGGATCTGTCCTTCCAGTGAGCGCTCAGGGCTGATTTCCTTAAGAATGGAGAGGTTTGATCTTCTTGCAGTCCATGGGACTCTCAAGAGTCTCCTCCAGCACCAGAATTCAAAAGCATCCATTCTTCGGCGATCAGCCTTCTTGATGGTCCAGCTCTCACTTCCATACATCACTACTGGGAAAACCATGGCTTTAACTATACCGACCTTTGTTGGCAAGGTGATGTCTCTGCTTTGTAAGATGCTGTCTAGGTTTGTCATTGCTTTTCTCCCAAGAAGCAGGCGTCTTTTAATTTCGTGACTGCAGTCACCATCTGCAGTGATTATGGAGACCAAGAAAGTAAAATCTCTCACTGCTTCCATTTCTTCCCCTTCTATTTGCCAGGAGGTGATGGGACCAGTGGCCCTGATCTTAGTTTTTTTAGTGTTGAGTTTCAGACCATATTTTGCACTCTCCTCTTTCACCCTCATTAAGAGGTTCTTTAAATCCTCCTCACTTTCTGCCATCTAAATTGTGTCATCTGCAAATTTGAGGTTGTTGATATTTCTTCTGGCAATCTTAATTCAATCTATGTCAGAATCTTGGATCCCATTTTAAGACTGCCTTTACCTCCAACAATTTGTCACTTTCCTCAGAGCAAGGGGGGGGGGAAATAAAAAATAAAATAAAAATAAAGACTTGTACCTATTAAACAGTTGGCAAAGTACATCATTCTCAACTATCTTCATCACAAGTTGCCCCTTTCCCAAAATCTCTGGAGGATCTTTTTCTCTGCCTGTATTCCAGTTGCGTTAAAGAATCCAGCTTCTCCCTTCTGGACCACCAACAGCACCTGAAATTCAGCAGATGGTGCACAGGATGAGCAATTGCAAATGTGCCAAAGTTAATTACTTAAAAGTCTCTAGGGCTGATCGTGGCAAAAACCTTTTGCACTTGTGTAGCTCCTGAGAATGCGTGCAGCTGAACAGGCTTCAATTATAGCAACGGCGCAGGCTAAGAAATGAGCATAGACGGGAAGAGACAGAAGGAATAACAAAACGACACAAACCACGTGTGCAAGGAGTGTAACTAGGATGGGCCGTTGCCCCTGGCACTTCTGCAACTTGGGTGAAAAGACAGGGAAGGGGGTAACCTAAGGAGTATTGACCCAGACCCTCGGAAGCTGGCAATGACCTGTAATGGACATGATTTCCCACAGTCAAGACGAGCGGGGGGGGGGGGGGGCAGTCAGTCAGAAGAGGAAGAAAGAGACTTGTCTTTTTCTCAGCTAGTTGAAGGCAATGGGCTAAAAAAACCAATGACTGCGTATAATAAATCTTCTTGAAAATACAACCACTGCTTGCTGATTACCTAAGACGGCTGCCCGCCAGTTCCTGACACTACCTGTTAAAGCAATTGGACTCCATAGCGAAAGGCTGGCCACCCTGCCTACGGGCAGTAGCAGCCAATGGTGGGGTTGGTGAGTTTAAGAAAGGACGAAAACATGTCCCTGTTATATACACCCAGAAAGTATTAAGGGAGATCAATGACACCAATTGCTGGGTGGGACAACACGCAGTGACACACACTGCTTAAGGACTTCCTTACATAGCACTCCTGCTAAGCCTAACTGAGCTCAGCTCCACAAGAGTCCCATTATCTTGTCCCCAAATTACATCCACATTTCCCAGCCAAAAGCACCTATAATTGGATTGCAGACTGAAATTAACTCACTGGGGAAAATGGCATTAGACACGCCCCCCCTTGGCCCGGGAGGGAGGCCTCTGCACCCTATATTAACCAGTCCTGCATTTATTATGTAAACCAGAGTGGTATCTGCAACCCTGATAATTGCTATTGTATTGGAACTTGGGTGTATTTCCTTTCCTTTCCTGAATCAATGCTGTTCTAGGTTTGCTCCCCAGCACCCTCAGTTGTCACCAATGCCATTTATCTTTTAGAAGTGTGGTACCATTGAAGGAAGGCGAGAGCATCAGTTGAGAGATGCGGGTGGCGCTGTGGGTTAAACCACAGAGCCTAGGACTTGCCGATCAGAAGGTCGGGGGTTCAAATCCCCGCAATGACGGGGTGAGCTCCCGTTGCTCGGTCCCTGCTCCTGCCAACCTAGCAGTTCAAAAGCACATCAAAGTGCAAGTAGATAAATAGATACCGCTCTGGTGGGAAGGTAAACGGCATTTCTGTGCGCTGCTCTGGTTCACCAGAAGCGGCTTAGTCAAGCTGGCCACATGACCCGGAAGCTGTACGCCGGCTCCCTTGGCCATTAAAGCGAGATGAGCGCCACAACCCCAGAGTCGTTTGCAACTGGACCTAATGGTCAGGGGTCCTTTTACCTTTACAACAAAAAATGAATAATGAAGTTGCTGGGTGGGAAACCCAGCCACCTCATTATTTACTATTCATGAAATTTTGACGCCACCCTTCCTTTGAGTGTCACAGGGTGGTTTGCAGTGTGAGGGAGGCAGGAGAGGGACTTTCCTCGCCAAAGTCCTAGAGGGGCAGGGACGTCTTTACCATCAGGCGTAGTGGTGTGGCAAGCCAGGGCACCAGGCCGTGGAGGCTGCCAGGTGAGAGTCCGGGGAGGGGAGAGCGGGGGCTTGGTGCCTGCGTGCCTCCAGCACTCGGAGGCGGGAAGTCTCCGGATTCTTTCCCGCAGTCCGGAGCTCTCTCTGCTGGCTCCGCAACACACAACCTCCTTGGCTGCATGGTGTGTGCATGCATCCCAGGCTTTGCACATCATAAACGTGACTCTACCACTGCTCCCTGGTCCACTTGACCTCAAAAGATCCCCACGCAGGTCCAGAGGGGGGGGCATATGGGCCACTTGGCCCGGGCCTCTGATTCCAAAGGGGGCCTCAGTCAGCATATTCACAATTGCGGGGGATGCACTGGGGTAAACTCGGAGGCGCAAAGGTGGCGGTGGTGGAGGGTGGATTCCCTGGGGCCATGGCTGGCAGTCTTTCTTTCGATCAAAAATGGCTCGAGAACGCCTAAATGGTTTGGCAAGGATAAACATAAACATAAACCACGATAAGGCGAAGTTTCTTGATTTTTCCTGCACAATTCCACAATTTGCAGAAAAGAAAGCTAGGAAAGCATTTTTAAATGGAAAAACTTAAAGTAATCCTTTTCCCTATGTATTTTTAAAAAGCACTATTGTATAATCTATATTTTCCATTTTGTCTTTATATGCGGATACGGTTCAAGCCTTGAAATAGAATTATTTGTCAGCATAACGTTTGTGAAAATTATTTATATGCTTACTTATTTACAAGACTTCAGTTATCCCCAGGGTAAAAAAAAAAAAGGTGGGGGCACATTATCTACATGGCCTGGGCCTCTGCAAGGCCCTGCGCTTGAGGCTACACGCTGCGGGAGCAGCCTTTCCTAAAAAGGGTCAACAACTTGGGGGTCCCCCCTTAAAAAAGGTTGATAACTCTGGGAAACGGGGTGGGGGGCCGCCGGATATGCTTAAGAAGGCCCTGCCGAGGGGCTTCGTGTCCCCTTTGGGATGGGAGCGGAGGGAGGGAGGAACGGATAAGACTCTCGCTTTGAGCCCTGAGGGCGGCTAAGGAGCCGTTTCTTCTGCTTGCTCTTCGCTTCCTTCCATGTTTCGGACCCTCGGCTCCATTCCTCCCTTTTCCGCCATCTTCGCCTCCATGGAAACCTTTGCTCCTCTTTGGGATTGTAGGACAAGACCTGCCAAGGAAAATAAAGAACTTATTTATGTATGCTCCAGCAGCGGCAAGAGTCTTGATTGCCCAAGATGGAAGAACGAAGAAGCCCCGACGAAAGGAAAGTGGCAAGAGAAATTGATGAACTATGCAGAACTGGCTAAGCGGATACACAAACTGCGAGACGAGGACACTGCGCCTTCAGAGAAGAACGGGAACTTTTTACAAATTACTTAAAATACAACAAAATGAATTGGGCTCCTTGGCAGGTTTTGAATAAACACACACAAATGTATTGACTATTAACATAAGTAAGATAATATATAGAATTGTGCAACTTTACAGTATGCAGAGAGTATGTGGTGAGAAATCAGAGAGGAGCTGAGGGAAGTCTGGGGGAGGGGAAATAATGAATACGACATGTTTTGATATTTTGTCATGTTGAAATTGTTAATAAAAAAATCTTTTTTTTTTTAAAAAAGGGAAACCTTGGCTCCTCTTTTAACCAATCAATGAAAACAAAGCGGAATGAAGGCCCCGCGCGGGGTTTCAAATGAGAGAGAGAGAGAGAGAGCTTTTTATTTGGGTGGGGCGTGTGGTTTAAACGCGACGAAGGACCGAGGCCTTCCGAGCCCCTTTCCCTCAGCGCCCAGAGGAACCGTCTCCCTCAGGTTTTGGCGGGAAAGGGGCGGGGCCTTGGGCGTGACGCAGCCGCTGAAGCCCCGCCTCCTCCCTCCCTCCCTCCCTCCCTCCCTCCCTCCCTCCGAGGCCGCTTCCGCTTCCGCCGCCGCCTGAGGGGAAACCGAACCATCCCGAGCAAGATGGCGTCGCTCTCCGTCTTGCAGGCCTCGCCGGCCGGGGGATTCAGCTTCCACAACTGCGCCCGGTCAGTGGCGGCCCCGGCGGGGGGGGGGGAGGCAGGAGGCGGCGTCTGGCCGGGGGGGGCGAGGGCGGCGTCGGCGTCGCGGGCGCCGGGGGGGAGGGAGCCGGGCGGGCGGTGACTCAGGAGGCTGCGAGGCCTAGCGAGGCCCTGGCGCGGGTGGGAGGGAAGGGGCTCCTCTGAAGAAACAACAGCAATGGTAATAAGTAGCGCGCGTTTCCCCGCGGATCTTCCTTCACGGCCTTCGGATTCGCCTGAGCGCTCAAGCCGCCCTGGGACCCGGGGACGCTGCAGTCTTCGCGGGGGGGGGGCGGGAGGAGGAGGAGGCCCCCCCCGGGAAGTGGCTGAGCGAGACCCCCGAGGGCCGCCCGTGGGGCGAGGGGAGAGGCGGCGGGGGACCTTGATCTCAGAGAGAGAAGGAAGGGCTGTCGCTTCGTCACTGTCAACCTCTTGGAAAGCTCACACCTGAGGGTTTCTTATCCACGCGTGGATTTCTTTCCTCCTCAGTAACTAGGCAACTGACGGAGGGGGGAAATAGCGCTCAGGTTCTTTGCGGGGGGGGGGGAGACGGGAATAATAATAATAATAATAATTTATATCCTGCCCTCCCCAGCCAAAACTGAGCTCAGAGCGGCTAACATCAAATGTATGACACATTAACATAAAATCACACAATCAGTTAAAATACATCCTAAAATCAGATCAAGATCAGCATAAATTCCAGTCAGATGGCAACCTGCAGATTAGGGTTGGGGGCCTTCAATGCTCATCAGGCCCAACTGTTTGTGCTGAACTTATTGGGAGGCCACTTCCATACAAGTTCTTATGAAAGGGGATGGGGAGTCAGACTGAACCCCGACCAAAAGCCAGGCGGAACAGCTCTGTCTTGCAGGCCCTGCAGAAAGATGTCAAATCCACCTTTTTATCATGCTGGGCAGCTCACGCAGTGGCTTTCAACCTGTGGGTCCCCAGATGTTGTTAGACTACCACTCCCATTATCCCTGAGCTCTGGCCTTGCTAGCTAGGGGTGATGGGAGTTGTAGGTTCGATCCCCGCGTGGGACGGCTGCATATTCCTGCCTTGCAGGGAGCTGGACTAGGACCTGGTGATCCTCTGGGTCCCTTCCAACATTGCGGTGCTATGAATCCCATGTTTGCCAAATCGTATCTCCTCCCGTAGGAGCAAATGGTTGCTAGTTCTGCCACCCCCAATTATAGCGGCGGGGAGGGTAGAAGAGAATTGCAGGTATGGGGGGAGCGTGAGGGTTGTTGATTTGGCTCCAAACTGCTTGTGTGTGCGCTGTCACCACCAAGGGAAAACACACTTGCCTGCTCCCCAATAGGGTGGGTGGAGCACGCAAAAGCGATCCAGTGTTGTAACCGACAGGTAGTCCAGCCCTTGGGCAGGCTTACTTAGAAGGTAAGTAAGGTTTGATTTCATTCTAGCAGGACCTGCTTATACTCTTTAATTTCTAACAATAAAAATTTTAAGTGCATGACCAGCGTCCAAGGTGTGTGTGTCCTATAATGAACTAGTCAGGGGGCCAGATTCAGGAAGCGATGGGGGTAGGTTGTTTCTTCCTGACAGGGCTTTCTTCCTTTTATTAAATCGGGAGGTGTGGGGTGTTGTTGGGCTTGGTGCTTGCATTGGTTCCTTTTGCTGCATTCACTTCTTTCTCGTCCTCTGGCAATTAGCGTAGCCAGGATCTCCTTACACCATTTATGGAGAAGACTTTTTAATTTTTAGCACCAGTGCCTGGTTTTCATGATTACCTCCTGTTGTAGGAATTCTCATCTTGAAGCGGAGGGGACCAAGAAGGGCCTGCGTCTTCCCACAGCCCGCAAGACTGGCACCACCATTGCTGGGGTAGTGTTTAAGGTGAGGCCCAATGCTTTTTGCAGTAATATCAGCTTTTTCAGTGTTTGTCCTATGCATGTCTACTCAGAAGCAAGTCCCGCTAAGCTTAGTGACACTTGCTTCCAGGAAAGTGGGCATAGGATTGCCATCTCCCTTTCTTTCTCTAGGATGGGGTGGTACTTGGAGCAGATACAAGAGCCACTGAAGGGATGGTTGTTGCTGACAAGAACTGTTCAAAAATACATTATATATCTCCAAACATTTAGTAAGTATATATATTACTAACCTTTTTCTAGGCCTGCTCATGACCACAGATTTTCTGGAAGTGGAAAGTTGCAAAGTATTTGTTTCTAATGGAGGGAACCAGGGAAAAGTAGGAAGAAAAAGCATGGGTGTTTAATTGTTCATGTTTCACAAAGGGATTTCTCTGTCCTGAATATAACCACCTGCTTTAATGGACTGTCTAGTTAGCTCTTGATTCCTACGGAGTGGCAAATGTGTTCCGGGGGTGTGTGGGGCAGCTGCCAACCAAGTGTGGCCATGGCTTCTAGATAATTGTTCAGAAGCTGCTTGTTTACTAAACGAAGTAAATACGTTTGCAGTTGTTGCGGTGCTGGAACGGCCGCAGACACAGAAATGACAACTCAGATGATCTCTTCTAACATGGAACTCCACTCACTCTCTACTGGACGTCTTCCAAGGGTGGTCACAGCCAACCGGATGCTCAAGCAGATGCTCTTCAGGTAACTGGCTTGTGGACTGAGCGGTGCTGTTGCCACTCTTTGCCTCCTCCCCTTTCTCCCTTCATTCAGTTAAGCAGTGTAGTTGGGAAAGTTCAGCAGTCGAGTGGCATGTTCTAAAATATGTGTGTGTTTAAACAATTTTACAAGCAGAAGCCTTCAGGGCAGCATTTAAAAATGGAAACTTTTGTGTTTGTCATCAACATTCAAAATTAACCAGTCTCCAATCTCTTTTTCGACTCAGTGGCGCCACCTAGCAACCAAAATGAGATTTCCAGCTAGGTGATTTGTGACCAAGGTCTCTGGCTGTGCAGGAGAGCCAAGGCAGCATCTGAAGCGGGGGTCCCTTTCTGCTTGCTCCCCAGGGAACTTTTTGATGTGCTAAAGGAATTTCTCCCTGGGGCCCAAAGCAGCCTTACTTGTGGTTCTTTCTCACTGCTGTTTTTGTTACCACCCCGAAATGCAAGTGTTTAAATACCTCCCATCTAGCTGTGGCTGCCAGGCCACTGCACACTTCTGCCCAAAGGCTTGGACTTGCCAGCAATGAGCTGCTGACCATGGGAAAGAGAGTGTGACCCCCCATCACATGGTGGGAGAGAGGAGGGTGGGTGGACGGACTGGTGGGAGGGAGGCAGGATTATGCAAAAACGAGATCTCCAGAGCACAGTCTCTTCCAAGGCTGCTAGGGGAGGGGATGAATTGGAAAGGACTCCTTACTGAAAAAAAGAGAGAGAGAGAGAGAGAGAGAGAGAACACAAACCAGAAGCTGCAGTGTGCCTCATTGCATGGCCACTTCCTCTACACCACAGTTGCATGTAGGCTTTGTGTGGCATCTCGGTGCCCTGTGTGGAGGGAGGGAGTCGGGAGGACTAGCCCCTCACCACAGCTGATCAGCCTTACTTCCTCCTGCCCTTTGCTTCCATGCCCTTCCTGCCCAAAGCTTTCACCCTGCTCGCCTCCAGAACAGGCTGGCTGGAGCCACTGGCACATCCTACCGAGGGGGGCAGAAAAACTGCAGCAGAGAGGGAGGGAGAGGCAGAGGATGTGCCCCTTTGCTGTGTGGGTGGCTGCTTGCTGGGGATGGGTGGCTGGCTTGTGTGAGGGATACCGCCTATCTGCTGGCCTAGCAGAGCAGGCAGGCAGGAAGCAGCCCTTTATGGGATGTGGGTGGTGCTGTGGGTTAAACCACAGAGCCTAGGACTTGCTGATCAGAAGGTTGGCGGTTCAAATCTCCGCGACGGGGTGAGCTGCTGTTGCTCAGTCCCTGCTCCTGCCAACCTAGCAGTTCAAAAGCACATCAAAGTGCAAGTCGGGAAGGTAAATGGCGTTTCCGTGCGCTGCTCTGGTTCGCCAGAAGCGGCTTAGTCATGCTGGCCACATGACCCGGAAGCTGTACGCCGGCTCCCTTGGCCAATAAAGCGAGATGAGCGCCACAACCCCAGAGTCATCCACGACTGAACTTAACTGTCAGGGGTCCCTTTACCTTTACCTTTAAAGCCTTTTATACTGCAGAGTAAAGGGCTGCTTCCTGCCTGCTGAATCTGCAAGGCGAGAGAGATGCGGCTCTGTGAGCCTGCCTCCACCCGCCAACTCCATGTGTCTACGTCTCTGGCTGGGACTCTTTGTCCTCCAAGCCAGAGACGGGGCAATGCACAGCTGACAGGTGGGCAGACAGGCAACACTTCCTCCTCACCCCTCTCTCTTTGGGAAAACCTCAAGTCCCTGTGAATCAAACCAGTGGTGAAGGCTGCCGGGTGCGCGGCCACCATGTTTCCTCTTTGCTCAACTTCTGTTTGCGCAGCATAAGCGGGGTGGGGGGTGGGTGCAGGTTTTGAGGCAGCTGCTTTATACTCTCTGGGAAGCCCATCAGTTTCACGAGAGGAGTCTTGATGTTTCAACACCCTTGTTTTCCCGCTCCCTTTTATGGGTTTAAATAAAAGTGAGGGGTTTTCCCATGCCTTTGAACTGCCGTCACCACCGGAGTTTGTGTGCATTTTGAGAGAGAGAAAACTCTTCACAGAACTGCATGGCTTGCACTGCTCCTGCCCTGCTTTTGCAAGTTGGCTGTGGGTGTGCTCTTTTGGTGCTGCGCTGCTTGCAGATCCCCTGGCTCATGCAGGCACACAGTCCTTTTTCCTTTTTTTTTTTTTAATAGTTTTTATTAAGAATTTCAACATAACAAATTATCAAAAACATATCATCTTCATTTCTCCCCTCCCTCTGCAACAACCTTTTTTTCCAATGAAAAGGCACCTAGCATTCTTGTAGTGCCTGGAATGCAGGTTTAAGATGTCGTTAGGCTCCTAGCTTTTATACCCCAGTTTCTAACACTGTTTGGAATGCGTTTCTGGTGTTCACACACTCTTATGCTACACACATTCATGTCTTCCAGGTATCAAGGTTACATTGGTGCAGCCCTGGTTCTGGGTGGGGTAGATGTCACTGGGGCCCATCTTTACAGCATCTATCCTCATGGATCTACTGACAAATTGCCTTATGTCACAATGGGTGAGTCTTTCCCTCTTACAATTTAGGTAACTGCAGTGCCCACTAGTGGAAATCTGTCGTAATTAGTTTTTCTTTCCTCATCTTTACTCGTGTGTGTGTGTGTGTGTGTGTGTGTGAGAGAGAGAGAGAGGGGGGGGATTCTGAAATGTCGTTAGCGTTGTAGAAAGTGAAAGTAAAACAGGGATCTCATTCTTTGTGTGATCATATCTCTTGATGCCTAATAATAATACTTTAAATCATTGGCAAATTGTAAATGGCTGGGTGGGGAGATGGGAAATACAGCTTGTGCAAATTTGCCAGAGACTCCCAGAGTGTAGCTTCAGTGCTGAATGGCAAATGTTTTGCTAAATCAAATCCCAAGGCAGTGGTTCTTCATCAGAACATTAAAGCAAACACACACAAAGTTTCTGAAATGCCATCAGAACCTCTAGAGAAATTACACTATAAGGATGATTTTAGATTTCTTAAAGCAGCCCTGTAGCTTATATAGGGGTTGTCAGCAGCAAAAATAATGTTAGCTGACTGAAAATACAGATGTGTAGCCCTTGTCAGTGGAGAGTGCGAGAGCTTCTAATTTTTTGTTTTTTTCCTCTTCAAATGGATGCAGTAGTTAATAGGCAAATGCTACTATGGATGTTTGGTTCACATTGATTCAGTTCATTCTGACCCCAATTTCACTTTGCTCTAATGCTTTGCCGCCTATATGTACAAAACCCCCCACACCTCTGTGTTTACTAGGGTCCAACATTTTTCTTAAATTACTTGAAGAAATGATGTGTGTGTGTGCGCAGAAGCATCTCTTACAGGTAGCCCTTGCTAGATTATGGAAGAGGTGTACTCAAAAATTACTGCATCTGTATGGTTTATTTTGATGTTCTTTCATGCCAGTGTTCGGGAAAATTGGAGTCCTGGGCATAGAGAAGCTTAGAACAACAGAGTGTAGCTTTTTTACACCAATAGATGGTGCCATGGTACCCTACAAAGTAGTAAATTATTTATTCTGTGCATGAAATCTATTTTTGAAAGAATGCTATTATAGGATTTATGATGTAATATTCTATTCATACCCTTATATGAATTAACATAAAATATGAAATTGGATTAATATTTATAAATGTGCCCTGAAACTTATAAATTATTAAACTGCTGAACAATAAATTACCTTGCTGCATTTGTATAGTGAATGATTAGTGACCCAAAACTGCAGGATTCATGTCTGCCTTGCACCAAGAATCCTTTGACTCTGTTTTGTTTGAAGCTGTAGAGCATGGCTATCCTATGAATATTGTTCACTGAACCAAGGGAAAGAAATCTGACTGGTAAGGACTGCTGTCATTAAATGGGAATAGGCTTCTAAGCCTATGAAGCCTGACAGTATTAATCTGTCTGTTTTATCTACTATGCTGCTATTCCTTTAAAAAGAGAAGAAGAAGAAGGCTGCAATTCCAGCATGTTTAAAAGCAAACCACACTGAACTCCACAGCACTTGTTTCCAAGTAAACGTGCTTAGGGTTGGGCTATTGCATACCTGACAATGCTTCATTACAGGGTACATTGTGCAAATCTCTGGTCTGGTAAATATCATACAGTATGGACAACTTCAGTCTACTGTTTAAATGATTTGTCCAAATGTAGGGGCCATGTTTTAGATGTGATACTGCAGGCTGAGAGTCTGAAAAATGAATTTCTTGCTCCAGTGTGCAGCATACCTAAGGCTTAGGGATTACAATCTTAAAATGATCATAAAACCAGACATCAAAATTCATGCCCTCAAGCTCTGTTCTTGGGATGGATATCTGGCACAGACATGAATGTCTTGCAGTGCCTCTACATTGACACAACCCAGTTTTGGCCTCTTCTGGAAAGAAAGGAGCGCATCCTTTTGATGGGCAGGTGTGATGCAATATGAACACAGTTTGTGTTTTTAGTACTCCCGTGAAGGCTGACTGATCTCTTATGTGCCAAAATATTAGCATGATTTTTAAACTCAACATTTTGACAAGCTCCGCACTTAGGTTGGTGGCAGAGAATACATGTTTAAGCCAGAAGGACTTAGCTATCACAGCAGAATAGTAAATACTCAGACCTGCTCATATTTGATAAGATGTTAGGCACAGACAAGGCAGCAGTATTACTATTCCATGATTCCTCCATGTATCTACAAACTGAATGCTAATTTCCCCATACCTTTCTCTTGTTGTTTTAAGCAATATTTTACATGTGTGTGCGTGTAAGGCCTATGTATTGTTGCTCAAAACAGGCAAAGAATAGAAACCCAGCGTTTTGTGCCTAAATAAGAGACCAGTGTCGTTCCTTAGAAGGAGTTTAAAACATACTCAGTGCTTACTCAGGAGTGAAAACATCAAATTAAAGTGTTTATGCTGACAAAGGACAAATGCGGATTTCAGCAAACGATGCAAGATTGTCTGATTGCTGGCTTGTCTAGAAAAGCTTCTGGCCATGGCTATATAATGAAATGCATGCATACAATTAAAGGGCTTGAAGTCTGTACTTCAGACTTGGGAAGCAGCAAGATGCATTCTGGTGGTCTCTTGTGGCTGAGGCTGATCTCTTGGCACCAGTATTGTTTCATATTCATAAATCAGCTCTTCATGCATTGGCAATGGCTGTCTGCCGCACAGGCAATGCCACCAAGAGACCAGGCCTCTCAGCCAGGAACCAGAGTGAAAAATGATGCCGATCGATGGGTCTGTGGAGAGCACTGGATATCTACCTAGGAGGAACAGCAAATTGAATAACAATGAGCGTTTGTGAATAAGTGCGCTGTCAGGGACTGTTGACACTGATGGATTAGAGAAATCTAAATGTTACTCTCTTCACAGCGCATTTGTTTGCCAGTGTGGCAGGCAGAGGCTGCAGCAAACAGGTTCTTGAGTGCTGGAAGATGCAGAAGGCTATTTAGTAAAAGAAAGCACTCTTCACTGAATGTTTGACGTTCAGAAGGCTGCTAACTGCAGTGTGCAAATGGACAAGTCCAATATCGGTTAAATATGGGACAGCAAGGTCATTTTAAAACACAAAAAGTATTTCTAGGTCATCAGATGTATGAAGAGGAATGCTGTGACTCTGTAATGTAACTGTAAAGAGAACATCATTCAGATATTATTATTATTATTATTATTATTATTATTATTATTATTTATATATTGCCCTATACCCGGAGATCTCAGGGCAGTTCACAGAAAAGATTCCCTTGTTATTCTTTCTGGGTCTAATAAAAAAAAATCACTCTTGAGATTGGTGTAGAACTTATTTCTAGGCTGTTTTTAATTTAAATGCAGGTAGCACTGAGAAACTTATGTGCCCTTATGTGTAAAATAAACTCAGTTTATTTTAAAATATTTTAAAAACCACCCTTTATCAGTTAAGATATCCGGATGATGTGCAGAATAAGACCAAAAGTGTCCATATAAGCACAAAAGCCCCACGTATAAAATACAGCCTAAACAACTTTACAAGGCAGCAAAATATAATAGGGGAATGACACACGCAAAGCAGCTCAAGCAAGCAGGAAAGTTTTGAATTGGCACTGTGAAAGATGACGTTGTCGGTGCCTGTGAAATTCTGTGGGGATGTTCCACAATTGAAATGCCATGACAAGAGGCATGTTCCTTCTTGTAGCATGTTCAATAAGAGCCTGGCCCACAGCAGGTTGTAAGGTGGTTGTAGGCTGGTGTAGGGGCAGGTGCTGCGTCAGGCGTTTTAAGAGCATGCTCTCGCAGACTGCCTTGTGACCAGCGTGGTGCAGTTCTCTTCAGTGTTGGGGGGCGCATGGCATCCAGAGAGGTCCGTGCAGCTCCTGTCCCCAAATGTAGGCCTGTTGACTGGGCTTCCGGCGTTGAAGAGAATGAGCTAATTGATGAAGCTGCCTTGAGTATTTTGTGGTGCTTTGAGAAAGCGAGGGTGGTCTGTTACCCAGGCTTGCCGCCCAATGTTCTGGTTTAGTGCCTCTCACTTCATTAACCCTTTTGTGCTGTTTTTGCCAAGCTATATGCCATGATAGCCATCGTTTAAAATGCCAGCTCTGTGTCTTGGTCACACACCAGCATGGTCAAGGAATGGGAAACCAGGGTGAAGCTGTGCAGAAAGAGGCTGCCTCCCCTAGTTGAGAACATCGTTCCTGGACATAGCACCTCCTCTGCTCCAAGGAGTGAGCTGACGAGTGCTTGGGGTGAGAGATAGGATGTGCCCCCCCCCCCAAGGCAATATCCAGTCTCTGAATCCATTAAGGCTCTTCTTTGAAAGTCAAAAATGAGAGTGCTGCAGCTGCAAAGATGGGGATCAGAACCCTGCCCCTACCACAGATGGTTGGGGAACTGGCTGTGTATAGATCTTTACAGTATGTTCTCTGTTCACACCCTACTCATCCCCTGCCTTCCAAAATGTTGGGAATTTTGCTAGCGTGTGAATGCAAAATGGGCTGTTTCAGAAGCAAGGCCTAGATATAAATTAAATAAAAAATAGATTGTTGTGAAATATTTCTTCTGCCTCATTACAGCTCTTGTCTTGCCTGTTAAAACTCCAGTGCGAGGCTCTCCTAGACATCTTGCTTGCCTCTTTTTCCACCTGATTCTGCTTATTCCCGTTGTGGGGAGCTTGGCAGTAAGGCTTGCCTCATAAACTGCATCCAGAGCAGCCCTTACAGGACTTCACTTTGACCTCCTTGTGGTTCAGTACAGTTCTTCTTGTTTGCTATTTTTGGCAGCTGGCATATTTTGTGCATGTTGCTCTCCTCTCCTGTTAGCCACTTGCAAAGAATTCCTTTTTGTTTCCCATTCCTGCCTTTCTGAAAATGGAGCTGTACGTGGTTCCGAGGCAAAAACGAATAGCCATTGCCTGGAGTATGAGAAGATGCTTTGTGCACCCCGCTGTTTATAAATGTGATGTATTTGGTACTGTAAAGGTAATGATCCTCAACCACAGCAATATTCCGTAACAGGAGGAGTCTTTGTCACATTCGCTGGAATTACCATGTTCATTGATTTGTGTCTGTAAATCTGCCTCTACCCTTTAAATTTGATCTATAATTGGACCTCCTTAAATGGTTCAGATAAGATAGTCTGTATTTTCTCAGCAATGTCACTGTCAGCTTCTCCCTTTTCATTATACATTCAGCAGACTTGATAAAATCAGCAGGACACCTCATTTGAAACTCTTTAATCGCTGCCTTTTTCTTTACTAAACCATTGAGGTGGTCAAGCGATGTACACAAATCATTTTAAATGGAAAATATGGCTTTCTGGGTGACCCAGCTAAACAGATAGTGGTATGCAAAACAAGTTAAAAAGTAATAAATGCCAAAAAATCTCCTAATTGGCATAAAAAATTGTCGCTAACTTTATTCAATCTCCAAAAGCAGAGCATCCTGAAATACTGTCTGGCTGCACTGAAACATGATGATGATGTCTGTGCAGGGAAGATTCAAATTCTCTTCTGAACAAAGCTTGTTTAAGATTGCCAAATAGTTCATAGCCGCTCTTTGCGTGGACTTGTAATGCCTGGAGCCGACATCGGAAAGGGGCTTCTTCCGTTAGTATTTTTGTAGGACAGCTCTTGAAATCGCCAAATGTGTGTGTTTAAACCTTTGTGTGTGATTCATGTTTGCCACTCCGGTGTGCTCTGCCTTACTGTTTTTTTAGTGCAAACTAGAAACAATCCAAAACACAATAAAACAAAACACAATTGAACTGGGGTAGATGAGACTGAATGGCCACCCGGATTCCTCTATCTTTCTGTGCACATGCTAAACCAACCCACTGAAATAAAATGTTCCTTTCAGCTGAACCAAATGATTTTAAAGCCCTAGTCTGCCTCTTCTCAAAGCTTCTGGCTTGGTCATACATGGCTCAGTATATATATTTCTAGAAAATATCTCAGCTGTTCTAGAAATGTTGCCCCAATCTATATATATTTAAAAAAACTCCAGGATTTAGAGAGGTGCTTCTGGTGCTTCTAAAGGCCTGGGCATACCCAGTAGGATTTTTTTACTTGCCTTGAACAGCATGGCCACCCACCACCCTCTCTGCCATACCACTCCACTATTCACTTTTGATATTGAGAATATTTTCAAAAGCATTTGGGAAGGGGGCTGGGGTTCAAGAAATAAAAGCTGAACATGCTCCCACTAAACCCTGGTGCAGCTTCCGTTGGGAGCTTGGTACGAGTTATCAACCTGCTTTTCCCCTTTGCCTTCAGAGCAAGGCTCCGTTTGCTACTGAGCCTGGACAAGAGATGCTGCTCTAAAGTAGCAAAACAAATGTATAGGAATGTAAATCAGTATTTGTAAAGTTCTGGTCTCATTGTTGCCTTTTCTGTTCCGCCTTTGAAAACCACAATGGTGTATTGGATGCAACCAAAAAAATTAAAACGAAAACTTCTCCTTGCTCTTTTCAGGTTCAGGTTCATTGGCAGCCATGGCAGTTTTTGAAGACAAATTCAAGCCTGACATGGAGGTAAACACTCTCTCCGCCTCCTGTGCTCCCACTGTTTATTTGTAAAATTGTGATAGTAGCATAGTGTAATTTGTAAGATGGGGTCCTTTGAATGATCTTTAATGGTTGGTTTTCAGTTACAGCAATGCCACAACAGTCTGAAGAGTCACTTTGTTGTCTTCTGTGGGGATTATCCAAAGCATTGTTTCTGTGCTAATAAATATGCACAAAACTTGAGTTAGACACAAAACTGTAAAATGTGTGTACCTGTGGAGAAATCCGTGCAAGTCTGACACCTGTGCCTTGTGGATGTAATTGCAGGAATTCTTCAGGATGTGTTAAACACATACCTAATGTTTCCTCAAATGCTGGTGTTTCCAGATATTTTGTGCCTGACTCTTTAAGCTATGAGTGCAAAAGTGGAAGGTATGGGTGATTATTGGGTCTCTAGTCTGTGCATGTTCTTCACAAAGCCACATTCTGTGCCCTTGAGGGGATTTTTAAGTGGAGACGGGCATTGAAGTCACTTTTTGTGGCTTAGTGGTTCTCTGCTCCCAGCTTGTCAAGGGTGAAATCCTCACTACCATATTTGTGTGTTGAAACAGCAGAATGGCTAAAAATGGGAGCAGAAATAGTATGTTTCTAGTTGCTTAAAGGCCAGCCTGATTTAAGCAATTGTCATGTACACAATCAAGCAGCATTTTTAATTGGCTGCTGAATTGAGCATAAACAGGAATCCATTAATTTTGGTTGGCTATGGTAGCTGCTGCTGCTGCCTCTGAGTGTCTGAAAACAATGTACTTTGCTTTCTGAGTCCTTTGAAGGAAGCCCAGTGCAAGGTAATGGAAGAGCCCCTACCTGTCCCTTGCCAGAGGTGTTCACTGTTGGAGGTTCTATTTATCGTCACAGAAGACCAAAATGTGACTCAGCACTCAGTTGAAGTTGACAGCTTGTCTTGGGAAAGCAATCACCTTCAGCCCAACATTTTTACTTGATGGGTGATTGTGTTAATGAGTTGGATCTTAACTGCTGCTATCCTGGTAATATCACTACTTAAGTCACAGTGAACATCTCCTAGATAGGCCAGGCTCCTGTGTCCCCTCGCAGAGTACACAAGGCTCAGATTAGCAGGCCAGAGCTAACCCAGCAATTCTGAGCTTTTATTCTTGATTGGGAATGGATGAGAATGGAGAAGACCAACACTTTGTGTGCCTGTGGTGTCACTTGTCAAGGTGCAGAAGCATCACAAAAGAGGGGCTGCCCCACTTGCCCCAGGGTCTTCACACCTGACTGTACTGCCTTGGCAGTCTTTTTGTTTGTTTATGATTTCACTGGTTTATTAATTTCCATACCACTCTTCATCCAAAGATCATCATCATTACTATATTAATGCTTTGGACAGAGCAGCTTGCTCTGTCCTCTGACTAGAAGAAAGAAGCAAGTTTCCATTTTGAAACAGCTTATAACCACATTTTTGGGTTTATATGGAAGAATTGGAGTGAGGATCCCCTCCACTCTTGCCCCGTTCCTTCTCCTTCATCTTCCAGCCACTCCCCTCCCTAGTTGGAAAAAAAAATGTTTTATTGGCTAATCTGGTTTTATGGGAGGGAGGGAATTGTATCCTGCTCTGCCTACTATAGATAGCGTGGACTACCCAGTGCATGTGGGTTTGGATGGCAAAAAGGCTAGGATTCTGTTTGTGTGTGTGTGTGCTGTTTTTAACTATGAAGGGAGGCTCTATCTTGTCCAGAATGAAGTACCCCTTTTTAGATGGGTGTTTTCTAGCACAAATTCCTTGAAGGTTTAGTAGCATAACAGGTTGCACGATGACAGCTCCTCTGTGAAAAGACTGAACAATATTTGGTAAATCTCTGTACCACTCCAATGTGTTAATGCTGAATTGGTCAACTGCTGATGCGCATGCAGTGAAAAGAACTTTAAAAATCTTGGTGCCATGGTCATTAAAATGTGTAGAAAATTAATATTTTTCCTGTCAAGATTAATGCAGCTCCTTTGTTTGCTAATTGTCAGAATATCTTGATGGAGCTTTTAAAGGGCAGTGGTGTTCTTCAAGACCATCACATCACAGAGAAATGATTCAAAGGCAAACTGTCCTGCACCCTCTGGTATCAACTTGCAAATTAGCATCTGGAATCTAATTAAACAAGCTTAATGAAATCAGCAGCTGAATACTGCAGGAAAAGACAATCAGCCCCCACCCCCTCTGATATATATTCTGTACTACTGAAGCCGTTCACCAAAAGCATCGTGTGAGCACAGTTAAAGAAATTAGCATTTATTTGAAGACAAGGAACTGGTTTTTTTCATTCTGTTACGCTTTTGGCATGCGCCAGCGTCCCCAGAGAGCCGTGCCACAACACATAGTGCACAATATTTATAAATCTGACAGGCAATAATAGCAACTTGAAAAATTTCTTTTGCTGGAATTTCAAGTTGAGAGCTGCCAAAAGCTGAGAGGATCAAACCTGCTCTGGCAGCTGCTGTGCCCTACAGTGAGAATAGCAGACTTTGAAGATGTTCGACTTAAAAAAACCAGGACTGCAGGCTTAGCCAATTTTTGCAGGTTTCTCCAGCCCTGGCTCTCCGCCGTTTGAAGATGAGTTGTTGAAGCTTCTACCACTGCCTCAGGCATCCTCACACCAGCAGGGCTTGTCCCCCCCCCCCCCACCTCCGACCGCGTCTTGAGTTTTAGGTAGCAAGTGGCTTTGTTGGTGCCAAGTGTGACAGCCCTTCCTTAGGCTGTAGCGCAGAGTCTGTCTGTCGAGCCTTCTCAGGATAGATCAGTGGTGGGATGCTGGCCTCCTGAGGGGCTGTTACGGATTTCCAAGGATGGCAACTGCTTTAGGCTTAAAGCTCAGACATGTTGTTGATGCTTCAGACACGAGCTTGAGCCCCTGGCCACTGTAGGGCAAGCACAGTTGTTCACATGTGCACCTAAACTTGCCTGAAATAAGAATGGGAGAGTGGTAAAGCTGTTGATGGCTTTGGTTGAATTCTTGGAGCAGGGTTATACTGTTTGCATTCTGTAGCATCTTCCAGTAGGAGAAATTCTAGGCCCCTAGGGACTTTTTCCCCTCTACCCTTGTGCAAGGCTAACATCTAAACATTTAATGCTTATTCATTTTAACTGAGATTAAATCTAGTTTGGGCAACCTGCAACCTTGGGGAGAGGTTGTATGAGGGAATACGCTGCTTCCTCTTGCTTCAAGGAGATATGGTGGCATTTTTATATGGGTAGCTCTTCTTCCAATCGCCAGTAATGTTGAACCTATTAATATGCTTAGCAATGACAGAAAAGGGTATTTCTTATCTTTTTTTAAATACTGTTAAATACTGTCATACTTTAGAGGCTTGGAGACAAAAGGACCAGAATTAATCTTGGCCCAGATGAACCATGCTGATTTGTTTCTCATTTCTGCCTGGAAACACCCCTGAGTTTGCAGGACTGGTGCATGGTATGCAGGACTTGTGGAAGGAAACAAGGGCTGAATGCTGGTAGGTTTGCTGGGCATCTTGCTAACAGGGCAGCAGAGCTGGACTACAGCTGATGAGGACTGAAGGGGAGGAGGAGTGTGAGGAGGGAGGAAGGTGAGGGAGAGTCAGCTCAGAAGAGGTGGAATTGCCTGCTGGGCTGCAGTCCTTCCTTACAGTCACATTTACTCACCATTTAGCAGTTTGAAGTTTTTTTCCCTCCCGCAGCCTTGACCTGACTTTAGAAATAGTTTCTCTAGCAGTTTGCTGTTCCCATTGTGGCAGTTTGGTCTGTTGTGTTGGGGTGGGAGAAGCATTGTGCTGTCCGATTTCATTGGTCCATCATGCTGACATATTATTTATGTTGCTGTTAGGATTGCCCTTCTCTGAAGAAGGCCTTGCATTCCATTCTAAGACTAGTGGTGTATTATCAGATACTTTGCACTTCCTAATAATTGTTTACAGTGGTACCTCTGGCTGCGAACGCGATCCGTTCCGGAGGCCGGTTCGCAACCTGAAAAGAACGCAACCCGTGTCTGTACGGGTGTGGGTTGCGATTTGCCGCTTCTGCGCATGCGCATGATGTCATTTTGTGCATATGCACGAGCAGTGAAACCTGGAAGTAACCCTTTCTGGTGCTTCCGGGTCGCCGTGAGACGCAACCTGAAAACGCACAACCTGAAGCAAACGTAACATGAGGCATGACTGCATATGAAAAAGGGAGATGGCAGCTTCTGGAACTTGAGAGCAGCCTCTGCAGCGCTGCCCTTAAGGGCAATGCACTATGTCTATTACTGCTTTGGTAACAGAGACAGTCATGCAAAGTACAAGTGAGCCCCCAGTGAAAAGCAGCAAGTGCTGTTCCACGCCTTTTTCAACCACGGGGGCTAAAAGAAAGCATCATTCAGAACACCAAATTCAGCCCCACATGTTGGATTTGAACAGCCTCTGCAGCCCAGCCCAGTCAGCCATCTGAAATCTGTTTTTGTTTGCAGATGTGAGGCATTTCGCCTGCAAGCCATTAAGCTGTAGCCACTCCCCAGAAGCTTGTTCCCATCATGCAAGCACCATGACAAATGCATTGTCTGCAATTCTCTTCACATTCCCACTGCAGCGGAATGTGAAACCCCTTTGCTTTCATAGGATGAGGGTGGCTGGTGGGTTCTGTGTGCAGATCTCACACGCCCTGCAAAGTCTGTGGAAAGACACAGTCCAGCCTCCTGCCTCCCAGAGCGTTTTCAAACCACAGCTCTAGAGTGCGAGGGTGGACTGGCCAGTGGACGGCTTTTCTGGACTTAAACGGTGGAAGATTCAGGATCTGTAGTTCAGGATGGATGTGAAAGAGCAGGGCTCAGATGGGGATGTTGTGGAGAGTGAAGGAAATGACGGACATAATTATTTGCGGCCAGGCGCCTGATTAATGGCTGACAACAATGCTGATAGTTGGGAGTTTTTGTTTGTTTTTTGACAACCGCCGAAACTTAAAACTTGATCAGGTGCTGGCGCCTCATCAGTCTCATTTAGGCTTCCTGTGTGAGTGACTGACACTCTGGAGCGGTGACACGCTGCATATGAATGCTGGCTTCATTAGTGGGGCTGATCAAAATGCCCGTGTCCCTGCCACAGGGCTCAGGTGTGGGTGTCTTCTGGCTAATCCCCCCAGTTGACACTTGGTGTTTTAATGACTCCATGGGAAGGTGGCCGCGTGCTGGGGGGGTTTGCCAGCAGACGGTGGAGATCAAGGGAGACAGCCTGCATTAAGCGGGAGAGCTGCCCGAGCAACCTGCATCCCCACTGGCAGCACACACAGCTTATGCAGAAGGCCTTTCAAAAACGGGGCCCCTTTGCGGGGGGGGGGGGGGGGGGGGGAGCCCCCACCGCTTTGTGTAGCGCTGGTGTTTGGTGCTTGCACTTTGCCTTGCCGGCTGCAGCCTCTCTGCCTTTTTCTCTGGGGCAGGAATTGTGAAGATTTGTGCAAGGATCCTGGTATTTCTCCAAACTCTGTCCCCCCATTTCCCTCTCTTGAATACAGACATAATTGGGGGTGCTAATTTGGATTTTCCTTCATCAATGGAACTTTCTACCTGGCATGAATTTTTCTACCTGGCATGCACAAAAAAAGAATCCTGTGGAACTAATTATAGAAAAAACTCTTTTTTATTTTTTATTTAAGGGGGGGGGATTTTCCAGTGATTGAGTATCTTGAGCTGTTTCATCAGTGTTCTCCCATAAGGAAACAATACATAAACGGTGGAATAAAACATCACACTATTATGAGCGTTCCATCTGCAGAAGTATTTCAGCTAGGCAGATGAAATGATTCCCCTTTTCTCCCCCCATGTAGGGTTCCAGGGGTCCCCCCCACTCCAATTTCAGAGTCCACACAAGGGGAGGGGGGAGAGGAAAGCCCCATTGCACCAGCTGAAGTGCTTGCATAGGGCTTCCCCACGGGGTTTCTTAGGTGAATCCCACCCAATGTTACCTTAAGGGTCCGATTTCTGTTAACACTGGCAGGCCTGCAGTTGCTTGCTAGTTTTCTTTAGTACTGTGTATAATTTGAAAATGAATGCTGAACTGTGGCACCTTTTAATTGAAAGGTGCAGCAACAGCCCGCTGAACTTTGTGGAAACGAAGTTAGTGCCGTTTAAAACCTGTATCCTATTATATGAGCAGGTCTGCTCACAGTGGACTGTTGATTGCTTTCACTCCTCGCAGAGTAGGTATGCCAGACAGGTAATTATTTTTGATGCATTTCTTAGGAGCCAAATATTCAAACAGAAGTTGTATTACTGTTGTTTCTCGAACTGAAGGAAATGGTGAGTTTTTCCTGGAAACCCCCCCCCCCCATAATGCAAGACTGGTTTGGTGCTTCTGCAGCAAGCAAGAGTTCTTAATACAAAATACATTTTGTATGCAAAGAGCCAAGAAATACTAAGTGGAGGAGGGGGTAGGGAAATGTTTGTTGTGAACTTTGGAGAGAGGTTTTATTGGAATTCCCAGAATACTTTAATGATGTGGTTGTGGACTCTTCCCCTGCCTCTGAGATTGATTTTTTTCCCTGTTGACAGTAAAACATGAACAAATACACCTTAATACCCAACAGAGGGTTGCTGTTATAAGACCGTTCACAATTCTGCAAGCTGCCTTTTCTTTTTCTTTTTGGCTCTCTGTCCATTTCCACCTTTCTGCTCTCACACAGATCCAGCTCCTGACTGCAGCTGTGAGAGGATGGATTAAGAAGATTTGTAAAATCAAGGCTTTTTTCTCGCAGCATTCGCTTGCTTGAATTTTGCTTCCAATCAGATCTTGGTTCCATTTGCTACCATTTGTATCAGTAACAAATTAAATACGCCTGTGCATTTGTGTTTATCTTGTAGTAGTAAATGAAAGCCTGGTGTAGGCTCTTCCAGACCCCTTGAAAATTCAGGTGGAGGCTGGCTCTGTGATGTGAGGTTTTATCCAGCAGAATGGCGGTGGCTGCTCATATAAGAATGAAATAAGAGGAGCCAGCCTTACTGAATGGTAGTTCTAGAATCATACATTTCTGCCTTGGCAGGTAATTCAACATAAATTGTTAATGTAAATTCAGGTTAGTGGGGAAGATATTTTTTACTAAAAAAGATAAACTGCTGATTAATTCAGTATAGAACTCAATTACAAATTGAAAGGGCCACTGCGGGACTCCAGAACCCTAAAGACAACAGATGTTGAATTGATACTCCAGCATATTTCACACTGGTATGAAATATTAACATGGTTTATTATACTTGTGATGTAGATATGAGAAAGGGGAGGTCTGGCTTGCGTGTGTTTGTACTAGTGTGTTGTGAAAATAGCAAAGGTTCAGCCAGCTGTAATTAAAGGCTTTAAGAGACGGCTGATTCAGGGAGGATCTGAAGAACAAAGCCCAGTAAGTTTGTTTACAGTTTGTTTTTAGATGTTTACAATGTGCAGAAGACAAATCATACAGCATGACATTTTTGCTAAATGCCCCAAAGGCAAGGACTCTTATATTGAACCTTGGCCTGCTTCAGATCGAGTTTTGTAACATGGGGTGAAAGAATGCTACTTTAGACCTATGTGTCTTGTGATTCCATTTGGAGATTCAGCCTCTTTTTTCCACTTTATTATGATGTCAGAAAAGGTGGGTATGCATGGTCCGTGGCTGAAGTAGTAATGTTTCCTTGCTTCTCTGAAAAGCTCCTACCTGCAGTAACCCATTGCAGAGCACCTGTGTTCTTGTAAAATGTGGTCAACAGAACAGCCCGAAGGTTTGCTGTGCCAGAATGTGGGCCAAGGATAAGCTGTAGCAGCACACATGTTGATGGTCAAGGCCCAGCATTACTGCCAGGAGGTCTCATCCATGCATGCAGAGTTTATTGTCATGCAAAGCGCACTTCAAATATCAGCACCCAGACAAGGAGTGAATTCTCGTGATGAAACAACCTCTTGTTTATTTATTGTTGCCAAAGCTTGTGTGTCTATGCTGTCTGTCATAGCTATATAGGCAACCTAGACAACACCCCACCCCCAACTCCCAGATGTTTAAATTCTCAAACAGCGGGGGACCCATGACCTCATAATTTCTCTTGCATTGAGATCTGGAAGATTACAGTGTGGTTACATCACCTGTTTGATTTCCTGCCTCATTGAAGCAAACATTCACGTGGCATTTGGTCTGTAACATGGAAAGCCACCACCTTTAAGTTCCCAGTGTGGAACTGGGAAGTTGTGAATCTTTTGTGTTCCTAATGCTTTTACTCCTTGCTGCTAAATGCTAACTAGAACAGCCTGGCTCTGCTGCTTTAGGAATATTACCAGTGAGGTAAAATGCTTCACAAATGTACACAGCTTGCTGTAGCGTTACATGCTGGAGGCCAGGTTAGGGTCACTTCATCCAACTATTTCTGGATGCAAGGAAGAAATTGCTTAATTGGGTGAGGGTCAGTATAGGAGTAAATCTAGTCTGCTTGGATAAAGTGGTGCCCATTTTGAAAATTATTTGTATGGCAGCAGAAGCTTCTGTGCTGCGTTATTTTTTATGGGTCCTTCAATGCATCAGTTCATGAACAAGTCTGACCTTTCATTACGTAACTCACTAAATTAATATGAGAGTGTATATCCTGTACATACTGAGATTTTTTTTATACCCGTTACTGCTTTTAAATTAATACAGCTAATTAATACAAAATAAGTTTTCAGTGCTATCCTATGAATGTTGATTTGGAAGTAAGTCCCACCAAGCTCACTTGGATTCCTGGGTAAATAAATACGCCTCGGAACGCCTCCTTTCCATGGATGCTAGATGATTCTGTGTTGTGGGGTGGGGGAGGAAGGGAAACTTGTGGCCCTCCAGATGTTGTTGGACTTCCAACTTCCCCCAGCCCCAGCCAGCCTGGGGCAGTAGTGATGGATGATGGAAGCTTTAGTCCCAACATCTAAAGGGCCACAGGCTCCCCATCCCTGCTGTAGGAAATTGTCTCTTTAATTCTAGCAAATGGAGACTTGGCGTATGTGGGGTGGCCTCACATTGATTTCCTCTGCCCCTGGTCTCCTGCCTTTGTGATAGCAGACAGCAGTGTTCTCCAGTTACAAAACTTGTGTTTCTTGATGACTTAGGAACTTGCGTGAAAAGCACTGGATGGAGTGGAGAACTGGCACCACAAATTTCCCTTGTCCCAAATAAAACAATTGCTTCAGCAGTTTCTGGGTGATTGCTCGAAAGCTAAAGTCAGAAGAAAGCAATAATCTTGCCATCTTATTCCACTAGGAGGTTGTGCTTCAAAGCAACAATATCTGAATTGCCTTCCCCTCCTATTGTACTTTGGGAAATAAGCAGCATTAGAACTCAGGTCTGCATAAGCCTGTATGTCTCTGTCAATTGAAGTTGGGGGCTTCCAGCCTTCCCTCGCCTTTTAAAAAATAAAATAAGGGAGGGGATGCAGGAAGTAATCAAACCTTTTTGATACGGAGCAGCTGCCCTGGGTTGGTTCTCTTCCTGAGCTTCCCAGCAGATTTAGCTCCGCTTTCAGTTATGTATTGATCTCGACAGAGTTTCTCCCAGAAGACAGGCATATCCACATTTCTATACAATCGAGGCTGCCGATTACTCTTCCATGGTCTAATTATCCTTCTCTAGGCTTTGGTATCCTTCAAGAGCTATCGTTTTGCTAGTCCCAAACTCCCAGCACTTCTGTATAGATTTTACTGCCGCTCTGACCTCCCGAATGCCCCCCTCCCAGCCCAGTTATCTCTCTCAGATTCTCACTTAAAGTAATTTGTACATTTTATCTTTTTTATATATATATATAGCGAGGGCATAGAACATATTCCATCCTTCCACATTGGAACTATGGTGATGTGTTTCAAAATGTCAGGATGCAGCTGTTTACAGGCAACCCAGAATACTCTTGGTGAATTAAAGGCACCTTTTCATGAGGTTGGAGTAGCTGGATGATGAAAAGCTGAAATAACTTTATGCAGGCTCTAAATATGTAGAAATGTATTCACCTCTCACCCCATTTCAGTGGACTGGCATTCTCCAGTCACAGGTTATTTTTTCTAAGGAAAGAGACATCCAGAAATGGACGTGAGGCAGTTCTGGCGTAACATTTTGTAGATGATGAAGTGACTTCTTTGCTCGCGACACAGCCAGCCTGCCTTTTCACCCGCAGAGTTGTCTCCTGTATGTGCATTTGGGTGCTCTATACTTTTCCACCTGCAAATCAGTGACCAAGGCACTTACTTGTAAAACAAATGTGGAAGTGTTGTGTCCTGGGGATGGGGAAGGGGAGAAACAGACCTGACTTTGGGACTCTTGCCACGGCTGTTGGAGAGGGAGGTAATCTATCAGTTTTGGAGCATCTACAAAATGCAACTCTCCTGATAACGGGTTTAAAGTAAAGATTTAATACCGTCCTCTCTCTACTATGATGTTGCAGTGACAGTTTAAAACTCATTCTCTAAATCTCAGCAGACTTTACAGCCAGCAGTGGGCCAATATAGAGTTTAATGGCATTACAACACATAAATCATCTTTTAAAGATGCTACCAGTAGCTCCAAAATTAAATGCAGACAATGTCCTCAGTTATAAATAATTTATCAAACACCATTTCGGATGAGCCTTCATGCTGAGTTATTTATTTTAGCCTTTACTGTTCAATTCCTCAGATACGTTTTGAGAGATCCATTACTGGTCAGTTTAATGAACTTGGGGGTCTGCTGTGCCCCCCTCCAGCAGTTTGGCACATCTGTGGTGACCATTACATGGCTGGTCCAGACCTCTTTGTGCCTTTTACAAGTGCTGCCCATTTGTCATGTGGCGGTAAATGGAGGAGCACATTGGAGCCTTGGGACCCATTGCGTGATGCAGCAATGGAGGCAAGCCGAGCGCTCCATAAAGGGCTGCTTGTCACAGCTGACTTGTATTACAGTCCATCACTCTTACTGTAATCTCATTTAAGGAGCAGCCGTGGGCCCCAGAGAAGGATATTCCCAGTTAGCTTGGGCTTTGCAACCATAAAGGAGGAAGTGCTCCTTTTATATACTCAGAACTTTTAGGGTACTTTTTTAGATTAATTATTGCCCTGCGTCATTTGTGCTACCATCGTTAAGACTGCGACTGTCAGCACATTCAATATACACCTCTGTTTTGCAGCTTTAAAAACTTCGTTCGGTGGTAGGAATTAGCATATGGGGCATGTATGCAGGGCCAGTTTTTCCTGAGCAGTGTTTCACAGTGCCATTCTTGAGCAAAAACAATATTCCACTCATATGCAACTGTTTCTTTAATTAATAGGATTTAATAAAATGGATGTTAAAAGTGTTACGTGGGCCTGATGGTAGTAGGTGGTACTTGATTTGGTAAAGTGGAGTTTGGTTTTGTCAGTTTAAACATGTAAAATGGCTTTGAAAGAAGGCTAAAATAGTGTTGAATTTGGCATAGAGCAGGCAGGCAGCTGTATTTTCAGTCTGAGGAAGAATGCCTCTGTTTTTCTGGTGGTGTCAAGTATTATGTTTGCTTATTTCAGTAAATCTTTTTTTCTTGCTAAACTGAGGGATGTGGCTGAGATAGGGTCACATGAACATGTCTGAGGCTTGTCTAAGGACTCATATTTGATGACAAAAATCCTGGAAGCCCATCTTTCTGCTTTTCTGCTTTTAATTCTGCTTTTAATTCTGAATCAGGACAAAGCTTAGTTTGAGTGTGTTCTGAACAATCATTTTGTTCAGTGGAAGCAAATGAGGCAAGCAGAATGCAGACCTCTCTGCCTGCGTCACAACTGAGCTGTGAGACTCTTGGGGGCTTCTGCAGGAAGCACCTCTTGTGGAGAATCTCTGGAGAGTGCTGAACAACTGCTGGGAACAGGCACAAGTTAATTTAAAAAATTTAATTAATTAATTACTATACCACCCTATACTCTGAGGTCTCAGGGCGGTTCACAGAACAAACTCAAAATAATAACCTACAAATTATATAATCAAAATAAAAACAATATCTCCCCCCCCCCATTTTAAAAGGGCATAGGATGTCAATTAAATCAACCAAAGCTTGGTTAAAAAAGAACTTTTTTGCCTGGTGGCTAAAGGTGTATAATGAAGGTGCCAAGCAAACTTCCCTGGGGAGAGCATTCCACAAATGGGGAGCCACTGCAGAGAAGGCCCGTTCTCGTGTTGCCCCCTCTGGACTTCTCGAGGAGGAGGCATAAGAAGAAGGGCCTCAGAAGATGATCTCAGGGTCCAGGTTCAAATGGAAAGTGGTACAGTATTGCGATCTTGAGCCGTTTAAGGCTTTAAAGGTCAAAAACAGCACTTCAGATTGAGTTCTTTGAATTCAAAATATTCAAAGTATGTACTCCAGAATAACATCTAACTGTATTAATGTCCAGCTGTTCCTCAGCCTGCTATGTTTTGTTTTCTCAATCTTCTATACCAGGCACCTAAAATTTGCCCTTTTCTACCCAAAAAGTCCAAAAGGAGCTCTTCAATATTATTCTCATTAAATGTCCAAAATAGTTCTTCTCTGTTCCAATACGATGAATTTCTCCTCAAGGATTCCGACAGATCTTAATAGTACTGTATAATAGTCCATATTTGTTTACTTGTTGTGTCTTTATTAATTCTTACCCAATTCCATATATTCAAGTACTATTTCCGGTTGACCATGCCACATCTTAAAGAAAAAAGGGAAAACACCACTTCCATTCTTTTTCCAAACCAATCGCCAAAAGCTTAAAGGCTTTTTCTTCTGTGTTCACTTCAGTTTGTAGTCACGGCCCTTTCTCTCTCAGCTCCATCTTTGCCATCTCCAGTTGTCTCTTAATGTCTGTATTCATAAGTCCCTTCATCATCATAGCAACATCCACTGTCCAGACAGCTGTATGGATGTCATTGCATGTTCAGGCAGATCTGGGTCCATATCTTTTTCCACAGGTTCTGAGCATTCTTTAATCTGATGTATCTTTGATGTATCAAATCTTTTTTTTAATGTTTTATGCATTTCAGCTCCTAACTTCTATCAGTTGTTCATCTAGTAGTTGGCATATGATACCAACAATCGATGAGGCATTTGGTGTTGTCTTTGCCGTATTGGGTTCTATTAATCTCTCCCTTGGCAGTATCTGGTTCACAAGAAGCTTGTGTCTGCTTCTTTATATATAAGATTCAGTTTTGTTTTCGCAGCCAACACAGTATGCATAAGATGGAGACTTACAGGCAGTATAAAGTGAAGATTTAAAACAGATTCAGAGTCATCTTATAAGTTGTATTCTTTCTTAGTCACCAGTGATTAAGATAAGCTTTTTGGTTATTTTTTTAGCCTCTTAATTAGTGTCTTTTAGTGCTTTTTTATGTTCTGGGTGCTAATTAACTAGCAGATAGAAAATCCACTTTATATTTATTTCCAGTCTTAGAAATAGTTAAAAGTAGGTTTTGCCAACCTAATCTAAGGGCTGTTATGTTCTGCTTCTGGTGTGATGAATGTTTTCTTCTGAGCATGTGAGGCTTATCCCTGAACTCCCTTATCTCAAAAGGGAGTTTGGGTAACCAAGATAAATACTTTGGTTATCGTGAATCACCGCATAATTATCTCTGTCAATAGGAGTATCAGCAATCAATGACTAGTTTGCCTTTTTCCTCCCCGGAAGTCCCCAATGCCCTGCAATCCTGGGAAAGGGCATTTCGCTAACATATTAGCTGATTAGACCAGGAGGCTCTCGCCTAAAAAACGCTGAATTCATCATTTGTAAGCATCCTCCGTTGCGCTGGAGATCCTTATCCCAAGCACCTTTTGAAATCCAAATTTCCTCCCCTCAGTGGGCCTGTAGAGGGTGCTAATGTAATGGGAATCACTTTCCATTTTCTGCTGTGATTTGGTTCAGAGTACTGGTGGCCAAAACATAAATTTTCTACTGGAAAATCAACTAAAAGGAGGAGTTTGCTCTCATAAAAAAAATATGAGTGAGCTTTGGTTACCTGCATAGGATGTTACTTAACAATATCCTTGAGGGATTAAGGAATATGGTTTCTCTTAATGAAATTTCCAAGTCAGGTTAGTTTGCCTTTCTGTGAGTGTGGAGACTCACCAGAGTGGGTGATCATGAATTCGCTAATTCTTTTCCTACCGAAATGGGTACCCTTTCACCATATATGGGTAATGACGCTGGACTGCAACTCCCAGCAGCCGTTGAACACAGCCAAAAATATCTGGAGGACCACAAATTACTCATTCCTTTGATCAAAATTCCCTCCTTCCCCAAGTGGATTTTGGTTTGGGTGTTCTCTTCCTTGGAATAGCTACAGCCTTTATGGATACACTTCTTTGCTTCTTTGAATTGAGCAATATTTCCAGTTGCACAGGTTCTACCGAAGGGTTTCTGGGCCTTGCAAACAGATCCTGTCCTGCATTTGGTTTCTACTCCAGTGGAGGCTGATGGCCAGCATTGTGCAATTGCTTGGAAATACGGGAAGGGGCGCAAATGTCTGAGACCCACTTCGATTTTTTTCCTAGGAGGAAGAAGCCAAACAGCTTGTGAGAGATGCCATTGCAGCCGGCATATACAACGATCTGGGTTCTGGCAGCAACATTGATCTTTGCGTCCTCAGTAAGAACAAGCTGGACTTTCTCCGTCCCTACGATATGCCCAACAAAAAGGGGAAGAGGTGAGTGTGTCCCTGTTTCAATTGTTTCTACAGACAAGAGAGTTAAACCTTCAGATACCAGGAACAGGCCGATTATGCCTTCCGAGTGCAAACACTTGTAGTTGAAATGCTACAGGTAATCGTATCCCAAGTGTTGAGGCTGCACACTGTTCCAGCTCAGATCATTAAAACGCACTCCTGAAAAATAAATGCACAAGAATTGTTCTGTCTGAAGTAGTTGTCAGCCTAAGAGAAGGTTTGCTCGTTCCAAAAGTGGAGGGAGTTAATTTTAATAGGAGCGAAGGGCTTTTTCGAGAGACGTGCCCAAAGACTCCTGGATAAACTGAGCAGTTATGGAATATGAGGAGAGGCCCTCGTGCACATCAGAAATGGTGAGATAGCAGGAAGCCAAGAGAGTGGAAATGCAGGTGGCTCATCATTTATGTGGGGGTTCCATTCCGGGCCCCTGCACACATACGCAAAATTGCATAAAATGGGGAGCACCTGGTGGCTTGTGAGGAGACCAACCCCAGAGCCGAAAGACAACCTTTTCAGGAGGGTTTACTCATGAATGAGCCTGAAGGGTGTCAAAACAATCTGAGACTGAAGAGCTCCAAAGGACCTCTCCAAACTGAGTGAAAGGGAGGCAAAGGAGCAAAGGCAGTTGAGTGTAATAAGTGTAAAGTGATGTATTTTGTAGCAAAAATAAATAAATAATAATTTCACATATACACTCATAGGGTCTGAACTGGCAGTGACTGATCAGGAATGAGACCTTGGGTTTGTAGTGGATAGCTCAATGAAGATGTTGACTCTGTGTGTGGCAGCTGTGAAAAAGGCAAATTCCGTGCTAGGGATCATTAGGAAAAGAATTTAAAATAAAACGGCCAACATCATGGTGCCATTATACCAATCTATGGTGGAACTGCCTTTGAAATACTATAAACAGCTCTGGTCCCCTCACCTTAAAAGGGTAGAGTTGGAAAAAGTTGAGAAACGTTCAACCAAAATGATCAAGGTGGAGCAACAGGTTGAAACCTTTGAGACTTTTAAGTTCACAGGAAAGGCAAGCAAGTGGTGACCTGATAGACGTTTATAAAATTATGCATGACATAAAGTGGCTAGGGAGGTTTTCTCCCTCACAACAACAGAACTCCTAGACATGCAATGAAGCTGAACGTTGGAAGAATCAGGATATATAAAGTACTTCATGTGGAACCTGCTCCCACAGGAGGCCATGATTCCGTTAAGGGAGGTTAAGGCTACCAGGGGCTGCTAACCAAGATGCCCGTGTTCTACCTCCACTGTCAGCAATATGCTTTGGAAGACAAGTTGTTGGTAATGGCAGGTGGGCAGAGTGCGGTTTTGCTCATGTTCTGCTTATGGGCTTCCTCAATGTATCTGGTTGGCCACTGTGAGAAGAGGATGCTAGACTAGGTGGGCAATTGGCCGGATCCAGGAGGCTGTTCTTAGCTTCCTAAAGTCCAGCGCAAATAGTATGGTGTGAAAAGGCAGCAGCTGGGATTGTGACCCTTTAGGGAGACCAGTATTCCCTGTACATCTGCTTTGTCTTTGCCAAGGCTGTTTCAAAGTAGGGAAGAGTCAGAACTTTCCATTTTTGTTGACAAGGGAGTAGCCACTTTGTTGTGCAGTTTTCCATTCTGTTCCTTGCACCAGGTTATTCTTGGAGTTGCACTAGGACGTGGGCAATAACAAGAACTGCATTATTTTGCATGGCAGCAGCTATTTGCTTCTTTCAAAGACTAGAAAGGACCGTTTGGGAACATACTACTGACCGACCTTGAAAAAGGATCCTGTCTTTGCAGGAGCCACTTTCCCTGTGCTTGTAACCTTCTGTAAAAAGGAAAGGCTTATTGTAATCAGCTTTCTGGGTCACTGTCCTAATGCAATCCACAACTCCCCGGAAAGGTCACCTGGGGTTTCCACTCATAGCCTCCAACTGGGCTAACTGGCGGCACTGACATTCTCTCTGTCCAGGAGCGGTTCTTCAAAAGCCATAGTGCAAGAGGGATATGGATTACAAATACAGAATGAGGTGCTCTTGGCAGGGGGAGAAGCTCTAACTTGGCTTTCCGCTCCAAAATGGAGTCCTCCTTTCCAATAACTTTGTCTTAGAATGTATTCACATGCAGCATTCAACCGTTGTATTTTAATCTATGGGTCCAGATGCCTCCCTCTTGGCCCATGTCTAACTGGAGTCTGGCTTGTTGTGACTTGTAACTCTGGGCCTTGTGGTTTGTTTGTGTGGTAGTCAGAAGTGGGCGATTAACCTGCTGTGTTCTATCTGGGAAAGGGGCAACTAGCAACTAGATCTAAGTATATATCTCAATCTCCATCTGCCCCCCTTGTTAGTGGGATTTCTGGCAGACACACAGTACTCTATAATTGTTTCTCTATTCTCCACCCTCAAACAGGCAAGGGCGATACAGCTGTGAGAGGGGAACTACAGGTGTGCTCTATACGAAGGTTACACCCTTGGATCTTGAAGTGGCAGATGAGACGGTCCAAACAATGGATACATCTTGACTTCCTGGAAACTTCTGGGCAGTGGAAGAGGATTGAGAATTTTCATACATGAATTCTGTATCTGTATGCTGGCATTAATGTTCTGTATGCAGATTTAATAAAAACCAATATGAATTGACTGGTTGACTTGTGTTAACTGGGGCAGGGAAAAATAATTTTCTAAAATGATTATTTGCTTCAGTAGGTCAGCCCAGTTGTACATCCAGCCTATTATGTGACCCCAGCCACTTCACAAGTAGAGCAGCAGTCTTTCTTAGATGTAAAAGTTAACAGATCTTATCCCCTGTGTGTTAATGGTGTATTTATGCTGAAGCCGTTTGGTGACCAACAAGCAATAGCCTAGGATTGTGTGGACTAAAAGCCTGCTTCATTCGATAAATCTGCTGAAGCAAGTTTTAGGTCATGAAAACTTGTGATGTAAATTTGTTGGTCTTTAAGGTGCTCAGATTCCTTGGTTTTGAATGCAATATCCTTTTATATTGCTTTTATATTTATTCATTCATTTCCCATATTTTTCATAACTCAAGAGGAATAAATAAAGTGTGGTCACAGCATTTTTTGCTGAACACTTTCGCGTACCTTAAGCAGGTATGGCAGAGGCAGGGGGTTACAGATCATTTAGTAAGGCAACAAAGCAAAAGTAACAGGCATAAGGTGGGAATTATTTGACCCTGGAACCTGTGTTGCTCTGGATTTTACACCAATCAGTCCCAAGTGGCTTTACCTCACCCCACACCTAAGCTTTTTTTTTTGGGGGGGGGGATATAGTACAAGTAAATGAGGTGACAAGTATTTTTCCAAGGAAGGGCGGAAAGTCAGTATCAAGCTCAGTACTATTCAAACTAACTTTGATAAATGGCTATTATCTTACCTGTTACTCTTGAAACTTACATTTGCAGTATTTAATATGTGAACCCATTACCTAGTCCTTGGTTTAGCAGTCAACCATTTCAGCCTGTAACCATGGGAAATTCCTTCCTCAAGATTGCAAAAATAAGTGCTCAGACAATATGCTTTTACACCAGGCACCTTTTTCTTTCTACAAAGAAAACTGTTTATTTTGTAAATCATTTAATCTTATCTAAAAATGCACATTCACAAAAAATTCTTTGGAAATACATGTACTTAAGCGCTAATAGATCTTAAGGAGTAGGTATATGAGACCAGATTTTAGCAGACACACCTGTAACGTGGAATTGCCCAACAGACAGAAGTTTCATGTTGCACCCCAAGACCAGGTTATGTATAAATTCAAATGAAGCCTGCAGTGCCAGGGAGAGACTACCTTGCTTTTAAGGTAGCAGCAGCATCTGAGAGTTTGTAAGCAGATGTGCTGCCGCTGTACAATAAAGCTGAAATATTCTGACTTTCCACCAAGATTGATAGGCTGGACTTCCCTGTGGCTTTCCACAGCCAGGATCTTTCACAGCAATTAAACACTAGCCTTATTACCCTTTGTAGATTGTTTCAGAACTGCTTAGTAGTTGGCATTGCCCTTCTCAATTTAAGGCAGACTGAGCTACACAGAAATCCACTGAAAAAGATGCATGTATATGCCATTCTTTATTTCCAGCAAAATAACCTGCTTTGAAAGTAGCCCAGAGGCCAGGCCACATTTCAGCCCCTGAAATGTGGACGTCCTTCTCTAAATAGCATCCTTCAGTACTGAAGCTGATGGGAGCACCATTACTCGGAAAGAAAAGAAAAAAGACAGATGCAAGAGAAAGCTGGCTTCCTGAGCAAAACCTTTCTTGGGCCAATGGAAACTGAATTACCAAGTCAATGAAGTAATTTAGCTGATTGAAAGTATGTGTAAATGCAAAGTCTTAATATGTCCTTCAAATCAGCTTGTTTAAAATATTCACATTCTTCAATGAGTCTTCACAGTTAAGAAGTGTGGGTGATCATTTGAGTTAAAATGAATGAATTCTATTTTAACTTACCTTATTGCATGGTCAATGTAATACCCTTTTACATTATGTTTTGAACACTGCTTCAAGGTAGTTGTAGATGGCCAAAGTACCACTGATTTTACAAAGCTTTCCCCCCCAACCCCATATTCTGCGTGCAGTAACACTGGTCATGTAATATTAGCTATTGAGATTCTCACAAGATCTGTGCCAGCAGCAGCACAGAAACTGACAAAAAAGAGAGCTTTGGTTTGAGGCCTGCAGTGGAGGCCTCACTGACTGCAGCCATAGTGACAAATAAAATGCATTGCAAAATATTAATCACAAAGTTTCAATTTCTTTAAAAAAATCTTGAAACATGTTCCCTCACCAGACCCTATTATTGCAAAGGAGGGAAGTACAAAAACTCCAGGCTGGATGTTTTTTTAAAAAATATATGAACTAAAAACTGAATTTGCTATTAACCGTTTGCAAAAGAGGCAGAAGTAGCAGTTATACAAATTACACAAAATCTACTGTAATTCTTACATTAGTATAAAGTGATTTCACCAAAGGAATTATTTCAATATTTCACATTAGTTAAGATACAAGGGGTGTGTCAAATACACAAATGAGAAACCCTTGCTATAATAACCTAACCTAGATTACACACAACAGTTTTAAGAAAGGATCTTTTAAGAGATCTATATCTGTAACGTGTTATTTTAAAAAGTAACACACTTGCAGCAGCATCTCACAGCCTTCACTTAGAGCGGATCCACTCTGTGAGCGCCCCTGCAAATGGCCAGCAGAAATCATGAAGCGTCTTCCTAGGAAGGCTCAACTCTCCCATGTAAATTGGCGAGGCACCTCTTGGTTTCGTCCGAGACAGAAGGTTCAAGTAAGACTACGCTGGGATGGCTTTTCTGGGAGCATGTCGATCAAGTGCTGGAGGTCCACACATGCATCTGTTTTGCTAGCTGGTGCACATAACCAATGTCAGGTCTCTGGTCAGGATCTGGGTATATGCACATGCTGACCAGCTCTCGCAACTGCAAGGAGGAAAACAAGAGGACCGTGAGACACACCCTGCCGCCCATCACCATGCGCACCCGCCTGGTGGCGCAAGAGGGGCCAATTCCCATTTGAAGGCACCCAAAGCCTTCCACTGCCAGCCTATGAATATTCTAACATCCTTGAGTTCTAGAGTAGAACTTGATCAGCTCCATGGATTTTAAGACAGTTTAAAGACAAAACATATACATGTACACCCACCCACAGATGCTCAAGTTAGAGAGTAGCACACTTGACTGGGGATACCAACATTTTAGATGCAGGTTTCAATATTCCCACACTCACTGTTCAATACTCATTAGTCCAACCCCACCTCCCTTTACCTCTCTAATGGGCCTGGGCATACCATCAGAAAATGGCTCAGGCATTCAGGTTTTGCAGTAGTTGACAATATTGGAAAGTATCCGATGAAAGAAGTATATATCTACAGAGAGAGGTCAATGTGAAAGCCCTCATTAGCAATAATTGCCATTCTGTTAATATTCTGTGTTTGGTGGTGAAGAGAATGGCATGTTGAGGTTCCGGCTCGAGAGGAAGCCGAGCCAGGACCTAATGAATATTTAGCTAACCTTCCTGTATGTACAACTGGAATAGCTGGGTATATGCCAAACTCAGAGCAGCACCCCCTCCCGATGTTGATGGAATCCCAACCAACCAACAACACCAATGGCCAGGGATGGTGACAATTGTAGTCTTAGAAGGCACCAGGAGTGAAACCCACCTGAAGCTGAGAATAAATTACCATGCAGAAGGAATTATTCAGGAGGGTGAAGAAGCCTAATGGAATCTCACATGGTCATCTCACTTGCATACCAGAGGACAGGGTAGATGGAGAAGTCTACAGATAATCTCACTGAGCCAGTCCCTGGCAGTGGAGGCTGTGTAGAGCACAGGAGAAGGAATCGCTCTTGCAGGCACTTCTCCCTATATCAAAGCTTTTTGCTTGTTAGCTTAGAGCCAGGCTATGCTGGCTGGGACTGATGGGAGTTGCAGTTCAAGGCATCTGGAGGGCACCAAGTTGGCCAAGGCTGAATCAGACTGGATATCCTGACAGCAACCTTCTAACACTGCTGTATAATACAGCAAGTGTAGAAAACAGCTCCAGTTCCCACCCCTTTCACTTTGCATTTGAAAGACGAGCTTTTAATTGCACAGCCCCTGAAAGCAGATTAGACACCCTATGGCAAGAGAGGGAGAGGGAGAAAGAAAGGGGGAGAGAGAGAGAGAGAGAGAGAGAGAGAGAGAGAAAGAGAGAGGAAAAAGAAAGAAAGAAAGAGAGAGAGAGAGAGAGAGGGAAAGAAAGAGAGAGAGAAAGAAAGAGCCTTGAGCCTCTGATCTTCTCTCATCCTGCCAGTAGCAATAGAATCAGTTATTTTAATGGTAATTAAAAGCCTGATCATCCCACAATCAGGTCCCGTGCATCAGGCAGAGATCCTCGCAGGAGTAAAAAAAAAGCGGTTTCCAGCCAGCAAGAGGGTCAATTGAAGATGGTTTCTGATGGTTGCAGAACACCTTCTGTACTTTTGTCAAATGCAAACCAGTCATGAGTGTTTCTACACTACTGAAAGAGAATAACCAAGCCCACCCCATCCGCATGTCCTCAAAGGAAGCCATTCATGTAACTAGGAAGAGAGACACTGCTGGACATGGAAGGCATTTTGTCAGGAATTAAGGAGCCACTCCAGACAGGGCTGCCTTGTCTTGTTCTGCTCCGCTCATCCAACGTCTCTTCTGAAAGGGAGGCCACCTGCTCCACTGCCCCTCTCAAAGACAAGACCCTGTAGCCACCGCCAAATATCACTTCCCAGTCTCCTCTGCCTCTTCTTCAGCAAGGCACCACAACTTCACAGCACAGACTCCCCTCATGAAGCATTTTCCTGACCCACACAGAATGAATCATTATGGAGTGCCAACTCAATACTCCAGAGACTAAATGTTTACTGCCATGGCTAGGAATGTGTGTAGGGTGTGTGTGTGTGTGTGTGTGTGTGTGTGTGTGTGTGTGCTGGTGCAGTTTCACACAACAGCAATTCACCCAGTGTGCTGGCCTGTTGCATGCAAATGCACCATCTGGAACGGAGTTCTCTGGGACCTGCCACTTTTATTTGAGCTCTCAACCATCCTCCTCACGCTGAATTGTATCACTAGACTGCACACTCTCTTTAGCACTGCCAGAGGGAGGCAAACCGACAGTAATTGGAAAGACAGGAAACACATCTGTCAACTTGCACTAATTCCTGCTGCCAGAAGGCAGATTCCAAGAAGCTGGAGCAGCAGCAAGGCAAAGGGGAAGGCAATGAACCTGGCTGGGCCACAGGAGTGGTCTGCAAGAAGGAACCGTGCTCAAGCAGCCAGAAAGTTGCCAGGAGGGGCCGGCATGGCTGCATCAACACTCCTGCGCATCAGCAATCTAACACCGGGAAGGGGAGAGGAAATGCAGGCACTTGTCCAAAGTAGGACCAGCAGCAGCCAGGGCCATTTAGCATAAGCCTTCCAGTGTGGAAAGGGATGTGCACGACCAGTTTCCTCAGAGAAGCAGCCAAGGAGCCGCATATGACAGCCGGGGTGGAAACTCTGTGCCAAAAAATGCCACAGCCTACAACTTGGACACCGTACAAGACCTGGGCTAATGTGCACACTGATGTTCCTTCTGTTCTGAAGAGGAGGACACAGCACTGGAACCACCTCCCTTGCCTACTGGAAACTCTGCTCAGGCACACTCTGCCCTTCCAGCTATGCAATGCTCCGGATTTAGCAGCCAAGAGAAGCGGGGCAAAGAACGGCAAATTTTTCAACAAGCTGGTTGGAATGCTGAAGACTCCTGGAATGCTCCTGGTGCAAAGGCTGCCACAACTCTTTCCCCCCCCACACCTCCACATCAAACTCTCAGCCACTTATACACAAGGTCCCAGTGCATTCATGGTGATCTGCTTTTTACACACTGAATTCAGGAAAAAAAAACTTGCTGGAATACTGGTCCCCTTGCTACCCATAAGCTGTGTGTGTGTGTGTGTTAAATTCAGAGCTTGTTCCTTGTGCCCCTTCTCTGGCATTTATGCCCACCCCCACTTCCATTACCAAACAAGCAGGTTCACATTTCCTTAAAATCTTAATCAAGACTACAGAAGCTATTGGTGTGCCGGAGGCAGCAGATTTCCAAAAGCGCACTTGGGCCTTTCATCTGCCCTGATCTCATCCCTTGCTTTCCAACTCCAAAGGGTTAATATATTTGTTTAAAAGCTGCAGAGGCACACCTGTGCTGGGAGCACAATCACCTATCGGACTACAGAATGTATGGTGAGTATGTGTGTGGCAATGCACTGCCGCTGTTGTGGTGAGATGAAACAACAGAGAAGCCTCCCATCCTTCTTGCACTGCAATAAAGGCCTGTGGATTTTTTTACCTCCTACTGGACACTTCAAGTACTTGGGTTGCATAAAACATAGTAATTTCTAATGTGGCTATTGCAGGAAGGCGATTTTTCCCCGATGTGTGGGTGCCAATCCAGCTCCTTGCCAAGGGCACAAGGGACCCCAGGTATGCCTCTGGAAAACTGACAGGAAGGAACACTGTCGACCAACCTCTCCCACCAGGTGCTCCTTCCATTCGTTCTTAAAACACTGCATTTCACAAATGATAAAGCTCAAAGCTTATGCTGAGATCCCCTCAGGGCTACACTTGGTCCAGCATTTGACAGGCTAGTTTTCAGCAGATGCCACGGGGCAACTTGCAGCACATTTGGGCCCAGTCACACGATGCTGTGCACTGGAGAAGGAAAACCAAGCTTTAGGCATCACGGTGCCCCCCATCCTGCTGCCTCAGCACTGCTCTGCTTTCCGTGAGCATCACACTTGCTGCTTTATGGTACCTGGTTAGAAAAAGTTTCTGAATATGCAGCTGTGTAAGCAGGAAGGCATTTCTCCCTTCTGAAAAGGCTTTGAGGATGCGCCAAGGCAGTTGCCTGAAGATGCTCAATCTTGAGCTCCCAGCCATGTGTGTGTTTGTGTGTGTACGTGCGTGTTCCTCCCATTCAGGGCCCAAGAGAGTATACAGCTGAAGTTACTCACCTTGTCAGAATAATGTTCGGTTGGAAGAGGGGGGTAATCACACTGCTCTATCTTTTGGCAGAGCGAAAACAGGTTCATTTTATCGCCATAGAAGGGACTCTGGAGAGCTGCCATCTAGAAAGAAAATATTGGAAAATGAGCAATACAGGAGAAATGTTCAGGGAGGACCATCTGAAGTTCACATGGGTCTGCTGCTTGGCAGTTGTACCCAAGTTGGTTGTGACCATTTCCACAAGTACAACTTGGAAACTTGCCAATAAACAGTGGCTCTTCCAGGAGGTTCTAAGGACTAAACCATTACAAATGAACTTCTTGAGGTGTCCTTGGCTACTCCCCAGCATTGCAGTGGGATGGGCCATTGCTACCTCTACCTCCTACTAGCTCCCCATCCTTCAACCAACCAAGGTCATGAAGCAGGAAGAGTACAAAACCCACAGCGCCATCCAAAAAGCAGGGAGGACAACTAGTTGTTTTCTAGTGAAAACTATTTACCTCCAGCAGCTGTCCCCTCTTCAGAGAGCTGGATCTGCAGCCACTCTGTGCTCGAGACAGAGACCACCACTGGCTCTGACAAGCAGGAAAAGGTCCTGTGGCTGCCCTCTCACAACAGAGCATCCTGGTGGGGCAGCTCATGCTCAGCCAGATGCCATCAACTATGACTGCCTCCCATAACATCTTTCTGGCTCTGACATTACAAATAACATTTTCCCCACCTCTATGTACACCTTCCTCCAAATTGCTTCATATGCAGACTTTGTAAGTATCTCTGAGCCACAGGTTTGGCCTGAGGAGAGCAAGTGCAAACTTTTCTGCCAATGGTAAAGACTCATGCTTCATGCTGATGGAAACATTTTGTGTTTGCTTCATTCAAAGGGCAAACTATAACCTTGTTTACTGTACAGAGAGATCCAGCTTCTTACATAACAGCCCTGTCACTTTTTTGGTCCATTTGGTTGCAGAAGAGACACTTGCCCTGCACACGGGAAACATTTTATGCAGGCTTGGCAGAAATGTGAGGCCGCATTGCAAGTGTCAGTGGAGAGCCAATCCCACAGCCCTTATACATGCAAAGCAATTTATGACTTCAGAGATGGCAGAGGATAATCCAGCTGGATATTTTGTTAATTCACCCTCAGCAGCTTTTAAAAATTCTGCGGTTGCTTCTTTCTTTCACAAACCCAACCACTAAAAACAAGCAGTGTGGCTGACTGTAAACACACGCAGAAGAGTCAAGCAACAAGGCTAATGGCATGAAAGGGCCTTTCAAAACAAACAAACAATGGGTTGCATCCAACTAAGCCCTACTCAAGAGTCAACCCACTGGAATTAATGAATCCAAGTTAACCATGCTCATCAACTTCAATAGGTCAACTCTGAGTAGGACTAGCATTACATACAGCCCCATGTCTCTTCAGTCAAATCCTGCTTCCTATTTGAAACTCTTTCCCAAACCAAAGAAATATGTAAATTCTAGAAGTTGACCTGAACTTCAGCAGGACAGAAAAGCAGCTCAGCCGTTTGCTCAACTTCACGAAAGTTCAAAAGCAGCAATAAGATGCCCCTGTGCACCCCAAACACCTTTTCTTCTTCAGGCATGGGAGCAAGCAAACACACACACACACACACACACACACACACACAACGTGCCCCCAACAACACGCTCAGCAGAAGCATAAGGCCAGCCCCCCTCGCCTCCATCTCCAGGAAGAGAGCCAAAGACACACACCCTCCGCTCCCCATTTACATCCGGCTCTAATAAGGTTGGTCTTCAAAGCGAGTGCCGCCAGCGAGTGGCACAGAGGCTCGGCAAGCGAGAGCAGCGGCGTCCCCTCAGCATGCGGCCCCCACGGAGCCCCAGCTGCTTATTAATCCATAATGCTATTCAAGGGCTCCCTGTCACTCTCGCTGTCACAAGCTGCCCCTCCACAATGAAATAATCCTCCTCCTAATGAAGCACTATTGGATAATTGTGGATATTATCTACTCCGGTTAGAAGATCCTTTAAAAACCATTTTGCCGCAAGCTGCGGCAGATCGGCAAAGCCGCCGCTTCTTTTTATTTGTGTTTGCGGAGCCTCAGCTCTGAGCCACTATTTTAATAGAGAGGGTCTATTTGAAAAGCGTTAAGTCTTTTGCTCATTATCATGCACAGGGGGTAGCGACCTAAAGAAATCTGCCTCTTGGCAGGCAATCAGCAATCTCCCAGCAAAGGTGGTGGTGTTTGTTGTTGTGGTTGTTGTTTTTAATGCAGTGAGGAGGAGGAGGAGGAGGAGGAGGAGGAGGAGGAGGAGGGAGAAGTTACTCCAAGGCACTTCTCACCCATTTTATACTTTTATAAACAATACTGATAGAGAACACAGACAAATTACCAATATCCATTAGGGCAGTTTAAAAATTTGGCAGTGAGGCAGAGGTCCCTTGATTTATCCATTAAGAAAAGGTGCCCAAATCAAACTGGATTTCCGTGATATTAAAACTTTGTCTCCTCAACAGCACAGCTTTAGTCATGGGCCTGACTTCTGCTTAATACACCCTTCCATGTGTGTGTGGGGGGGGAGGCACCCACCCCAGTGATGTGTTGCGAATGGGGAGTCAGCCATTGACTCCACTGAGACCCACTGAACACAGGCAGCTCTCCAGCCCCTCCAGCGCAGACTGGCTATTCAAGACCCCTTTGCCCACACAGGGGCCTGCACCAAATCCCCAGATCATATCCTGAGAGATGGCTGCAGTGGCAAATCTGAAAACACAACGGCAAGACTCCCAGCAGTGCTAGCCAGAGCCCTGTTCCCCCATTCTTGTCATCTACGGACAAGGGCAGCCTATCTGAGGCACTGAGCAAGAGCCCCCCTCACCCCCGTGACTGGAATGGCCAAGGTGGCTGGCTGAGGTCTGTGGCTTGGATGCATTGAAGGCTTCGTTTTGACATCTGGATTAGAACAATTGCAGTGGAATGGCTGGATCCCCATTTGAAACTGACCACCATACTCTACGACTGGTCTAAGAAAATAAAAATTGCTCCCTGTGTTTAAATTGATTATCTTGTTAGAACTGCTAAAGCCATTGCTTGCAGCTATTTACAAGAGAGGGAGAACTTATTTTTATCCCTTGCAAGTTATCTTGATGACAGATCCCCAGGAGATGGTGAAGCCTTCCCACTATTTTGATAAGATTTAATATAAATCAATGTGAGATTGTAAATGTCAAGTTTAAGTGGCATTATCTGGCTACACACACACACACACCCCAGCCCAAATAATGTTAAAGTGAATTCCAACTGGCATGTGTGCCTCTAGGCTACTTGGAGACAAAATTCCCCCATTTTATCTGCACAACATAATCAAAAACAAAAAGCACAGAGAAAGCTTCTTCCGCCCAGTCCACCGCTGCTTTCCCTATTTTTAACAAAGCAAGAGCAGAGGCATGAGGATGAGAACAGAGTATTGACATTGACATCTTTGGTGGCCTCCACTGCCACTAAGAAGTGGGCAGGACCCGGGGCTTGTTCAGGGCTGGCCACATTTGCGAAGATGCTTCCTTGGAACAGTATCTGCAGATACACTTATCTCCGCTGAACTGAAACTTCAAGATTACAGCTGGAAGTGCCACGGCTCGCTTTGAACTGACTTGGGCCTGAGTCACGGAAAAGCAGGCAATTATGAATTAATATACTAATATATACACACAGAAATAAGGAACACTCTTCCTGGTTGCTGACCTAAATGTGATCAAGGCCTGACTAGAGAGCCTGACGTAATTACAAACTGCCACCATTTATGGAAGGCGACAAATGTGGGGGAAGACAAAACACACTCTGAGGGAGCCAACCCTCTTCTGATGCTGTTTCTGAGATAAACATAATCTCTGGAAGGTCCTTTTCAGGCACACCAAGGATGGGGCCACCTGGGAGAGAGCAGTGCCACCTTTGACTGTGGCTTTCCCAGAAGAGTGAACCACAAAGGCTGCAGTTCCACCTAAGGAACAGAGGCAAGAGGTGGATCACTGGCGGGAATGGCAGAGACCGGCTGTGGGGGTTCTTCCTTTCAGAGTTAACAATACTGGGGAAGGGGGATAATTTTAGAGGCTGCCACACGGCTGTACTTTCCCCACTAGAAGACACTCAAGCAACCGTAGACACAAAAACACACTCCCACCTAGTGCTGAAGTTCTAACGACTGCTAACGATGGCGTTATGGAGAGGAAAGCATTTTCATTTCATCTTGCCCATCCTAATGATTCTGAGCAGGACCCCATGGGCTGAGTGAGCCTGTTTGGGCTCACAGAAACCACCACCCTATATTTATTTCATTCAAGAACTGCTCAGGGTGGCTCACAACACATTTGAAAGCCACAAAATACCAAAGAAATAAAATAAAAAGCAATTCAATAAGGCAGGAGACAAAAGTAAAATATATATAGTAAAATATAGTTAAAACTCATCTTCCAAGGAGTCATAGCTACTTCTTTGTCAGTAACACTCAGCTTGAGGACTGCTGTCCTCCCCCTGCAAGCCTAATCACCAAAGCAAGGTGGTTTGAGCATATTACACCCATCTGGGCCCAACTGCACTGGCTGACAGTTATTTTCTGGGCCCAATTCAAAGTGCTTGCCTAGAACTACAAAGCCTTAAACGGCAGTATGAACCTACCTGGATCTTGTGATCATAATCTGAGGCCCTTCTTCGTGTGCCCCCTCCATGAAAGCTCCTTTCTCATGTGGCCAAGACTGGCAACACGAGAAAGGAACCATTTGAAGGGCTCCCCGTTTTGTGGAATACTGTATAGACTCCGAGTTTAATGCTGACTTTTCCAAGCCCCCCTTGGCTTATACTCGAGCGAGGGTCCCTGTTGGCGGCTGTTGGCAGCGGCGGAGGAGGGGACGAGCAGCTCCAAAGCAGCCCTTTTGGGCTGCTCCTTCTTCCTCCACCGCTGCCACCACCAGCCTCTGCCTCTCGGCAGCCCCCTAGGTAGGCAGGGGGACAGAAGGGGCTGGGGGGGGGGAGAGAAGCCCCCTCTGCCGTGTGCGCATGCACACACATGCACTCCAGCCCACCAGGAGGTTTGTGGTGTGGTGAACCAGCTTATACTCAAGTCAATAAGTTTCCCCAGTTTTTTGTGGTAAAATTAAGTGCCTCTGCTTATATTCAGGTCGGCTTATACTCCAGTATATACTGTACTCGCCCTGGGAGGCTTCCCTGGTACCATCATTACTTCTCTTTAGGCACCAGATGAAAACATTCCTCTTCTCCCAAGCCTTAAACAAACTATGGCCTTTTAAACTGTGGGGTATTTTTATTGATTTGTTTGTTAATACGTTACATATTTTCGTGCTTTTATACTGTAAGCTGCCCTGTGATCCTTGGACAAAGAGCGGTACAGTGGTGCCTCGCAAGACGAAAATAATCCGTTCCGTGAGTCTCTTCGTCTGGCGGTTTTTTCGTCTTGCGAAGCAACCCTATTAGCGGCTTAGCGGATTAGCGCTATTAGCGGTTTAGCGGCTATTAAAGGCTTAGCGGCTTAGCGGCTAAAAGGCTATTAGCGGCTTAGCGGCTTAGAAAAAGGGGGGGAAAGCGAAAAAAATCGCAAGACGTTTCGTCTTGCGAAGCAAGCCCATAGGGAAATTCGTCTTGCGAAGCGCATCGAAAAACGGAAAACCCTTTCGTCTAGCGGGTTTTTCGTCTTTCGAGGCATTCGTCTTGCGGGGCACCACTGTACAGTGGTACCTCGGGTTAAGTACTTAATTCGTTCTGGAGGTCCATTCTTAACCTGAAACTGTTCTTAACCTGAAGCACCACTTTAGATAATGGGGCCTCATCCTGAAGCAAAGTTCTTAACCTGAGGTACTATTTCTGGGTTAGCAGAGTCTGTGACCTGAAGCGTCTGTAACCTGAGGTACCATTGTATATAAATTTAAGAAACAAACAAACAAACAAACAAACATACATACAAACAATTTCAGTCGGAGAACCAACCTCAGTAAGTCCTGCTGCTGTTTGCTTGGCAGCAATCAATGCCAAGGCTCGTTCCTGGCCAAAGGCCCTCTCTCTCCACCAGAGCAACAGCAAAACTCTTTCTGCTTGCTATGGTGGCCCAGAAGCCCTTCCTGATCTGGGCTGGGGTGATCCATGCAGGTGTGGACCAGGAGGTCCTTGAGGTTTCATGATTCCCAGGCCAATGTCTGCTAAGACGAACTGCAGGGTCCACTCCTCAGAAGCAAGCAGTGTGTCTCCTTGGGGGGCATAAAAAAGGAAGCAGAGGCTCCCTTGAGGAACACCCCCCCCCCCGTGCACCAGGGACTCTACTTGAGGGCGCACTCTGGACACATCAGGAGCAACTGGATGGCTTGCCTTGATTAGGTCTGTTTTAAGGGAAATCCCTCCCATCACCCACGACTTCAAAGTCAGTGGCAGCAGAGCTCTTGCAAGAGGAGCAGAGGGCTGTTACGAGTCACGCTGTGCTGCTCTCTCAAAGGCTACTCAATCCCTACCACGGCATCTCATTGATTTCATTTATTGACTTCTCCACACCGATATTTCTCTCTCCCTCTTGATGGACCCTGCATGGTGCTTTTGCACACTGCCAACAAATTAATCAGCACCTATTGAGCTGCTGGATGACTCAGACCTGAAACCCCAACAACAGCACACTGCCTGGTCCAACAAGCATCTCATTACACCTTGTCAGCCAAGCTCCCCCCCCCCCCCCCCCGCCCCAAAGGAACAGCACTATCCCCACGGCTCTTATCTGACTTAGGAAGGGCCTCCTGCACCCAATATTTTTGAGATTCTTCACCTCAAAACCCATCAAGGAAGACTGTGTTCTGGGGAAATGGGTCTTCTTGGGTCTCTCTCATCTGCCCTTGGACCTCAAAGCAGAGTCAGCAGCACCTGAGTCCCTAACGGAGACTGTTTCCCCTCCTCTCCAGGTTGTTGTTGTTTTAAAGGCAAAACTATTGCAATTCATTCCGTCATTGGCTAATTCCAATACAAACACAACACAACACAACACAACACAACACAAGGACCACTGGAACTCTACCTTCCAAAGTAATACCCTACAGGCTACCCTGACCATGATCTGCAGGCAGGCAGACCCCAGGGGTTCCCAAGCAGCTTGCTCTTCCAGGGCTCTTGGCACCACGTCTCTCACTGAGTTTTAAAAGCAGCTCACATTTATGCACAGGAAACTTCAGAAGAGCACCCAAGAGGCAACCCCCTGGGATGATCATCTGCCCTTGCCATCAATGCTCCAGTTCAGGGTCAGACATGTACTTTCAATACCAGTGGTTGCTTGAGCATTGCAGCTCTCAGACCACATCACAAATCATACATAACTTCCTTCTTTAACAGGTACATCCAGTATCAAAACTTCCATGGTACTCATGTTGACAATTATAGTTTAAAACAAGTTACACTTTTATACCAGCAGCATAGTTGCAACAGAGTATTCTGAGAACAGCCCAGGACTAAGTGATATACTAAGTATAGATGGAGCATGAATACTCTGTGACCAACCCAAAGACGCAAGCAGTTTAAGTTTCTGAAACTCACTATCACACAAACTAAACAGCATGAATTTAAACTCTGTCAGAACCAATTTTTTGGGCAATGTAATTAATGATTTGCAAAACAGGAATCTGACTTTGTCCTTGATTCTTGCCTTCTTTGGTCAAGATCCAGTAATCCTAGGCACTGTATGGACTCCTCAAAATTTGGCATTTCCCCAGGTCTGTACTCATCCAACAGTCTACTAACTCGTGATATTCTGAATGGAAGGCAAGTTTTATTCTCTGAACTATTCATTTCCACTTATTTCCATTTTTCCACACTGTGCATAAACATGAAAGTGATACTTACCTCATACAATAAGCAGCCCAAGGACCAGATGTCTGATTTAAAATTATAGCCATTTTCATGTATCCTTTCTGGGGACATATAGTAGGGTGTTCCCACTGCAAGAGACAAGCCCAGAAAGAGGGATCACTCTCTGAAGAGAGAGCACCATTTGTGCAATGATCTGTAAGCAAACTAACGGACCAGAAGCTGTGGGAGCAACAGGATATTAAAGACTAGGAAATGAAAACATGGATATATTAAGAAAAACGCATACTCTGAGGAAGACTCCATCTCAAAACCAAAGGTCACGTTTTCCTACTGACCACATTCAGCAACACAACTGCTAAAAGTTAACAGCCTCAATTTGCCATTAAATAGAAGATCTCTCTGCCAGACTGTTGAGGACAAAAGCACAGATTAAAATGGCTTCTCCGGTCCTCATTAATCCAAAGCCAAAGGTGACACTGGGTTCAGTGATTTGGCCCAAAAAATTTTTTGTTCCAGATCTGCCCATTGTCCATCTGTAGTATGAATAGCATTGGAATTGCATGTTGAACCAAAAGTCAAATGCTCTGGAAGGCCTGCAAATGTCACCTTCCTAGTTAAGATAACCCCAAACTAATTAGTTATTGTTGCAAGAATGAGCTCATGTATGTTTATATTCACTTGGTTTGATATATGTGAACTGGCTAGCTCTGATGCTATGCTTACCTGTTGGCCTTGGGGTGCTGGGCTCTAGGGCCGGAGTGGGGAGAAGCTTAGGACAGCCGCCACTCAGGTGTAATAAGGGGTTCTGGGCAAAATGATGTATGCTGCTTTGTGCATAAAGGCTGTATGAATGGTTGCTTGGGTGTGGACACAGGTCTGTAAAGGCAATGAGGCTCTGCACATGGTGGTGTAAGCTTACACCTTTCTTTATAAAGCAACAGAACTGGCCGTTTTGGTCTTTTTGAAATCCTCCTTTGGTATCCCTGCACCAAACCACTCACTCCTGCCATTCTTGGGAGCCTGCAGTTCAGAACAATTAAGGACTGGCACAGCAGGGAGCAGTTCAAAGTTTAAGCCCATTAAAGAGGGGACATTGCCACTGCTTCAGGCAAAGCATGATAGCCTCACTTAGCCCACCTCTTATAACATAGGCAGTCAGAGCGCAGTAAAAACTCTCAAGGATTTGACAAGTGCAGTGCAGCAAGACATTCGATGCTGGAAACACAGGAGATACCAGATCAGTGTGAGCTCCAAGACCACCAAAACCCAGCCTGGAGTACAGAGGAGAAATATACCAAGCTAAGCTCGCTGGCTCCTCCGGACAGCTGGAATATACTAAAGTAACAGAGGAACAAGGGCTTTCTCCTCCAGCTGCCTGCTACTGGGTTTTGCCTTTGACAGCGGCTAGGAACCAATTATCAATATCCTAGTCTCAGTACAAAGTTGTGTGATTTAAGGAGCATCTCTTCTGGTTGGGAATTGGGTCAACAAAGAGGGAGGCTCATTCCTTGTGAAGAGCAGCCTTTAGAAAGAAAGAAAAAGCCACACTGTTTAACATGCCTTCCTCCATTTCTCCCTCCTGTGCCCACACTAGCATTTCAAGTGAGATAAAATACTCAGTCGAGGTTTGCTTCCTCTGAGCCCTTGACCCAGGTCTGCTCTGACTGTGCAGAGGCGCAGAAGCCGGATTTGGGATGTGTGTGTGTGTGTGTGCTCATTAGCTAGCACCTCTTTTAATGAACTACACAGAGAGACACAAGTCAGAACAGCAGAATACTAAGAGGAGGCAAGGCTGGGTGCTGGCTTTTGAAATCCATGTCTGGCTAGGTTCTTAACTGCACACTTCAGGAAAGGGAAGCATATAATCAATGACTATTTTGCTGTCTCCTTCCAAAATGCATTCAATCATTAATCATGCTCTAATCATCGCCCTCCATGTGTTGTTGGACGTCAACTCCCATCAGGTTCAGTAAGCATACTCAATAGGCAGGTATGATGGGTGTGCAGCAACATCTAGGGGGCCACAGGTCCCCCCTCCCAACCTGATGGTTTCTAAAATTAAAAAAGTTAAAGACAGTACTACAGAAGAAATGAATTATCTGAAGCCTCTCCAGAAGGCAACACCCAAGGTCTCTTCTGAACCTGGATACCCAGCATGAGTAATACTGAACATTCCCAATGGCTCCAAAATACTAAGCATTAACTGTGTATGTAGCACTTTTTATTATTGTGCTGATCTTACAGTCATCCTCTTATTCATATCCACAAAAATTTTTAAGAGGCTAAGAATGATCTGCTTAACACCACCCACAGGCAGTGAAGAAGACCCTTGATTCTTGGCCTCCTCGATGGAGGTTTACAGCTCTACCCATACTTCTCACTTTCCTGCCCCCTCCTGTTTTCAAGTCCTACTAGGTACATTTTTCTGTACTGAAATTAAAGCAGCCTTGGCCCAGCAGGACTCTCACATTCACGGGAGTGCTTAATTTTGAAGGAGAGGATGGAGACGGGCCCACTGAACACCAGACTTTGTTATCCAGAAGATGCACATTCTACAACCCTTTCCTGCGGTATCCTTAGTGAAGCAACTCTGCACACGCTCAAAGGCACTGAGCCCTGAGTGAGCCTGTGCACAACAATGGGAGTGAGAAAATGTGTGTGAGGAAACACACACACCTACCCAAACCTTGGGGAGTCCAGAGCACTCTGGGGGCAAAGGCAGAGCCTCTGGCATTCATGAAATCAGAACACAAGTCTTGGGTCACCACAGAGTCATTTAGCAGCAGATCATGAGGAGACTTGGGAAGTTGCTGCTTTGCATTCTGCAGTTGTGCAATCCTTTGTTCAATATAAAATTGTCGTTCCAAATAATGCCTGAAAACGACATTCAATCAAAGCAGAACGACAGTGTTTATGTTACGGGTGAGTGCGCCATATTCCTAATTTGATTTCTGCACATTAAACTGTACTATTATGGGAAGTAGGTCTGTGGAACAGCCTGTTTGTCACCCTGGCCTGCTAAAGCCACCCTGGGCATCTGCCTATCGCGGTGGTGGTGGTGGTGCTGTCAGCAAAGAAATGAACAGGCAGATCTCTGAGCTTCAAAAGAAGGAGAAGGAAAAATGTATTATTTTTTAAATAAATGCCAAGATAAAAGACTGACAAGCCCAATTGTCTTCCTGGCCTGTCCAGCATTAAGTGGGGATCTCTTGTAATGAGCATCTTCCAGGAAAGTGCACAAGACTTCCGATTTAATCAGCCAGGACTCAGCAACGCATCGCATCAGCCAATTTGACAAGAGGAGGCTAATCAGAGGCTATTAACCAGAAAGTTTCCATGGCAGAGAAGACAAGAATCCTGGGGGTGGAAGAACAGCCTATGGAACAAGAAGGCTTGGGATGAAGACCTGGGAGCCAGTTGTCAGATTTCATGTATGGGTTCTTTTGAGGGACAGGTGGCCACTCTGGGCTGGGCTGCTGAAAGCACCTTTTATGGGTTATGTCATGTATGCAGGGCTGGAGTGCAATCAGAACTTTACCATCAATCCTCCCAGGCTGAGAGGGGAAACTTCACAGGAACATAAGAAGTCACCGCTGCTGCATACTCAGGGCATGGGTGGACTCTAGGGACATAGGCTGCAGCCATACACCAGGTTAGGCTATTGGCCCATCTAGCACAGCATCATCTGCACTGATTGGCAGTGGCTGTCCACGGTTTCAGACAGAGAACGATCCCAGACCCACCTGGAAAGGCTGACATGCATTTAACCTGGAGCCTTTTCTGCATGCAGAGCCGATGGGGTGGCACTTGCCCTGAAGGAGCAGGTTCACAGTTTTGGGGAGCTTCTGGATCCACCTTTGTCACTGGGGGCTCAGGTAGCCTCAGAGGCTAGAAGTGCCTTTTACAAAGTGCAAGTGATATGAAGCTACGGCCATTCCTGGACTGGGAAAGGCTGGCTTCAATAGTTAATGCACTGGTTACTTCAAGACTGGATTACTGCAATGCGCTCTATGTGGAGCTTCCCTTGCGCTTCATGAGGAAGTTGCAGTCAGCAAAGAATGCTGCACTGGCTGCCAGTTCGTTACCAGGTGTTGCTCTTAGCATAGAAAGACCTTAACAAATTGGGGCCAGTTACCTTTCAGATCACTCAACCACATATGCTGCACTCAACCACTTTGATCTGTGGAGCTGTTGCTGATACAGGTGCCATACAAGACGTGTTCCACATTTGCAAGACACAGTATTTTAGTGTGGCAGCAACCACCCTTTGGAACTCCCTGCCTGTTGACATCAGGCAGGTGCCTTCACTGTACTCTTTCTAGCACCTGCTAAAAACATTTTTATTTACCGTATTTTTCGGCCCATAGGACGCACTTTTTCCCCTCCCAAAATGAAGGGGAAATGTGTGTGCGTCCTATGGGGCGAATGCAGGCTTCGCGCAGATCTCTGCAAGCCGTGGGAGCCCGCGCCGGGCTTGCGGAGAGTTGCCTGCATGCCGAAGGCTGGGCGCGCTGAGCTCAGCACGCCCAGACTTCGCGCAGCTCTCCGTAAGGCGCGGGAGCCTGGCACTGGGCTCCTGCGGCTTGCGGAGAGTTGCCTGTTCTGGGGGCTGGGGTCGGGGGGGAAGCTTGGGCTTCCCCAGCCCCGCGCCTGGGGGGGAAATAAATTCCCCCCCTTTATTTCCCCCCCCAAAAAACTAGGTGTGCCTTATGGGACGGTGCGTCCTATAGGGCGAAAAATACGGTAGGTAAGTCTACTTAGATATGTAAATGTTGATGCGTGTTTTGTTTTCAGTTTTTCTGATCACATTTTTTAAAAAATGTTTTAAATATTTGTTTTTAAGTTTTTGCTGATAGTTTCATTCTTTTATTCTCTTTGTAAACCATGTTGAAGTTTTGTACAATCAAGTAGTTTATAAATTTAATTAAATAAGGTGAATAAATTGTTAATGTATAAGGGTGTGCTGAGTCACTCTCACATGCTTAACTAGTCTCCTGCCCCTGTGACTAGTTAAGCATGTGAGAGTGACTCAGCACAATCTAAAGCATGGTTACTTGTGCTTGAAGCAGTGCTTTTTCGGGGGGGGGGATACAGGGGTACACATACCCCTAAATGTTTTGTGAATCTAACAGAAGAAACTAAAATTTTAAAATGCTAAGTTTCTTCTCCAGCAACTGAATCATCAGCTCCGCTGCCCCCCCCCCATGGTGGCTTCATTTCCTTTCCCAGTGTTTCCTGAGTCTCAGACGGAAGCGGGCATTTAATGTGTGAAGCAGTGTGGAATGTGGATGTGTGATCTTTTACTGATGAAAGTTTGGCCTCATTGAGGGGCAGTATTTAAATCTGAATAGGAAAATGAGTATTTTTCATTATCACAGCCACCAAAGAAGTGCAAAGTTAATGATGACCTCTGTAAAAACAAAAGATGGCACAACAGCAAGCAGAGGAATGGGGAAGATGTTAGTGCCCACAACCTCATACCGATGTGGAAGTTACTGTCAGCTGTGTAATATGAGGTAATGCATGTTCTTTGTACTTTTGTCCAATTACTGAATTTATTTATTTTCCCCGCTTTGAACTATAAAATAGTGATTTTCTTGAGTCAAAATGAGAGTACCCCTAGATATTTTTTTAGAAAAAAAGCACTGGCTTGAAGTCAGTTTGCTCTTGGTCCCTCTTGCCCTTGGCCAGAGCCTAGCCTGTTGGAACCCGGCAAGGAGACTGTGAGCTGCTGGAAGAATTGTGCAACATACAACTGTATGCCTACAAGCTGTGGATCTGCACTATACTGTCAGTAAAGGAAGTGACTCTACTTGGAACTGTCTGGTGTTTTTCTGTTCCACTGGCACACTCCACATGCCACAACATAAATAAGTAAAGATTTACAATCCATTTGGCTACACGAAAGATCTGCCATACACATAGCTAATTTAGTTTAGCCCATGCATTTTCAATTGCTTCCATAGCTATTCATAAGCTATTGTGAAGGCCCAATTTGGGCAAAAAGGGTTGTTCATAGATTTAATAAATAAAATGTCTAAGGCTGAAGAGCCATATTTATGCTTTATGTACTTTAATGGGCAATACAAATGATAGGCAGCCATGTGGGTAACCAGGTAAGAGACACACGTCTCTGCCATGGACTCGCTGGGGCCAGCAAGATGGTCTCAGGCTTCCTGTTGCAAGACGGGAACAGTATGGCTGACCTACTTCACAGTTTGCACAAAAAGGGGAGCTACTACTTATATTATGCAACTTCGTTTTCAAACACCTATCCACATAGTCAGAAACCAAATGCTGACACAGAGGTCTAGACATGAAACATGCATGAAGAGATGTAGCTCCAAATGACTTCTATAAAAAGAATATCCATTCGATGTTTGCTTCCTTTGAACAGATACACTCAAAATTTTTCCTACTCTTGCTGATTGTTTAAACCACAGCATTAGCTCCAAATATATAAGCAGGCTGAGGAGCAGGAGATGAGTGCTCATTTTCCCACGCTGTAAAAATTATTACTACACTATATACTATTACTATATATCCTGCCCAGAATAGTTTAATTCAAGGCAATTTAGATCACAAAAATGCTGATTTAGAATTCTAAAACCCTGTTTATTAATTAGACAAAAACTTCCTGATTAGAAATGCATGGTAATTTGTTGCAAAAACTATAGAAACTTTAAAAAAAAAATTAGACTATTGACTGTGAGCCAATTGCAGAGATCAATTAGTTACTAGACATAAAAACGGAGTGAAAGATCACGCAGGGAATCAGTGGAGGCCGCTAGTCCTCAGCCTCTAATAATATCAAGGCAAAATGGCTTTTTCTTTCTCAAGAAAAAAAGTTGTAAAAAAACCATTAATTCAATTTTAATTCAATTCAATTATATATTTGCTTTAAATTCTGTTTTAAAACCATGCTTTAAAATATATATATACTAAAACATTAATAAAATAATAATAATAATAATAATAATAATAATAATAATAATAATAATCAACTGTTATCTACCCTCACCATGCAAAAAATGTAGTTTCTCCCCAGGAATCACCACCCTAAGGCAGCCCTAAATTCTGACCTTCCCCAGTTTCAAGCCAAGATACAAGAGGGCCTTGAAGGGGCAAAGCTGCTTAAGGCAGCAGTGAGTTCCAGAGATGCTCTGCTCCTATCAAGACAAACCCTGCAAGTTTTGAGGCATGTTCATGATGTATGAAAAAGGCAAAGAATGCTCCCTTCTGAAGAAGCCTAACTGCTGCAAAGCTCCAGCCATTCAAAATAAGTATTTTTTAGGAATACTGAGTTTTAGAGTATCACTTGCATCTTGGTTCAGTTATGATATAACTCCAAAGGTAGAGAGGGACATTCAGGGTCATTTAAGCCTGAACATTCTTCTCCAGGCACATAAGACACATGGCCTGCTTCTCACGAGGAGCGTTGCTTCTTCAGCAACACTCCGTTTACTTCAGGTATAAATTGAAAAAATCAGTTTCTTGAGGCGTATGTTGCAAAAAGAAAATCTTCCATTTTTTTCACCTCCCTACTGTAAATCATCTGGTACTTTTAAAATTGTCTACAAAATAAGACTGTGTCAAAATATTTTAGTAAATTAATATTTTACAATTCATCTATTCTGGTAAACCATTAATATTTATTTTTTTCTTTAAAAAGACATTACATCTTAACTCCTGTGACATGGCTGGCTTTTACAGAACAAGCACAGTGAATTCTCTGTCAAGACTATTCAAAAGGTATTTTGCTGATTAGAAGTCAGTGGCTGAGAACCCACCTTGCAAGCAGGAAATCCCAGGTACAATTGCCAGCACCTTCAGGTCAGGCTGAAAAAGACTCCTGCCTGCAGCCCAGGAGAACGGTTGCCAGTTAGCAATGACAAGACTGAGCTAGATGGAACAATCACCTGACTTGGCATAAGACGGCTTTCCATGTTCCTAAATACAGGACGAAAAAGCCTTGGTTCCTCCTGCCCTCAGCCCAAACGCTAATGGCACCAAGGGTGGCTTCACTACACAGAACCGCCATTCGCACATGTGGGCTCATGCACTGACAAAGAGGCCCCTTCAGTCTTCCTGTTCTAGCTAGGGCCCCGTCCACAGGACAAAGCTGGTCTGGCATGAGGAGCAACAGGATGTTTACACCTTGGTGTTCTCTTTGGACAGAAATAGAAACAAAACCTAAGGGGCCTAAGTCTGGATCAGATCAAGGTGTGTGTGCCCAATCCAGGGTCTTGCTTCCAGCACTGACTAGCCAGGTGCTTCTAGGAAGTCCACAAGCAGTCTGTGATGATGCTCTCCAGCCCCGCCCACTGGGTAATAATACTGTACAGATTCCACCTGCTGCCCATCGGCTAACAATACCCGTATATTACTTCCAGTATCAGACAGTCTGAATACCAGCTGCTGGGGAACACGAATGGGCGTGTGCTACGACCATTAGATCCTGCTTGCAGGCTTCCCATGGACATCTAGTTGACTGCCAGGAGAGCAAAATGCTGGACTAGAGAGGCCCTTAGTTTATGTTACCAAGACTCTCTTGACCACACATCATTTCCCCAATCCCACATCTCTGCAGTTTTCTACGCCACCAATACAAAAGTTGTCCTCTAAGAGAGTAAATACACAAGACCAAACCCTGTAAGGTATCTGTGGCATGAGAGCAGTTTCTGCCATTTGGGAAATAAGGCCATACATCAGGTTTCCTCAAAACAAAGAAAGAATGCCATTATTGAAAAAAGACTCTATAAAAAATGCAGCTGTGGACTGTGCCTCACATAGTAATTTCATAAAAGTGGCAACGCATTGTATATTTCAACACTGGGTTGCAATGCTAACAGTTACTCGTAAGCTATTCTAACAGCATCCCATGAAAATCCAGGTGCCCACCTGTGCAAGTCTGAATGTATAGTAATTAAATGTTCCTGGTACAGAATAAACACAGGCTGCCAGAAGAGTAGGCAACCAAATGTATGACATCCTTAGTTTAGAAAGCTTCTATAGCTGGCCACTGTATTACATGGTCCCCATATCCCACAATTATTTCCTGGAAGAACTTGCAAGTCAAGTATCTCCCAGCAAACCGTTAAGTGCATTCACTGAACTACAGCTGACCTGGGCAATCCTGACATATGAAGGAGAATATCTCACCTTCCAACAGCAAAAGGCAGATGGTCAAAGGGGGAGCATCTGTAGAACACTGCCTAGACTTTGCTAAGGGTTTTCTAACTGCTTGCAATGAGCCAATGTCACAATTTTTCCAGTGAGACCGAGATGTTCCCTTCCCATGTTTGAATAAGGTTTGGGGTTTACTAGCATTAAGGACTCAACATGTGGAATGATGTGCACCTAAGTTTATTCTGCCAGCCTGCTGTCAGGTATTTATTTAAGTGGGCCTCACCCCTGTCTTGCTTTATGAATGCAGACTTGTGGTGAAGAAATAGGAGCCTCGAAATCCAGCCGTGTAATTTGTCGTGCAGAGCCGAGACATTCGCTTGTATCTGGCGAGGAGCGTATGGGCAAATCTTTCATTTTTCTTTCATTACCCCGGCATGTACTGTCACTTAATTTTTATGTATGCAATCCTTCCTGACAAATATGATCTGCTGCTGGGTAATTCGTTTGACGTTCATTCTGTTCCTTGCTCTAATTATGGCTTCCATTTCTGACATGGAGGCGTCTGTGCTGCCAGAGCCAGGAGTACACCTGTCAGACAAGTTGTGGTACTGCCTAATGCCCTTTTATGCCAGTCTGATGTTAGCAAATACAAAGGGAGGAAAAATAGGTGAATCTATTTGCATAAGCCCTGCACTCAATTCATGGGTCAGCAGCCTTAGATATTAGAGTTTAGGACGGTTGCCAGGGCAACACTGAAATAGGGGGGGGAAATTCCAGTATCGCAAGCAGAGTCACTGTGCATATGCATTTCCTAATGTCTATCAAAATGTAGATTTCCAGATTAAACTAAACCCAAGGTTGTGCTACTGTGGAGCAAATAAAAATAGTAAAGTGAAGGAAGATGAGTTGAACTTCAAGGGGTTGTTTTGATTTTCAAATGAAACATTTCTCTGGCTGCAAAACAGGCTTGCGCTTCGGTGCAAGACCAAACTCAGGATCCTTTGACATTCCAGCACTCTAATTTTGCTGCTCGGAGACTGTTTCTCAAGAAGGGCAGCCTAGCCATTGCCAAGGAGGAAGAGAGAGGCTTCAGCAAGTGCTCCGTTAAAAGCACTGACACTGGTCTCCTGCCTTCCTCATGACTGCCTGGTCCAAAGTCTTAATTTCATTATTCTAAGCGTAGCAAATGAGATAAAAGGATCCTATTTTTTACCACATCTAATGCAATTTTAAGTTGTTCTGAAAGGGAGAAATTCATTGGTGTGGCCCAGCCTGACCACACATACACCACTAAGACAGCATCCTTGCCATTTTCTGTTGAATTCACAAGAGCACCCAGGCATACTTTCCATAGCAACCAAAGACCATACTTCTTCTCCCACAGTGCTGCAATGGCATGCAATCTTGCAATCTCAGAAACACACGTTCAATACAAGCAAGTTAGATAACGCAAATCAGTAAGGCCAAATGGACAGCTTGTGAACTAAATGCCAGGAACCAAAAGGGAAAGTGGACATCAACTGCACCTGTAAAAAACCTTTAATACAAAACAGCTAGATGTTGATAATAAATGCTACATTTATCATAAATAAATTTAAACATTTAAAAAATTTTAAATTTCTAAGTGTATTATTTCATCACAGATGTGCTTGCTAGCCTCAGCTCCTTTGAGAGAAGGGATAGAATGTTAACTAACTAACTAATACAAAGTGTCAAGGAGTTTACATTTGCTGGTGTCAAATAAGGTCACACTGGAAGTCTGATCAATGCTGAAGGATATACAAAGTCCACATCATTCTACAAGTTTGGAGTGGATAAAAATAATGAAGAAACAAGAAAAATGGAATAAAAAGAGTCATAGAAGTTTCATCCTTCCTTGGTTTCATATTGTTACCTCAATATGTTCCTTCACACAGTGGTACCTCGGTTTACAAATTCTTAAACTGAAACCCTTCTTAAAACTGAGGCGCGCTTTCCCCAATGAGGCCTCCCACCGCCGGTGTCCTTCCACCGTTCGGCTTCTGTTCTTAGACCCAGGTAAAGTTTGCAAACTAAGACTACTTCTGCTTTTGTGGAGTTTGTAAACCGAATCGTTCTTAAACTGAACTGTTTCTTAAACCTAGGTACCACTGTATTCTCATCTCAAGGCAGTCATCCTGCACCTAAGATGAGTTTGCACAGGATACATGGAAGCAGGTAACTGAAAACAGCAAATCCTTGATAGCCAATAAATTAAGTCTTCTAAAGTTATACAGTATGAACCAAATAGGTATATGTGGCTTTATGAATAATGCACAAAAAACTTTATATGAAGCAGTCCAATTTCTGAGTTGCATCTCCTTGCCACTATCTGAAAGAAGAGTCACAACCTGTTTTTCCTTATAGTCTATAAGCAGGCCTAGCGCACGCAGAAGACTTGCTCAGACTCCTTTAACCATTTGATCTTAAACTGTAGAAGAATGTCATGTAAACAAAGGAAGAGCCATCAGAGGCCACAGAAAGTTGTTAGGATCTAACCTACTGCTTGGCCACAGTAAATAGACCTTTCCATGTGTGTCTGAAGGTGGCTGCTATATTACTTGCATCGCACCAGATAGTCAGAGGTCCGCCTGTGATTTCAGAATTCCCTTGTGAAGAACAATAGCAATTACACCAGCAACCATTCCGCAATTCAGGAATAAGAAGAGATTTTTTCTTTTTGAGCTTTCATAGCAAATTATTCATTTACCTTCTAAATGGTGTTTCAGATCTCCAACAAAACAAAAAGCAAGGCACTCAAAGTAGAAGGTAATAAATATTGACTGACAGGGGTAATGTTGCAGAATAGCATATTGCACATCTTAGCTGGTGATCATAAAACATATAATTTAATCACTAATAGGTAAAAAAACAGCAACTACCATGTGACCAAGAAATCTCTGATTGAGTCAGGGGAATTGGGTAACTGTCAATCAGGCACAATTTCATGAAGGATGTTACCTAAGGAATGTGCGGCAGTAGTTTTAGAGCTAAAGAAGCGGCCCAGTCCAAGATCTCCAAGTTTCACAACTCCAGTGGCTGTTATGAACACATTGGCTGGCTTTATGTCTGGAAGACAGAAGAGAGAAAGTAAGTCAACCCAAGAGGGCGTTTTTGGGCTCCATCACAGCCCACAACCTTCTCCCCAAGGATGAGTGACTAGGTATGCGTGTACAGAACTTTGAAAACTGAATTTCCTAAGCCACATTACTGATGCTTTCCCAGTCTATTTTACACACCAGGAGAAAGGAAGTTTGTGGGGAAGGATAAACATATTTTCCCACAACAAACAAATGAAAATTGAGTCTGGCTTAAAACACTGCAAAAGCATAAAGGGTCGTTATGCTCTTGAAGGGTAATTTTATTTTTTAAGGATTTTGAACATTTGGAGGAAAATAGCAATAAAAATAAGCATGCACCTGGACAAAATACTAAAATTAGCAACAGTATTTTCTCTTTCCAGGTTACAATTGCTTGCATTCAGATTGGAATGAGTTTCTAGGAAGACCACTGCAGCCTCATAATTGTAGAACTATTAGTATGGTATTTGGTGAGGGTGTCGTCATAGCCAGGAAGGACTGATGGGACTCCCTAGTGCTGCTTTCTCATCTGTAAAATAGAGAAAGGAACAACAGCCTCTCGGGCCTGGAGTGGGATGAAAGGAAAATCCTCATGAACTTGGTGATGAAGCAAAAGAATTTGGAAGAGCAGGACAAGAGCAGTGTTTGCTACACTGCAAGGTAAACCAATTTGAGGACAGCACCAGGACAAGCAACTGTTGTTACACATTTGTGTTTTCCCGAAGCATCTCTCTTTCAGAAAGGGAAAAGAGCTTGGCTTAGCATTCCCTGCGCCCACTGGTCCCGGCATTGTGCTTCCGATGCTGTTCTAAATAGATGCTGTGACACTTCTACCGAATTTCGGTTGTGGCAACTGGAGGCACCTTGTCTCCATAATTCTGCTGATCAGCTCAGACTGAACGCTTTACAATCAGGCACAAGGAGAAATCCATCTTGCGAGCTCCACTGTCTCTAAGCATGCAATGGCTGAACATCAGCATAATTGTTTTTGAATGTAGGCGCTTACTAATTGGAACATTATACTATTATTCAGCGAAAAGAGAGTAAATTAATGTTACCTCTGTGCATCACCCTGCGGGAGTGCATGTGTTCAACTGCACTGCACAACTGCACAAAATATTTCCAAACCGTCCTTTCTGGGATTAGCCGCTTCTGCTTTTTAAAATACTGTGAAGGGAAAACAAACAAAAAGATGAACAAGACAACACTGAATCTCAATCTCTCTCTCTCTCTCTCTCCCTCCCTCCCTCAGTCATGGCTAATGTGTTCATCAGCTGCCACCTTACTGTTGTCCTCAAGACCATCAGGCAAAGTAGTTCAGCCTCTGCTTCCCATTTAACTCCTTGCCTATGTATAGAAACTTCAATGCAATTCACTAATTAACAGCATTATGAAAAATATGCTTAAATAGGTTTGACATTTTTGAATGGACACCAATTATAATCAGCATTAATCTCGTTAATTACCTTGCAGAACATATTTAATGCCTCAAAACAACAAATGTCTGGAGTGCTTTGCCTTAAGAAACAAAAGGATTTGTTAGGGGTGTGCTGCTGTTTTTTTATTTTTATTTTTAAACCCAGCATCTTGAAGATGTTCATCAGAAGCATCATTATAAAAGAATTCTCCCTTTAGTAAACAAGCTACTGAATGCTCCTCTAATATCAGATATGGAAGCACTTTTGCAGCAGTTTGGACATGGATAAAACGCCCCAGGAAGTTGGGATGCCCAAAAACAGACCAGATGCCAGATTACATTAGTTGCTATTCCTGTATTGCAAGGGGTCAGGCTAGATGACCCTGGGATCCCTTCTAACTCTAGAATTTTGTGATTCCATACATGTAGCATACTACTAATTGAAACAAATGGACTGCAGTAACTAAGGCTGTGAGTGTTCAAAAATGATGCCTTACAATGCTGTGGCTCAGGACCGCAATACCTCTAGGACGACCTCTCCCCATATGAACCTACCCGGATCCCGTGGTCATCATCTGAGGCCCTTCTTCATGTCCCCCTCAACAAGGGGTCCAGAGGGGCTATCCCTGAAGCCAGAAGAGCAAGAGGGATCAGTGCGCACCGATCCCTCTTGCTCTCCTGGCTTCACTTCGCTGGAGAGGCGCTGCGCAGCTTTCCCTCTCTGTGCAGCGCCCCTTCAGCGAAGCGGGAGGAGAAATGGAAGGGGCTCCATTTCTTCTGCCGCTTCGCTGAAGGGGCGGTGCGCAGAGAATGAGAATATTTTTTTTCTTGTTCTCCTCCTCTAAAACTTGGTGCGTCTTATGGTCGGGTGCGTTTTATAGAGCGAAAAATACGGTATTTTTAGGCACCAGGCTAAACATTCCTCTTATAAAAGGTAAAGGATCCCTGGACAGTAAAGTCCAGTCAAAGGTGACTATGGGGTTGCGGCACTCACTTATACCTCCCAGGCCTTTGGCTAATACACAATCTGTAGCCTTTAAAACTTGTTTTTGTTTGTTACTATGCTATGTATTTTTGTGTTTTTATATTGTAAACTGCCCGGTGAACCTCGGATGAAGGTGGTATAGAAATTAAACAGACAGACAGATATCAACATGGTATTTCAAGAAATCCCAAATTGTGCACACTGAGTTTTGTATTTATATACTGCCTAATTTATATAGCATTCTCTCTTGAATGTTTGTTTTCCTATGGAATTGGAACTCTGAACATGATCAGAGTGGCAGAAGGTGCGAAGGCAAGACTCTGAACCTACTCCCCCTTCCACCCACTGAACTCCAAAGACTTCCACCACTGCCAAATATTTCCTTAATACATGTATAACAGAAATCAATTTTAAAAATCAGACTTTCAAGGTACTACAGCAGGACCAATTAACAAATTCCAACCTTGCACAGTGTAAGCATCCTCAGAATTAATTATCAACTTCTGCCACCGTTTCAGCAGAAAGCAACATACTGTATTTTCTGAGCAGAATAATACACACGATAAGCCAGAAACTCATGCAGGGGTTACATTCTGGAGGTCAGTGCAAAAGGCAAAAGCACACAAAGTCAGGAAACCCCCCTGGAACTGCGGCCCCCATGTGACCAGTCCTACCCTACCAACCTCTGGGAAAGTCATGTGAGGCCACTGGAAGGCTGTGGGTGACACAGCCTTTATGAGATCTTGTGAGATCTCAGATGGCCCCTTCCATCTGTTTCCCCCGTTCTCCATTTATTTATTTATTTCCCCACCACCCGCACAAAGCAGCAATTGCGAAAGTAAACTACGTGTAAGCTGTGGGTCTACTGTACAGCCTTTGTTTGCAAGAATCACACACCTTTAAGCCAAGTGGTACATGTCCTTGCTGGAATGAAGCTGAAATGGTCATCCAGTCCACCTAAACCAATGCAACTGAAGACTTTGGTTGCATCTAGTGATACATCTTTTAGACCATGTTTCCGTTATGCTCTCCTTCTCTGGACAGATCTGGAACTGCATCCCCCACACCCACCTCCACTTGACACCTATGTTAGTTTTAGGCCACAACACAATCTTTACCATTTTCTCTCTGAGGATTACAATGAAAAGGGGAGGAATTTATAAACATTCTACGATGCACGCCCTCACCAGAGAGCCTCAACCACTCTTACGGCTTCTGTGCAACACTGCAGCCACACCTGGGGCTCATCTGTCTTGAACACAGACTATTCCACACTGGAGCATTAAAGAGTATGTGAAAGTCCTGCGACTCCTTGCAGGCATTTCAGACTGAAGTTCTGTGAGATGCAACTTCCGGTTTGATCACATCCCGAAGCAGGTCATGCGTCTGAGCTCTCTGGAGATGAGCACAATCACTGGGGGATTTTCTGGGGTAGCGTGAGAGTGACGCACACCCCAAAATCCTCAAGAGCCCACAAAGAAAGCAGCAGCAGCGTGAAAAGTGGACCCTTGATTCCGTTCTCAAAAGCAAAAGGGGAAAGGTCTCTCCCCCCCCCCCCCCGCGAGAAACCTCAAAACCTGAGTGGCAATAGCGGTAAAACTTTCCAGAAAATAAGGAACTAAATTACACGGATTAGCGTCAAGGCAATGAAGCTATCACTACTATAAACTTAAGAAATAACTGCGGGAGGACAAATAATTTACAATAATTTACAATATTAGGAATGTCATAAATATTTTGTAATACCTGGAAGATATAAGTGATAAACCAGCAGTACTCATGTTAGTAGACGCTGAAAAGGCGTTTGACAACATCTCCTGGGATTTTATGAAGACACAAATTAAACACATGGGCCTAGGAGAGACCTTTGGCAGAGGAATAGAGGCAATCCACAAAGGATTTATGAACCACGTGATTAGGAAATCGCTTTACACAGTGTGGGCCAAATATAAGGACCTACTAGAACCAAAGACACCATGGTGGCTGTCCCTGACAGAGGCGATCTCAGTTAAGAAAAAAACCATGAGATGAAACTGGGCTACTTATAAAGACTTATTGGAAGAAAAAGAAAACACATTAAGATTAAAGAAATTAGGACACATTTGACTGATTGGCTGCAGTATTTCCAACTAAATGAAACATTCCAAAAGGACAAACAAAAAGGCTTCTCCACAGAAATTTCAAGGCTGGAGAAAGACTTAATAAACACACACACAAAAAGACCCCGCTCTCCAATATGTATAGACTCCTTGACTGGGAGGTCAAGGAGGAAGAAGTTACCGTATTTTTCGCTCTATAAGATGCACCAGACCACAAGACGCACCTAGTTTTTGGAGGAGGAAAACAAGAAAAAAAATATTCTGAATCTCAGAAGCCAGAACTGCAAGAGGGATCACTGCGCAGTGAAAGCAGCAATCCCTCTTGCTGTTCTGGCTTCTGGGATAGCTGCGCAGCCTGCATTCGCTCCATACGACGCTCACACATTTCCCCATACTTTATAGAAGGGAAAAAGTGAGTCTTATAGAGCAAAAAAATACGGTAAATCTGTTATGGTGCAGCGGGCTAGGGACTTTGGATACAATATCCAAATGGAAACATGGGAGAGGTTGTAGAGGGAGGATGTAAAACTCACCGCTTGTTACAATTTGAAAGAGAACTGCATGAAGATGCTCTACAGATGGTACTTAACACCTGTTAAACTTGGTAAAATGTATATCTAGATCAAACATCTGTTGGAGATGTGGGGAGGCGCAAGGCACCACGATCCACGTGGTGGAATTGCACCAAAATTAGGGATTTTGGGGAAATAATTTACAATGAACTTAAAAAAATGTTTACATGATCGTTCCCAAAGAAGCCTGAAGCCTTCCTACTAGGCATAATGAACAATGAAATTCCAAAAAGGCTAAGGAAAATCTTCAAGTACATGACAGTAGTGGCTAGAACTTTGATTGTGAAAGTATGGAAAGGGGACTCTGCCCCCACAAAATTAGACTGGCTAAGCAAAATTTTAGAATACGCAGAACTAACCGGACTAACAGCAAGATTCTGAGACCGTACAGATCAACTATTTAATAGAGAGTGGAATGTATATACAGAATATTTTAAAAAATATTGTAACAACATAAATTCGGTGGCAGATTTGGACAGATTTTCTGCATGAATAAGGAGATAGTTACAGAGACAAAATGACAGAGTACTGTGGTACCTCAGGTTACAGACGCTTCAGGTTACAGACGCTTCAGGTTACAGACTCCGCTAACCCAGAAATAGTACCTTGGGTTAAGAACTTTGCTTCAGGGTGAGAAGCGTGTGGCAGTTTGAGGCCCCATTAGCTAAAGTGGTGCTTCAGGTTAAGAACGGACCTCCGGAACGAATGAAGTACTTAACCTGAGGTACCACTGTGTTTAGGAGAGATGATGCTTAGTGCATAGTGAAAGGAAACCTAGGAACCACAGCGGGGAGATAGAAATTAGTGAAGAATTAACTCAATTTTGGATGTAAGAAGTGCAAACTCTTTTTTGGATTGCATTTTGTTGAATATAGTACTACATTTTTCTTTGTTGTGCTATGTTTTTGCTTTTAAAACCAATAAAGCATAAAAATAAAAAAATTTATTTTATGTGAGACGCTGAAGAGCAGCGCAGGGCTGAAGTGTTATTTACTTGATAATACTTCTTTCTTGTTGAAGTATTTAGGGGAGGAGACACTAGGCCACAATTAGCAACCTTCTTAAATGCCATGCCCAATAAGATTTCCCTGACATTTCACAGAAAGCCAAAAATTCTCCAGTGAGTTGTACTGCTAGCAACCCTCAGTTACATCAGCTTCGTAATGCCTCATAAATAATGTAGGCAACAGGGGCATGGCAAAGAGGGAGCCTGAGGGGTGGGGGGTGTTTGGGTGTGTTTTAAACCACTCCTCACCTTCTAAGCATTGTTGCAGCTATTCTACTATTTCTCTGAAAGGACAGGGAAGTGACTTTGTTTCCCAACAATTCTGTCTCAATACAGTGGACCCTCGGATTACGTACCTCTCTGGATACGTAATTTTCGGGTTGCAACAGTGGCAAACCTGGAAGTATTTTTCCAGGTTTCGCCGCTCACACATGCGCAGAAGCGCTCTATCACGCTGCACGTGTGCGCAGAAGCGGCGTCTCTGGTTATGGATTTTTCAGGGTGCACACAGACCCCTGGAACGAATTAAATCCGTATCCAGAGGGTCCACTGTACTTGGATTCGGTTTAAATAGGAAAAAGACAATTATGGGAACTGAATCCAGAAACATAACAGCTGAAAGCATGAGCACAGAAATGCACCGCCGCAGAGTAGTTACACACCAGAGAGCTGTGGTCCACTTTAGTCCCACAACATTTATTTCCATGTGTTCAGACACCCACCTCCCCTTCAAACATGAAAGTATCCACCAGGTTGAAACTCGCAGTGGACACACTGGAAGTATGCAAACCATGAAGGACTGTAAAGCCGAGTATAGTGGATGCTCAGGTTGCGTTCGCAACCCACAGCGTTCACAACCTGCAGCGGTGCATCTGCGCACACGCGGGTTGCGATTCGGCACTTCTGCGCAAAGCGTGATTTAGCGCTTCTGCGTATGCGCGACTGCCGAAACCCAGAAGTAACCCATTCCAGTACTTCTGGGTTTTGGCAGGTGCGTAACCTGAAAAAACGCAACCTGAAGCAGCTGTAACCCGAGGTATGACTGTACTTACTGAGAGTCATTTAGTGTAGTGGTTAGAAGACTGGACTTGAACATGGAAGACCAGGTTTCAAATCCCCACTTGGCTATGAAGCTCACTGGGTGAACCTGGTACAGTGGTACCTCGGGTTACAGACGCTTCAGGTTACAGATTCCGCTAACCCAGAAGTAGTATCTCGGGTTAAGAACTTTGCTTCAGGATGAGAACAGAAATTGTGCTCCGGTGGTGCGGCAGCAGCGGGAGGCCTCATTAGCTAAAGTGGTGCTTCAGGTTAAGAACAGTTTCAGGTTAAGAACGGACCTCCGGAACGAATTAAGTTCTTAACCCGAGGTCCCACTGTACAGTCATTCACTCTCAGTCTAACCTACCTCGCAGGGCTGTTGTGAGGAGAAAATGGAGATGAGGTGAAATATGCACACCACCTTGAGCTCCATGAAGGAAAGGAAATAATCAACAACCCAGAATCACGACAGCAGGCGGAGCTCACGTCCTGCTGATAATAATGAAGAGCCCATTATGCTATTTTCCACATTAAGCTCTCTTTTCTTATTATCCCTGCCCATGTTAAAATTCTTTAATACCTATTCATGTTCTGTGAACTGTTCACTCTAATCCCTCCCTGACAGTGTGTCCTGAAATTATGAGCAGACAAATATTAGACCAGTGTGGTGTACTGATTAGAGGGGTCAGAGTGTTGGACTAGGGTTCAAATCCCAATTCAGCCATGAAGCTCCCTGGGTGACCTCGGGCCAGTCACTGTCCCTCAGCCAAGCCTGCTTCACAGGGTATTTGTGAGGATTAAACGGGGATGAGAGAACCATGTACATCACTTTGAACAATTTAAGAGGAAAAGGTGGTATATAAAGAAATAAATTTCAGAAATGTAAAGGTAAGAAGCCCAAGTCCAAAATAAGCCATTGCCTGCCTGTTAGAATTCCTGGTCTATGGTTGCAATCATGGGATTGTTGTCTATCACATGACGGTGTATGTTTTGACTCCACAGAGTGGGAAGTGACGGAGACAGGATGTTTGTGTTCCGTGAAGTGGGACTATTGTCCTTTGTTCTTTTTCTCTTTGCTGTCTGATGCTAGAGAGAGAGGGAGCCATGTTGCAGTGCTCCGTGTGTGTTTATATGTAAATAAAGTAGATTAGCCGAAATGCTGAGTTGCTGAGGTCTGTCATGCATGTTGTGCAAACTCTGCGGTGCAAGTGGTGCAAACTCCCTAAGTGTGCCGGTCGCTGTGATGTTTGGGCTAAGAAAGCTTTTGAAGCTCCCGAACGGAAGACCAGGAGGGAGGGAACATGCTAGTCAGGCATGCGTTTCTGCCAGGGTCCTACTCAAGTGCAGGCTGAACTCCTGACAGTAAACACTGTCAGGAAAAGAGAATGCTTCCATGCAAAGCGCTGACTTGGCCACACCAAGAGTCCTTTAGATCACATCATCTCAGAATCTTGGAACAGATTATATGAAGAAAACATTGTGCTAACATGAACCTTGGGACTTGCTCAGGTCACTGAAAGCCAACTCAAAACAGAGATGTTGTACTGCACTGCGTGGGCAGGGCTCTTAAGTCTGCAGGGAAGACCAGCAGAACAGCAAAATAATCAATACATGCCTCACTCGGATCAGAGCCTTAAGAAATTCCTTATAAATTCTCACAGAATCAGACATTCTAAACCCAAGTGGTATCTAAGAGCCTGGTCTTATATCCTTGATGAACGGCTGAGACCCTACCTGCCCTCAGAAAGTCTCGCCAGAGTGGTGCATGCTCTAGTTATCTCCCGCTTGGACTATTGCAATGCGCTCTATGTGAGGCTACCTTTGAAGTTCACACGGAAACTACAACTAATCCAGAATGAAGCGGCTAGACTGGTGACTGGGGGAGGCCACCGAAACCACATAACACCAGTCTTGAAAGACCTATATTGCCCCCCAGTACGTTTCCGAGCAGAATTCAAAGTATCGGTGATGACCTTGAAAGCCCTAAACAGCCTTGGTCCAGGATACCTGAAGAAGCGCCTCCACCCCCATCATTTTGCCCAGACACTGAGGTCCAGCGCCGAGGGCCTTCTGGCAGTTCCCTCCCTGCGAGAAGCCAAGTTACCTTCTACAGGGTGGGTGCCACTACCGAGAAGGCCCTCTACCTGCCGCGCGAGTGGCATGCCGTACGGAATGAGCATGCGCGTCAGCCCATATGGTCGCTGTGCAAGAGGCAGGCTGTATGGAAGCCTGTATGGACGGTGCACGGGAGCGGCATTCTGCCACTGATCTACTGCCAGGGGGAGGTAGGGGCCATCTTGTCAACCAGCAAAGAGTGGCGCCCAGGGGTGAATGAAGTGGGGGGCAGAGGGGATGGGCCGCCCCAGATGCCACTCTTTGCCGGTTGGTAAGATGGCCCCTGCCCCCGGTGGTAGATCGGCTGAATGCGTGAGGTGTCTGTATGGGCTGCCGCTCTCGTGCACCGTCCATACAGGCTGCCTCTTGCACAGCGACTGTATGGGCTGGTGCACGTGCTCATTCCGTACAGGATGCCACACATGCGCAGTCTGTACGGGATGCCACTGGCGCAGCAACCTGTACAGTCGTCATGCAAGTGACAGCCCGTACAGACCCCGTACAAGTGGCAGCCTATATGGCTGCCACGTGCAAGCAGCAGCCCGTACGGAGTGCGCATGTGCGGGATCCTGTACAGACTTTGCAATGTGCAGCATCCCATACGGTTGCCGCTCATTATTATTATATGAGTGGAACTGACCTGGCTTTGCCCAAGCATGGTTATAAAAATATAAGCTGGAAAGCCCCTCTATAACAAACTAGCCATCAGGACAGATGATGATGTTATTATTGCTGAAGAGCAAGCAGGATTTAGGCAGGGCAGATCCACCCTAGATCACTGCTTTGTCCTAGCACATCTCAGAGACAAGTATGCTAAGAAACCACATGGTGTGCTTTACGCAGCCTTCATCAATTTGAAAGCTGTATCATGCCCCTAAATTGGCCACAAAACCCATCTTAATTCGATTATATGCAGATGATGCAGTTCTTCTATCCCAAACAAAAGTAGGCCTAAAAAGACCTATGAGAACATTTTCAGGATACTGTCAGAGAGAATAGCTGACCGTGAATTACAAGAAAACCAAAGCCATGGTTTTCTCAAGAAATTATAGATGGCGCGTGGACAACCAGCTAATTGAACAGGTCAAAGTTTTCAAATATCTTGGCCTTATTTCCCAGTCTACAGAGTCATGGGGAGCACACCAGAAATTTGCAAAAGAAAAAGCATCCGAAAGCACCAAAATTCTGACATGCTTCTTCTACACAAAAGGTGGTAAACATATACCATCGGTCCTGAAAGTGTTCCAAGCTAAACCCCTAGCACAGTTATTGTATGGGGCTCAGATTTGGACAGGCACTTCCCTTGGATCTACGGAAGCTGACCAATCATAGCTCTTAAGGCAAATTTTCTCTGTACCACCCTGTGTCCCAAACACCTCATTATACCTAGAGGCTAATCTTCCCTCGGTAGAATTATGGATCTGGTGTAGGACACTTCACTATTGGCTTCACCTAAACTAAAATCCCCCCGGTCCCTAGTGCTGTAAGATTGTCACAAGAGCCCCTGGACTAAAATTGTCTATCAAAAACTTCACTCTTGTGGGTTATCACCACAACAGCTACTCACTTTGGGTTTTAGTAAAGCAAACAGTCTAACTTGTCAGCGCCTAAATGATATTGAGCGTCAGAACAACTTGGCCACAATAAGGAAATTTTGCCCATGGTATGATTATTTTCCACCTTCCCATTTCGACTCTCTGGCACCCTATCTGCATAACCTAGCAATTCTAAAATATAGACGCGCTTTTACTCTCGCAAGATTGAATGTCTTGCCCTTGGCTGTACTGAAGGGATGATTCCAACAGATTCCACACGAAAAACGCTTATGTGGAAATGGCAGTACCGTGGAGATGGCATTCCTGTGGAGCTGGCAGTACTGAATCGGTGGTGCATGCCCTTCTGGCTTGCACTCTTTATAAAGACTTGAGGAATGAGGTTATCACCCCTCTTTTATTGTCCATTCCAGGTCGCCCAGCCACAGCCACACTGCCCTTTCTCTTGGCAGATCAAGATGAGCAGGTGACAGCAAAGGTGGCAAGGCTTTTAGCTGGGGCAATCAGAATAAGATCCACTATTTGACTATTGATTCAAAACCCAAAAATGTATTTTATATAATTGACTTTTTACTCCTATTCTTTGTATATCGTATTGTTGTTTTATTGCTATGGCTAATGCAAATAAAGATTCATTCATTCAATATAAGCTGAGGTTTTCTTGGCATGTGGTGAGCTTTCTAAAACGATCATTTATGATAATCTCAAATCAGTGGCGGCAAAACGGGGGGAAATATGAGCGGCTACATCTGTTCTCACAGGGAATGCCTGTCTCCAGATTAACATGTAAGAAACGATTGAAAACCAGGTGACAACAGCTGAGCTGAAGCAGGTTCCCCCACACAAGGATTCCCGAGAGCAGCACAGGGAACGAACCCCCCCCCCCCCAAAGCCTCAGGCCTTAAAGCAAAGAAGGTCAAGAGCCATTGGAAAAGCTTTCAGTAGCTGCCTAAGAATTAGAAGCGCCCATCAACTGAATATCAGTACAGAAAAAGTTATGTGGTCAAAGAGGGTAACTGCCTTTCACAGTTCAATGGCTGCCAATTTGTTACTAGGCAAAGTCCAAGGTTTTACTATGGCTATATAAAGCCCTTGGTGCTCGGAACCAGTTTTCCTTGAGAAAGCACCTTGCCCCATATTTGCCTATTTGACTGTTTCAACCTGCAGAACTTGCCCTCTTCTAAGTGCCGCTTAATCTTCATTCATTTGCAAGGAGCCAATGTTTCGGCATGACAGCGCCTATGCCTTAGAACTCTCTGCCAATAGACATGAGGCAGACACTTTTGCTGTAACATTTCAGAAACCTGCTGGTCACCTTTTTTTTAATCTCAGGCAGGAAGGTAAACGGTGTTTCCGTGCGCTCTGCCTTCCATCACAGTGTCCTGTTGCGTCAAACGCGGTTTAGTCCTGCTGGCCACATGACCTGGAAAGCTGTCTGTGGACAAACGGCGGTTTCCCCGGCCTGACAAGCGAGGTGAGCGCTGAACCCCATAGTCGCCTTTGACTGGACTTAAGCGTCCAGAGGTCCTTTACCTTTTACCTTTTTTACCCAGGCATACAAATTAGTTACCTATATTCATTGTTAAACATTTCATTGATTCTTATCAGTGTTTTGATAATTATTTTATGCATATTTAATTGTTCTGTGAATTACAGCTGGCTGCATCTACTATTTTATGATGTACGAAACTTAGAGAGCTTTGTGATCCAGTGGTTTTTAATACTTTATAAATTAATTCACTAGCATTGGCCCAAATTATTAAGATTATAGCAAGTTATACCTCTGATCCGAGGCTGGGAAAAGGGCACTTGGCTGCTCGGCCCTCTAGCTGCTTCCTGCTAGAAGTCAGTAACAGAAATTGGGAAGTTTTTTCTAGTTTCTTATATGACAAATGCACCACCCTGTGCTGACTTTTAAGTGCTCCATTTCCCCATGTACCCTTGATTCCAATTTTTAAAGTTTTACTTTAGCAAAGTAATTGTGTAGCCTCAAGAATAAGGCTTCTCCTTACCTTAATCATCTGAGAGAGGTCACCTGCATCTGCCAGTTCCAAGACAATGTTAAGTTCATTGTCCTCAATAAATGAATCCAAATACTTGATTATGTTGGGGTGGTTCAATTGCTGCAAATAGACAGAGTAGAAGGACAATCACTATATGAATGTACAGAACACCAGGGTGTCATAATGGGTCACAGGTAGGCATGAAGCAGGGAAGGCAAGAGTCTGATGGGGGACTTCTCAGTGTCACCAACTCCCTCAAAGTTAGGGGGAAATCCATGAGGGATTTTTAAACCATATTATCAGAAAGTCCACTTATGCTGTATGAGAAAAATACAGGAACCTATTAGAGAACAAAACCCCACGGTGGCTATCACCATTAGAAGCGTTGTCAGTAGAAATAACTAATATGGAAAAGGTATGGGCAACATATAGAGAATTGTTAATTGAGGAGGAAGAAAATCAATTTAATGTAAAAAAAAATTGAAGATATAAGACACTTGTTAACTGATTGGCTCCAATATCATCAATTAAATGACATTTTAGGCTGGATAAAGGAGCTGGTTTTGGTAAAGAATTTTCAAGATTGCAGAGAGAACTGTTGGAAAATAATGAAAAATTTCTGTCAAAAATGTATAAATTGGGGCTGGAGTAGAAAACAAAAGATGAGGAAGTAAAATCTGTAATGATTCATTGGGCAAAAGATGTGGGACATAACATACAAATTACCTCAGTAGAGAATGGTACAGCTTTATTGAATACATTAAAGAACACTGTAAGAGTTTTAAAACATTAGCAGGATTCATATAATGCTTGTAATTTAAATTAACAAAGGATAAAAATGGAGTATAACAAAGTTAGATAAAGTAATTAGAGGCAGTTAAAAGGGGAAGAATTATGGAAGCCAGGGGAGGGGTGGGAGGAAGTCCTGGGGTTCAGGGAACCCCATAAAGGTATTGACATGAATATGGTTTTGTGAAAATAAGTATATATGTCTGTGTGTATATGTATGTGTCTGTTTAAAAAAGTATGTTTTCTTTTTGAAAATATGAAATAATAATAATAATAATAATAATAATAATAATAATAATAATAATAATTGTACCTTGATACGGTTTTTATTTCTGTATTTTGTCTTGAGTGTCCTTCACTACAAAAAGCTAGTAATCATTATTTAAAAAAGTAAGTGTAGCATCACATTCATACTAAAAATGAGGAACAATCATCTCCAGAATATGATCAATTTGGAATAAAATGAACACCAAAAAACATTTCTCACCTACATCTTGTAGGCTTAATGTGGACATGACAAACAAGGAGGTTTTGTGGGCGTATGAGGACCTCACAATGCTTATTTCATGTGCCCCAGTCAAACAGCTACCACAGAGGAATTGGAGAGTCAGTTGCATAAACAATTGGAAATGATTATGTTGATTGGGATATTATTTGCCTTTTTTAAAATAGATAAATACATCTGTTAATATTTATATACTGTTGATTGATATTACATTAACATTGCTAGGTATAACCTGTTAATATTTTTTGATGGAAACTGGTTCTAGCTTTGAATTTCTATTTGTTGTTATTTTTGCTGTTAACTTTTATGAACCTGCTTGTTATAAAGCAGCATCACAATATTAAATCAAACCAAAAAGGCAAGTTCTGACCTTTTGGATACTACCCAGAAAATGAAGGACTAAAATAAATCCTCACTAGGCAGCTATGAAACTACAATTTTACCAAGAACACTTTAAGTGCCGTCTTATGCACCCAAGTGCCTTCCTTTCCAGTCACAATTCTGGCCAGCTCCTTATTATGTCTCCCGCTATTGTGTGCTTCATTAAATGCAGCTTTCCCACCCAGGCATTCAGGACCAAACTCTGCCTCCAGAGCGCCCTGCTCAGACTCATGTTCTTTCAAGTACCACATTTATCTGGAGTTCCTGCACCCACAAGAAACAATGCCAGCGAGTGCATTTGTATACTAATGGGGTTGTTTGAAATTTCTGCCTTTTGACATGGGGGGGGGGGAACCTGCAGAACCTTCACTCCGGCTTCATCCTCTAATGCACATAAACACTCTGGCTCAGGCGACTGCTACCCTCTCATTTTGTAAATGCTGCTGAAAAGTTTGATGGAAGCAAATGCCTGATGTATATGCAGAGCAACGCTCTCAGCGACAGGCATGCAAAAATGCAAGTGGCCACTAACGGGACAGAGTGATGCTGGCAGGCCAGCTGATGTTTAGAGCCACATTACTAGCTGCTTTTACTCTCTTTGCTGTTCAGAAAGTGCTCCTCATTCCCCCAGCCCACCCCCGCAGCCACGACTTTTTAGAAGGTCTAATCCCCAATGACTAAGGTTTCCTCGATTAACGTAGTAGGCATAAAAGTTTAATGCAAAATTTAAAACTGGTTATTCTTTCACGGAATCGTAGAATATTGTAGAGTTAGAAGGGAGGGACCACAAGGGTCATCTAGTCCAACCCCCTGCAATGCAGGAATACTATGCCCCGGGTGGCGCTTGAACCCACAACCCTGAGGTTAAGAATCTCATGCTCTACCAACTGAGCTATCTAAATTTCTTCTCCCCTGTCTCCAAATAAGAAACAATATGTTGTAACACAATAATTAAAGCAGCCCTTGCTTCTTCTTTTCTGTAAATGACAATCTTGTTCTAAGTACAATGCATAGAAAATGTAAATACAGGTTTGGTGCATGAAGAGGTGGAATCCAGGGACACAGAATGAAGAGCCTTGCAGGGATAACATTCCCAGAAGGAGAGGGGCTACAGGGCAAGCTTACAGACCAAAAGAGATTCATGTACACCTCTCTGAACCACCCACACGCCCAAATACCCCAGACGTGAACCACAGGCTTACTACTTCACTGAGATGAGGTCTTCACCTTTTCTGACTAATATGTTTAGATTATATCAGAATGGCTCTATCTATTGTAATGACTGAATGCTTAAAAATGGTATATTTCCTTTTAAACAACTGAAAAATATGTTTCTTCATTTGTGACAAAAGCTGCAACTTTATATATTACCACAAGTAACCATCATAAATATGATTGCTCTTATTGTAAGCCTAACTATCTCTATCTGATGGGGCCTGTATTCGAAGTGAGAGGCATTTCCTGAAACAATAGCAAATAAAGCAAACCAAATAATACCCAACTTGTTTAATTGTACAGATGAAAAACTGAAGTTTCAAAGCATACTTCAGAGCTGTGCAGGCGACACTGTTTGTGTGTGTGTTTGTGTGTGTGTGTGTGTGTGTGTGTGTGTGTGTGTGTTCTGTGTCTCAGGGCAGAGAGTAGTTGGGAGTTAATGGTAGAACTTTACTTGTTTCCACAGAGCAACCCTGCAATACATCCCAAAGACTGCAGAACATAGGCTAACTTGTTTTCTCTTGGATAAACTGTACAAGTATGAAATTTTTGCATAAGTATACATTATCCCTACCTCTGCTTTTGTACAGCATAGCAAAACAGCCTTTAGTCTGCATATATTTGTAAGAGCAATTGTCCAGGGAGCCATCAATTAACAAGAAATGAGTTGCAGATATTTATTTGACATGTTATTAGCTGTGCAGGACCGATCAAAGCGCATTCCAATTGCTGATGCTGACAGACAGACTGAAGCAGTCCCCTTGCCTCTAAACAAATCCTTGAACAACTCTGCCCTCCTAGACTCTGTGGGAAAAATCTGGCACCTGAACCAAATTATCAAAAAACGCTGACCTGCATCATGTCATTAAAAACTGCATCTCAAGTTGACATTTAGATCTTTGCTGTGGTATGTTCATCTCTTCAGAGCTGAATTATATACATCTTGGGCAAAATCTGTCAGATTTGGTTGGAACTTTCAGTCAAAAACTTGGATACATTTGAAAGGAATGCCCGATAGGCAACAACTACTAATAGATCCCTCATGCCTTTGCAATGCAATATTATTTATCAAACTGACTTTCTACCATGCTTTGAGCAGCATGCATGCAAGTGTTTGACCACTTGTAAACCACTTGTAAAACGAGTTTGTAGACAGCTGCAAATCCACCAGTGTCCTGCAAGGCAAGTACCACAAACCAAGTCCTTGTCAGTGATTCTAGAAAAGAAAAATGATCAAATTTGGTACCAGGAGTCTTGGGTATTGAAGAAAAGGATGCTGCAGATAGTGGTTGTCTTGCTAGCACAGCAACTTCCATCCATCAGAAATACCTTCCTCAGGCCAAGCTGACCTCTCAATTCCAAGCTCAAGAAATGATGGGCCAAGATTGGAGAGCAATGACAAGTCATCCCATTGGTCCTACACAACAGGAACTAGCTGCCTGTGCCATACAGCTCCACAGCACACTGTTTCTACAGATGCCAGTGCTCAGAGATTGCCGGGCTCCTTCTCACAACCTGAATCCCTCTGACTCCCATGTGCCTCCAACTATGCCTCCATTCCATTCAGTACTGGTCCTAAATGGGGTCACTGTGCCCCTGGAGGATCAGGTGCGCAGCCTGGGAGTCATTCTGGACTCACAGCTGTCCATGGAGGTGCAGGTCAATTCTGTGTCCAGGGCAGCTGTCTACCAGCTCCATCTGATACACAGGCTGAGACCCTACTTGCCTGCCCACTGTCTCGCCAAAGTGGTGCATGCTCTGGTTATCTCCCGCTTGGACTACTGCGCTCTACATGGGGTTACCTTTGAAGGTGACCCGGAAACTACAACTAATCCAGAATGCGGCAGCTAGACTGGTGACTGGGAGCGGCTGCCGAGACTACATAACACCGGTCTTGAAAAACCTACATTGGCTCCCAGGATGTTTCCAAGCACAATTTAAAGTGTTGGTGCTGACTTTTAAAGCCCTAAATGGCCTCGGCCCAATATACCTGAAAGAGCGTCTCCACCCCCATTGTGCAGCCCGGACACTCAGGTCCAGCTCCGAGGGCCTTCTGGCGGTTCCCTCCCTGCGAGAAGCCAAGTTACAGGGAACCAGGCAGAGGGCCTTCTCGGTGGTGGCACCCGCCCTGTGGAATGCCCTCCCACCAGATGTCAAAGAGAACAACAACTACCAAACTTTTAGAAGACATCTGAAGGCAGCCCTGTTTAGGGAAGCTTTTAATGCTTGATGCACTATTTTATTTTAATATTTTGTTGGAAGCTGCCCAGAGTGGCTGGGGAAACCCAGCCAGGTGGGCGGGGTATAAATAATAAATTATTACTATTATTATTATTATTATTATTACTACTACTACTACTACTACTGTCATGGACCAATTTATCTGCATGCTGCTCTGGTAAATTCCACTAGCACTACCTAGATCTTTGTGTAAGCACTCTCTCAATTCAGTTTAGACTCCTTCTTTGCGAAACCTGGCAGCATCCCAGCAACTTAACCCATCACCTGTCCACAAGCTTTCCTAATGCCCGAGTGAAAAATAATAGAAAGCTGTAGACATTAAACTGCTTTGGAAATATATGCAGAAAAAGTAGGGTGTAAATTATTTAACTCAAAATAAGACACACATTGTGCTTGTTCTTTTCATAGTTCAAAAATCATCATTCTGCAATGCCTTGAAGTGTCACGTTCCAGCCTAACTCCCACTTTGTGCAGGGGAACCTTGGCCAAACAAGGACAATGTTAGGGAATGCAGGTGAAGCCAGAGAAGGAAGGAAAATGCCTTCAGAAAATACACAGGGAACCAGAGAAGAAAGTGCTAATTATTCCAGTGTATCATCTTTCCTCATTTTTGTCTTCACAGCCCAGCTAATATAGCATTCACAACTTAACATCTGGCTCCCTGGTAAGCTTGGCACAGGGAGATCTGCAGTTGCCTCTGGACATCTTATACAGTAGGGATGATAATTGACCATCTCAATTCCCCTGTCATTCTGAGGGTTTTGATTTCACTTCTCCTTGATTCTAACATATGTGGACATAATGTTCTGAATATATCTAGTACCATATGGGAGACTCTTCCCCTCCACCTTCACTCAAGCCTTATTTTGTATAGAGCGCTACAACACCCAAAGGCATTACTGATTATCTTCACTTTGTTTGGTTTGGCATTCTTTGCTCTTTCCTCACTATACGTTTACCAGTTCACACAGAACAGCTCTGGCGTAATCTCATTTTATGGCTAATCTAGCAATGAAGCTGCATGGAGTCCAAACGCTGGTTTAGAGCCAGAATAGAGTCTCATGCCTTCTTCCAAGGAAAGAAAAGCATGGAGGAAGCACATCTCCTCAGCTCTACACCGACACAGAAAGGGGATCATTTCAGTACAAAAGAAAAAGATTATGCTCCCTCCATCAAAAGCATACAAATCTTAAAGATAACTCTCTATTGCCATTCTGCAACACACACACACCATCCAAAAAAGGAGGAGTTAAGTACAATAGTGGGAGATCATAGATTGCTTCAAGGGCCTCTAACCACACACCACTTTTCTCAAGTTACACCAGAAAACAATAATCTTTTCCATTCCCAGATAATCATGAAAGGTCTGGAGAAATTCTTACCTTCAAAAGGTCTATTTCTTTAATGCAATCTTGTCTAGCCTTGGCATCCATCATTTCAAATATCTTCAAAAGGAAAGAGAGTTACATGTTGAAAGTCAAGCAAACAATATGGATGTTCCCACATGTTTAAGATTCTAGATCATCCCTAAATTATCTTATCTCCTGGGCAACCATGACCTTTCTAAAGCTCCCTAGTTTCTTGGGGTTCTTAAGAATGAAAAAGACCTGCAAACAAAGTAGAAACTGTAGCACCAGCATTTAGCACATAAATACAACTGGATAAATTATTATTAAGTTTGTTGTTTTCTCATCAATTTGTTGACCTTAATAAACACAAACAAGCAAACAAACAAACCACACAAACCAAAGTAATTACATTATACTGTATAAATAAATGTGTATCTTAAGAATACGCTGAAAAGTGCCAAGGAAATGAGTACAAATAATGATCTAAGACTTTTTGGGTTACACAATTAGACTCTCCTTTTCTATTGATAAAATAAATTGCCTTCTTTTTCATATTCCTCTGCACTAATTAAAAGCAAAGAGGCTTAGATATTCATCCTAATAATCAGAGGGCTATTCACAATTTATATGAGAGTAGCTTGGGTATACTAAAGAGATACCCAAAATAGGCCCATGTAAAATCAAAATCCAGCCTACAGCATATGGTAGAAGGGAGCCAAAAATATTAAAGATTGTAACATTTTATACAACAAAGGTAGGCAGGCTTCTGGTTCATGGCCAACTCCACAAATGGATATCTATAAGTAGCTGCTGTCTGATCCATCCACAGGTAAAAACAGTTCCAAGAAGCAAAGAGGTACACGACTTGCCCATTTGTGCCACCAAGAGGCACATTCATCCAATCTTACTTGGGTATTCCGATGCTCACCTGTACTTTCTTTAATGCCACTGGTTTTCTGTCCAGAAGGCAAGTAGCCTTGTAGACTTCACTGAATTGTCCTCGTCCAATTTTCTTCTCTATCTGAAAGTCTGCTAAGGTGCAGCGATAAGGGTATGAAGTCAGATGCCTCTGTTTGAGGAGAAAAAGAGGATAGTGGGTTAAATGAAAACATATATTCCTACTACCATAATGCTATACTAAATCAGAAGGCAACTGAAGCAGAGCTCTTCCACTAGATCAAACCTCTCCCAGCAAAAGTATTTCAGAGCCACCTATATCAGGCTGACCTGTGAAAGGAAGATAGATGCCTATAAAGGTGAGCTATAGTGCTATATGCTTGTAAGAGTGGTTTGTGGCATTATTTCTGGGAAGGACCATAGACAAATGGTAAAGCATTCTGCAAACAGGGTTTCAGGTCAACTCTATGGTACCACTATGTAAAAGGGATCACTGGAAGGAGACTCTGGAAAGACTTGTATATGAGACCAGGGAGAGCTGCAAGCTAGAGCATACAGTGCTGGGTTAGATCAAAGATAGCTCCCTCCAGAAGTTGCTGGATTACAATTCCCTAACCATTGGCCATGCTCACTGGGACTGATAGGAGTGGGAGTCCAATATCTGGAGGGAACCACTTTGGCTACCCCAGAGCTAGGTGGATCAACCTACCAACCAAGACAGTTTCAAACGTTGCCTCCACAGAATCTTTCAGTGGCTATTTATTTATTTATTTATTTAGCTGTAAGTCAGGAAATGTTGTTGTTAACCTTGCTTTTCAGTTCCAAAAATAGCTCCTAGAGCAATTTACAAAGGACTTTTTTTAAAAAAGTAAAACAATAAAAACAAGCAAAATGGTAAATAAGAATGAAAACAGCAAAGCAACAACATATGAAAAACAGAGATTAAGAACTAGTCAGAAGCTGTAAGAAACAGAGTGACTGAACTCTGTACTGCTGTACAAAACTTATGATTTACTAATGTCTACTTTAAACCACCCCCTGAAAAAACAACTGCCCCACATCCTCTCAAATGTATTCAGATCCTTCACTATTCAATATCCTGGGGGATTTTGGAGTTGAGAGCTTTTAACTGTAAATGGCACCAACTTTGTCATGGTGTTTCCTGCTATGAAAACAAGGGTTTCCCCAAAGCAAACGGTACAATGGCTTGGTAACATTTTTACAGTATAGTAGGAGATACAAGATCCACATTCCACTTCACAAGATGCACCATTTTTAGCAGAATTTACTGAACCAATCAGTATTCAATACTGTTTTGGAAAGCCCTTGCCTCAACTGTTGTGCGGGCTTCAGGAAGGATGCCTGAGATCCAGCGCTGGCATGAATCAGTAACTGGACAATAGGAACTACTGCAGAGATGGAAAGGTCCTGCAAAGCTCAATGATTCTGAACTGTGCTTTCAAAGCTGGGTGGAGGCTTAGAAGCTGGAACGGTAGCAGGGATAACTACATCCCATGTAGCTAAGCCAGAATCTGGTATGTCAGATGAAGCTCAAAACATCACAGCTTTTTTTGACAACAAACATGAGGAGCAGTAACTTCTACACAGAACTTTACTGGCTTGAACTTTATATGCACTATGCAATTCTATCATCATACAACCCCACCACCCACTCCAATATATAGTCCAGTAAACAGAGGATGCAACAAGGTATCATAATTATGCATAAAAGGCTTGAAATACGCAATAAGTAATGATAACATTCTCATGCACATCAGTACATTAAAGGAATGCCAAGAGCAGTTCTCTGCTGCCTTCTGCACCTGAAAAAACAAAACACGGGAGCAGAGTAGCATAGTTTCCTGCAGACAAGTTCTCACTCCTTGCAATATGGCTCATCCACAGAAGTCGGCTCACCAAGCCCCATTAATGCTGGGAAATGACCGGACACCTCAGCTGATAGACTCTGGCATCCGCCAAGGCTACAGCTGCACATTTACATATGCAATGACCTAGATTTGCATTTGCTATCACAACCTATCAGACCTAATTAAAGCAATGGAGCCAAAGAGAGGATGCAAAATTATAGCATGAACAAAAGGAGCATATCCAGGTCAGACCAAAACATGCCAAAACTTCCGTATTTATTAGAGCAGGCCATTTTCCCGCCATGTTTAGACAGTTATTAGTAAAATATTGTGTCCACAGCAGACACGCTTACAGTCTAAATGGGGGGTGGGAGTGGTAAAAAGAAAGAGAAATGCTAGGCCACAAAATCAACCCACTGCTTGTTATCCAAACCGTCTACAGTCATGGGCTGCTCTTCTAAATTTTCTCCTGCGGCCAAAAAAAGGATACCTAACAGCAGACAGAAGGCACCGTGTAGGGATGAGAGGCAGTAACTTGTTTTGGCTGAGCACACCTCAGCTGACATAAAGAGCTGTAACTCCACTCTCCACTGGAAGCCACCAGTGGGCCAAAGAAGAAGACAGACCTCTCCTCTCTGTCTCTGAAGCTATCAGAGGTGGCGGGAGAGAAAAGAAGGGGGCTTGGAGGAAGCTCACCCTTTGGCACAATGGTCTCTGAGCCCAAGTCTTTCTGCCCTCCTACCATCAACCCATGTAGGAGTTAAGGGCAGCTGCCCCCCTATATCAAGTAAAACATCAAGATACTTAACTAACTGACCAATCACATCGGTTCTGCCCCCCTAACAAAATTCCTGTCCCCTCAACAAACTCCTGCCCCCCCAACAAAAATCCTGGCTACCCCCATGGTGAAGGGATTCCCCCCCAAAAAAATGCTTTCCCCCCTTTCTTCTATGAAGTTGAACCTCCCTGAATATTTCACAAGGTCCCAATGCATCATTTATTTAGTTCCAAATTCACCATAAATTTGATCCAATATCAGTTACTCTAAAGTGTGATAAAAACAAAAGGGTGTTCACCAATATGAGGATGATACCCAGCTCTACCCCTCATTTACACTGGAACCAGTGAAGGTCCTGTGTGAGTGTCTGGATGCAGCTGGAAGATGCATGGAGGTTAACAAATTGAGGTTGAATCCCGACAAGACAGAAATACTGTTTCTGGGGGACGGGGATGGGCAGTGGGTGTGGGGGACTCCTGGTCCTGAACGGGGTAACTGTGCCCCTGAAGGACCAGATGTGCAGCCTGGGAGTCATCCATGAAGGCACAGATCATTTCTGTGTCCAGGGCAGCTGTCTACCAGCTCCATCTGCTACGTGGCTGAGACCCTTCCTGACCGCAGACTGTCTTGCTGAAGTGGTGCATGCTCTGGTTATCTCTCGCTTAGACTACTGCCATGCGCTCTATATGGAGCTACCTTTGAAGGTGACCCGGAAACTACAACTAATCCAGAATGCGGCAGCCAGACTGGTGACTGGGAATGGCCGCTGAAACCATGTAACACCAGTCCTAAAGGATCTACGTTGGCTCCCAGGACATTTCTGAGCATAATTCAAAGTGTTGATGTGGACCTTTAAAGCCCTAAACCAGGGGTTGGCAACGTTTTTTGAGGCTGGTCTGGTCCACTCCCCGGCAGACCTCTCAGTGGGCCAGAGCGTGCATGCCCGTGCATGCGCTCAAGCTATTTCCAGCACACTTCCGGGACAATGGAGCGCACGTGCGCATGCTATTACCAGTGCTCTTCCAACCCAGAAGTTGGTCCCTGCGGCGAGAAAAAAAATAGTGCTAAAAAAAACCCACGGAATCTCCATGCTGATCCACGGAACAGCCGTGGGCCGGTTCCAGGAAGCTCATGGGCTGGAACCGACCCATGGGCCTTAGGTTGCCAACCTCTGCCCTAAACAGCCTCGGCTCAGTATACCTGAAGGAATGTCTCCACCTGTTGCCCAGTCCAGACATGGAGGCCCAGATCCAAGAGCCTTCTGGTAGTTCCCTCACTGCGAGAAGTGAGTTACAGGGAACCAGGCAGTTGGCCTTCTTGGCAGCAGTGGCACTCTCCCTGTGGAACACTCTCCCATCAGATGCCCAGGAAATAAAGAACCATACAACTAATAGGAGACATCTGAAGGCAGCCCTGTATCGGGAAGTTTTTAATGTTTGATGTTTTATTGTGTTTTTAGTATCCTGTTGGGAGCCGCCCAGAGTGGCTGGAGCAACCAGTCAGATGGGCAGCTTAATAATACGGAAACCGTATGTTGGTACACAATTGAAAGTTGGCAGAAATTGTGTCACTGTGGTATACGTTTATGTGCCAGTACTGGGAAGGCGGAAATGCCTATTTTTAAAACTAAGGCAAGAGGCTGAATGTCTGCCTGAGCAGAACACACCACAGTACAGAGCCAATTAAAGGCATCTGTAAGGTGCACCTGACCTGCCTTGTCAGCCTCATAACATGCTTCCAGCCTACACCATCTGCACTGAAGCCGCATGGGAATTGGCGAAGCCATGATGTAGCATGGTGTTACCACACTGAATATTGCAATGCATTTCATCTTGGAGAAAAGTGTATGGGCAGAAAGCATTTATTGGGCACCATGAGGGTTGTCTACTCAAAAACTTTGCTCACAACATGAGGTCTGCAGCTAAAAAAATAAAAAATGCAATTGCACAAAATAAAGCCACAGCTGCTATCCATGAACACAACAATATTTCTCAACTGATTGGGAAGCATGAATAGAGCAAGTATCATACCATTAAACCTCCTCAGGGACAGTCCAGTTGCTCCACAAGAGAGAGCACACAAATAGATATGAGAACAAGCAGATATAAACACACATTAACACTGCAAATTCTGGCAGAATACATGCCTTGCCTGCAAAGGTTTCTAGGTTTAATCCATGGCATCTCCAGCTAAAAAAAAAAATAAATCTGCAAAGAAGACTGAAAACACTCTTCTCAAAATCAAATTCATTGGATTCAAATGATAGATTGGGAAAGACTATGGAAGAATGACATGAAATTTACGGCCTGTGTTTTACTTAAAGAGAATTATATGAAAATATTATACAGATGGTACCCAATTCTGGTTAAATTAGCAAAAATGTATAAAACAAAAGATAATAAGTGTTGGATATGTAAAGCAGCGGAGGGCACTTTTAACCACATGTGGTGGCAATGTAAGGTTATTTTAAAAAAGGGAAATGATATATAATGAATTGAAAAAAATGTTCAAAATAACATTCGTTAAAAAACCAGAAGCATTTTTATTAGGTATCACAGGATTGGACATACCGAAAAAATACAAGACTTTGTTTATGTATGCAACAACGGCCGCTTGGATATTATTAGCACAACGCTGGAAAGAAGAGGAAGTCCCCACTAAAGAAGACTGGCAAACTAAGTTAATGGAATACGCGGAAATGGCTAAATTAACCGGGAGAATTCAAAACCAAGAAGACAATAAATTTAAAAAGGAATGGGGAATGTTTATTGCATATATACAAAAGCAATGCATACAAGTCAATACATTAGCAGGATTTTTTCAAAAAAATGCTTGTAATATTATAGATAAGGTATAAAATTGGAAAGTAAAATGAGGTAAAGAATTTATGGACATGCATGAACAACATAGAACAAGGGAACTGAGGCAAGGGTGAAGTCAGGGGATTCAGCGCGCCCCAAGCTTCTGGGTGCCGGCAAGCTCTCCGCTAGCCATGGGAGAGCCACGCGACTTTCCCACGGCTAGCGGAGTGCTGCGCAAAGCCCAAAGCTTGGGGCGTGCTGAGCTCAGCGCGCCCCTAGCTTCTGGGTGCCGGCAAGCTCTCCGCTAGTTGTGGGAGAGCTGCGTCTCCCACGGCTAGCGGATAGCTTCCTGAAGCCTGGAGAGTGAGAGGGGTGGGGTCGCACCGACCCCCCCCACTCGCCAAGCTTCAGCGAAAGCCTGCATTTGCCCCATAGGATGCACACACATTTCCCCTTCATTTTTGGAGGGGAAAAGTGCGTCCTATAGGGCGAAAAATACGATATGTTTTTTTCTTTTTTATGTGATGTTTTGTTGTTGTAAAAATTATTAAAAAGGGGGAAAAGAAAACGCTCTTCTCTGCTGAAGACCCTGGAGGACTGCTGCCAGTCAGAGTAGAGAGATGGGCATATCACCTGTCCTGGAATAAGACAGTTCCACATGTATCAAAACTGAACAAAGGAACCCACAATGTCTTAAGTTAACATGAACACTGTAAAACAGAAAACCAAGCTGTGGAGTTCCCTTGATGTTTTATCGTGTTTTTAATATTCTGTTGGGAGCTGCCCAAAGTCGCTGGGGAAACCCAGCCAGGTAGGTGGGGTATAAACTACTTCTTCTTCTTCTTCTTCTTACTACTACTACTACTACTACTATTATTACTACTAGGGACACGGGTGGCGCTGTGGGTTAAACCACAGAGCCTAGGACTTGCTGATCAGAAGGCCGGCGGTTCGAATCCCCTCAACGGGGTGAGCTCCCGTTGCTCGGTCCCTGCTCCTGCCAACCTAGCCATTCGAAAGCATGTCAAAGTGCAAGTAGATAAATCGGTACTGCTCTGGCAGGAAGGTATACGGCGTTTCCGTGCACTGCTCTGGTTCGCCAGAAGCGGCTTAGTCATGCTGGCCACATGACCTGGAAGCTGGACGCCGGCTCCCTCAGCCAGTAAAGCGAGATAAGCGCCGCAACCCCAGAGTCAGCCAAGACTGGACCTAATGGTCAAGAGTCCCTTTACCTTTACCTATTATTATTATTACTATTATTATTATTTCAGGAGCCATTTTTATTTAAGTCTCACTTAAGGCAACACTAACTAAAATTAATTTGTTGCATTAGCTTCAAGCACTAAGAAATGGCTTGATAAAAGTATCAAACCAAATTAGTAGGCAGCAAGAATAATAGAGTGCAGATTTTAAACATTTCCCCCATTAGAAATGCCAACGAATTTTGAGTTATTGCCACCTTTAGCTAAGAAAATTCTCTCCATTCCAACCTACACCAATGCAGTGTGGATCTGACAACAAACTGGCAGCAATTCTAGTTATATATTCACTTACTGTAATTAGAAAACTTCTAAATAGAAAGTTCTATTGTGAGTCATAAGGAAAAGGTTAACTATAACACTAAATATAAATACTGCAGACAAGCAGCAAGGGATGATTCTAAACCACCTCTTCAAGTCTTCCGGGACGTGTATGCAGCAAATTGTGGCACGTAACCAATTTATCTGTCAATGTTGCAACTTTATTCCCTTTCCCAAAAGTGGTTCCCCAACTCTGTATATGAAAGCCCACAAAACAACTACTGCTCCCACTTTTGCATAATCATTTAGAACGCAAGAAGTCTATGTGCTTGTGATGTATGTTTGGTGGACAATGTGACAGTTAATGTGAAAGGGATGTTTTGCCTTTCAGAACAAAAACCAGAGTTGCAATGGATCACAAAAGTTACGTCCAGTGGTACCTTGGTTCTCGAACAGCCTAGTTCATGAACAACTTAGAACCTGAACGTCGCAAACCCGGAAGTGAGCGTTCCAGTTCTCAATATATATATTTTTAAGTTGAACGTGTCCTGAGTTTCCATTTTTAGTGTTGCACTTCTGTTTTGAGAGAGAGAGAGAGAGAGAGAGATCGAAAGATCGTGCTGATTGGGGTGGTGGGGAGAAGCATTTTAGGGGTAGTTTTTCAACAGCCTGGAACGGATTAATCCGTTTTGCATTACTTTCTATGGGAAAGCGCACCTTGGTTTTGGAATGTTTTGGTTTTGGAACGGACTTCTGGAACAGATTAAGTTTGAGAACCAAGGTACCACTGTATAGTACCTGAATTCTCTAAACCAGCCTTCCCCAACCTCGTACCCTCCAGATAATATTGGACTTCAACTCTCACTACCCTGCACCCCTGGCTCTGCTGGTTGGGGCGGATGGGGGTTGCAATCCAAAAACATCCAGAGGGCACCAGGTTGGAGCAGGTTGCCTTAGGCATTCTCAAAACTCACCCATCTTTTTTGTTGTTGTTATGAATTTTGACTTTAAGGAAGTTATTGTTCTACAGCATATCAGAATGTTATAGATGAAATCCAGTACAAATGCAATCAAGATACAAATACAAAAGTAAGCAAGCCCAATAATTTCAAATAGCCATACTTGGTCATAGTTTGTTTAGTTCTAGGAATTTATAGTGCACTGTTCAGTGTGCAGTCCCAGGGTGGGGAAACTCTATCTCTGGAGGAAGGTTAGATAGTAGTTTTATCCTACACTGATTAACCATTTTGCTAAAATTTTACAGTAAAAGATCCTTAATCACCAGTCATAAGATCTAATCAAAACATGGACAGAAGATGAAAAACAGATGACCTAATCCTGGCACTGACCTAAACCAGTCATTGGGAGACCAAAATACCCTCTGATAAGGAAGACATCCCATGCTTCTGGCTATGTAACTGTTCTGATAAACAGTGGTGCCATTTAAAAGGATTATCATCTGACTTTCCAGGAACCCCATACTTATGAAGGCTATTCCTAAGACATTTTCTCTCTGCTGAGTATAAAATAACCCTATTTGTTTTTTGAAAAGTTCTCTCCACAGTCTCCCCAAAAGGACGATCTTTTAAAATAACTTCAATCCATTTTGTGATCTGAGTGGTGCTAAAATATTTTAATGTCTACCAAGACAATCACATTTTGAAGTACAACAATGATTGCATAATTGATATATTCTTCTACATCTTGAGCTAGTTTGCTAAAATGACTCTTATTTCCTCCCTCTGGAACACCCTTCCATCGGATGTCAAGGAAATACAGAACTACACAACATTTAGAAGACACCTGAAGGCAGCCCTGTATTGAGAAGTTTTTAATGTTTAATATTTTATTATGTTTTTATATGTGCTGGGAGCCATCCAGAGTAGCTGGGGCAATCCAGCCAGATGGGTAGGGTATAAATAATAATAAAATTATTATTGTTATTGTTTTATTGTTATGGTTATTATTATTCCAGGAGAAAAAATGGAACAATTATTTCTGGTATCTTCTCTCCTTACTGCCCATTGAGACAAATACCTGACATATCAATCAGACCAACTCCATTTTCTCAACCAACAATCTTCTCTAAAAAAAATAAAAATCAGCTCCTGTTAACGTCAATTCAATAATGTGTAGTGATTCAGTTAACAATAATAGCTGTCATTTCACTCTTAATCTCTACAATATAAAGTACAAGGATTATAGTCAACAATACAAAAACAAACTGTCAGAAACCCAGTCTGCCAAAATCTGTTAAGCTTTATCAAATCACAAATCGATCCACATTTAATAATGTAGCAGTAAACTACTGCAATCAATACGAACAAAAATGTATTCAAGAAGCTCAGTAAATCTAGAACAAGATCAGAAATAAGTAAGAAAATTCACTGAAAAACTGAAAGGAAAAAAAGAGCTCATCAGACACTGTCCGTCAAACATCCATGGAAGGCAATTCCACAGATTCCGGAGATTATCCGCTCCATTGCCTAATTCTTAGTACAGCCAAGTATGTTTCTTAAAATCCAATTGAAAGCGGCTTCTCAATACCTTAAACAGGAGCTCTGATCAATACATTATCCTCTTTAATAATAGCCTCCAAGAGACTCAAGAGCTGCTACCACATCATCCCCACCTTCAGTCTTTTCTCTTGTAGTTCCAGTTCTTTAAGCCTCTCTGCAGGACAAGCTTCCAAACCCTTAATCATCTTCATTGGTCTCCCTCCTCCATCTCCAGTCTTGAGTCCAAGAGTATAGACACAACTTTAACAGAGGCTGGAAGTGGCCAAAAATGCACTTAAAAATGACCACTTCTGACAATGATGCATCCTGTCAGGCCCACAGGAGAAGACAGTATTAGCCACTAATTACATTTAACTATGTCATTAGAAATTCCAACATGTGCTCTAAGAAGCCATGAATGTATCTGCTGCGTAAGAACACTTCCTAATCTTGTTCATGGAATAATTACACGGGCTCCATCCTGCCAAATGAGACTGTAATTAACCCTAATTGCTTAAAATGTAACTTGGCTAATTCAAGGAGATCAATTACTATTAAATGACTTAATATGACAAATTACTGCAGTAGGGGAGGGGGGGAGCGTTCCACACAGGCTATTTCAACGCAGCACTGAGCACCATGTGTTCACAAGCAATTCACTGTTTTTTTCTAGATCTCATTGTTGTACTTCGCTTTTGCTCTCTTACTGAATTAGCTCAGCAATGAATGGCAGGACTCACAATCCAAATGTTACTGCTTTTCCAGGAAGAGCCTTGCCGGATTCATAATTCTGCAGTATTGATGGGCAACAGCAACCCAATGCTTAAGGAAAGCTAGTATTGCTTCTTCACAGTAGACCTCTTTAATATGCATGACTATACGCAATATGCAATACTACACTTAAGAAATGTGACATGGCCATAGAAAGAGAGATTGAACATTTATTACAACAACATCATTCCGGGCAGCTTCCAACAAAATATTAGAACACAAAAAACCCCTCAAACATTAAAGACATCCCTGTACAGATGTCTTCTAAAAGTCAGATAGTTGTTTATTTCCTTGACATCTGATGAGATGAGAGGGCGTTCCACAAGGCGGCCACCACTACCGAGAAGGCCCTCTGCCTGGTGCCCTGTAACTTCACTACTTGCAGGGACGGAACCGCCAGAAGGCCCTCGGCACTAGACCTCAATGTCCGGGCTAAACGATGGGGGTGGAAATGCTGCTTCAGGTCTACTGGGCCGAGGCCATTTAGGGCTTTAAAGGTCAGCACCAACACTTTGTATTGTGCTCAGAACCGTACTGGGAGCCGATCTAGGTCCTTCAGGACCGGTGTTATATGGTCTCGGCAGCCACTCCCAGTCATGAGTCTGGCAGCTGCATTTTGGATTACAGTCAAACCTCAGTTGTCAAATGTAATCTGTTCTGGAAGACTGTTCGACTTCCAAAACGTTTGACAACCGAGGCGCAACTTGCCATTGGTTGCAATAGCTTCTTGCACTCAAGCGGAAGCCGCTTTGGATGTTCAGGTTCCGAAAAACACTTGAAAACCGGAGCATTTACTCCTGGGTTTTCAACATTAGGGAGCCAAAATGTACGATAATGGAGGCATTCATTCGGGAACCCAGGTTAGACTGTAACTGTAATTTCTGAGTCACATTCAAAGGTAGCCCCACGTAGAGCGCATGGCAGTAGTCCATCATAGCAATCCTGTGAGGCAGGTATGCTGGCAGATGCTGGCAGGGACTAGCCCTTTTCTGTCTGGACGGGGATTTTAAACATGGGTTTCCCCAATCCAAGACCAACAAGCTTGTTTTCTCCTGCTCTGGAGGGCAAGACTTGAAACAATGCCTTCAAGATACAAGAAAGGAGATTCCGACTAAACATCAGGAAGAATTTTCTGACAGAAGAGTTGTTCCATAGGGGAACAGGTTTCCTCAGGAGACATGGCCTCTCCTTCACTGGAGGTTTTTAACCAGAGGTTGGGTGGCCACCTGTCCTGGATGCTTTAGCTGAGATTCCTGCACTGCAGGCGGTTGGACTGGGTGACCCAGTTTTGTGATTCTAACCACTACACTACAGTGACTCCACAGTCACATAAAGAAAAAGATTAGCTGGTATGATGTGGGAGGAATACTTGCTTCAAGCATTCTGGTCAGGAACTTCCCTGTTTTTCCACAAATAGATTTTGTAATGCTAATGGCATCCTAAATTTTGATAATAATTATTGATTTTAAGAGTTGTTAAATATTTGAAGCAGAGGACCATGAGAAAGAAAACGGCTGCTTACTTGTGCATCATGCTGGTATTCCTGGCTCGCCACTTTGCAGAGCGGGCTGTTCTGGTCCCCCAGATGATGAGGATGACTGTGCTGTCCTTCCATAGTAACATTCCAGACTTTGCCTTTAAGCTCTGTGGAACCAAGAACACACCTGTGTCAAAGCAAAAGGCACCTACATGGCTGAACTCAAGCGGATTAGCAGGAAGAACCAGTAAGGGTCACTATTCTCTGGTGATATACATACAACTTCACATTTGAACAGGAGTTCTTCCCTGTCCCCCCATCACAGGCAATTATCTGACCAGTATCACAAGTTCTACATCCCACAAGGACCATATTCTTGATAAAGAAGCTAGCAGAAACGTCTGCCTCATCCTCTCTCACTGCCATTCTCTCCCTTTTGTCCTTCACTGCTTATAGCTGCTGCTAGCACCCAGGCCCCATGTTTCCTGGGATCCTCTGTGTGTGCACAGCCACGCAGGTGTGCAGTAAAATGGTACCTCAGGATGCGAACGGGATCCGTTCCAGAGCCCCATTCGTATCCTGAACAGAACGTAAGATGCGACTGCGCGTCTGTGTGTGTGCGGGTCGCGTTTCGCCGCTTCCATGCATGCGCGTGACGTCATTTTGACCATCTGCGCATGCACAAGCGGCGAAACCCGGAAGTAACGCGCTCCGTTACTTCCAGGTTGCTGTGGGGCGCAACCCGAAAATACTTATCCTGAAGCGTATTTATCCTCAAAGGATATATGGGGACTGGGCCGCTTTTACCATCACAAGAGGGAAGGGAGACCCTAGAAAGATAAGTACCAGTTTGTCACACATTTTCACAGAATACTGACCCAGGACCTTCCACCTTGCCCACATAAGGACATGAGAGGTTGAGGACACTCACTATATTCCAAGCACAGCAAGAGAGAAGCAAGGCATAGCAAGCATCTAATATTTCAATACAAACTTGCACATTCTTCTGAATGTCACAGAAGCAAAAGTTTGCCATTTTTAATTATTCCACAAAACCCTTATTTAAGTGCAACTGCTTATATATAATGGTTACAGCTGTCAACGAAGGCAAATGCAAATTCCTGTCTGAGGAGATAATGCAGAAAATGAAAGAACACCAAACATTACTTTTTTGACCATTAAAAAAACCCCATGTGACAGTCTAAACATATGGAGATTAGGCTACAATGACTGGATCCTCTTCTATGGTTACATTCATGAAATATAATAGCAGATGTGGTCCATGTTATCCTCTTCTGGCTCAAAGAAGAAGAAAGTAATACTGCCAACTTTAGCTGTGAGCAAACCTGTGACAATTCTGTGGTACCAGAATGACGCAACCCAGACAGAGTTGTGTTATGACTGATGTTAAACATGAGTTGCTCACAGATGCTTGTAATTGCAAGTCCTTCATAAAACTAACTTGCAACACGACACATTCTAGCTACAATGCTTATGTCAACTTGGATTCTTCCCACTTGCCGCTACCCTGTCATGCGCATGCCACTGCCAGGGGAACTTCATTGCACCATGAAGACACTTCCCCTCATCAGTCGGTGCAAAGATCCAACCAAGACACTTCCAAAGTATACTGCCGAGGCAGCTGGAAGATATGACCCCAAATCCCAGAGAAGCATCTACAGCTTCCCAGCAGTGGGAAATATTCCCCAGGCTTCTGTAAATTCCTTTCTAGAAATAAAAGTCTCCAGAGGCAGTCAGGATCAAGAGGGAAGCAGCAGTAACATTAGGGACACTTAGTAATGCTCCCCAGGAACAAGTCTGTAAAGCACTGACGTTAAATATTTGACCTCATACAGTGTATGACAAAAGCTAACTAAAAGAAAGAATTTAAATTAATTGTGGGGTATCATTCTACAGCCCCATCCCTGGACTGTAGGCTTCAAAAACCATCTCTTCTCTGCTGCCTTTAGGCTTTGGTTTCAACATGGACTGCAAAAAATTGTGCCATTTTTCTTATAGTATTTTTAGCTTTATGCTGGTCACTTTTTGGATTATGGATTTGGATGTTTTATACTGTATAACAACAACAACAACAACAACAACAACAACAACAACAGAGAGGGAGACATTCTAGAGGGAAAGAGCCATGTTAGCTGTTTGTAGCAAGAACCAAGTTTTGCGGCACTTTAAGGATAAACACAGAACTGCAGTTTTTTAGGATAGCTGCCAAGTTGAGATTCCACAGCCACAACAGTTTTGTTTGTTTTTAAAGCAGAGACTAGAGCACTAATACCATTTCTGAAGTTCCTCCAAAAAAAATCCAAGCAGATTTGTGTTGATAAAACTCAAAGGCAGTCCAGAGTCCACAGCTGGGTGACTAGAGAGAAGACAATCAGAATGCCTGCTTGGAAAACACTACACACTGCAACTAGAGTGATGGCAAAAGTGGTTCTGTTAGACTACAAACCACCTGAAAGAGTCTCCTGGTACCGTTTTCCACAGATGAAATACAGGTAGTGAAGAAGGTCCTCTTCCCTGTAGCTATCACCACTTGGTAGGCTCAACGTTGAGCTCTAACCCGTGTTCAGTTCAGAACAAGTTTTTCATCCTGGCGCTCTAGCCAACTTTGCAATTGTTTCATTGCCCTCAGCTTCATGGAAAACTATGGGGCCATCTGCGCTCCATGCAACTGGAGAGGGCGCTTTGGAGCCAGACGGTGATAGCCCTGGTTAACTCTGCATTCCAGGGAATCAGCTGAAAGGGCATCAACGTGGGATAAAACATCCCCTACCACTCTCTGGAAACCATTTGGCTCTGTTAAGTGGCGGGGTGGGCCATCCAAATCAGCTCCACCTCCCTGCAGAGGGGAAGGTTTGTGGAGAAATCTAGCTGCTTTGTTGGATCTTATATTGGAGTGGATGAAATGAACGTTGTTTATAGCGGACAGATGAAGAATCGGAAGTCCCTTACCTTCTGAATTTTTTCTCTCTTTCTCTCTCAGCTAACCTCTTTTCTATTTCTATTTCTTTCTTTCTATTTCATGTTCTTTATTCCTTTACTCCCCCCTCCTTCTCTTTATGTTCTTATTGTATTTAGATAAAAAAAGGGAGAATATTTCATATTAAGTTTTGTATTTTTCTCTATCAGCACCAATAAAATTTATTCCGGGGGGGGAATAAAAGGAGTGAAAAGGAACACAAAACCCACAGACAAGAAGCACAGAACTCCAGCCTACAAAGCAATCAAGCTGCAACTTCTCCCACTAGACAACAATATGAACAGCTATCAGTTTCACTAACTTCTTGTCTTACTCATTCACTAGAAATGACATCACATTTACAGGGTAGCATTTCTCAAAAAAACACTTCTGCTCCCCGTTTTAGAAACTGAGTCAATATGTAAAAGAGAATTTGGTAAACACTGCAATTGCTGGGAATGGGTAGGGGTAAAATCCGGTCCTGTTACAATTGTTTGGTTAAATCTGAAGTAAAGGGCTAGAGATTACCAGACAATGAATTAGTACCATGTGACTGAAATGTACAGCTCTGAAAGTACACAGGAGAAGGAAAGGAAGCAGATGACTGGCTGAACAGAAGAAACTGAGAAATCAACAGCCATATCTAATTTGCAAGGATGTTTGTGGTATTTCTCAGTTCTTTGGAGGTGTCAGCATTTTATCACCATCCACACTGTTTTAGGTATTGCAGCAGTTTGTGGGTTTTCTGCGTACAACTAGACAGTCCTCCTTTGAAAAACACACTTCTCAAAGAGCACCATGAATGGGATTTCTGATATAGAACATTTCATAAAAGCTATACAAATTGCACAGGGATGTTTTAATATTTGTCAGAATTAACCCTTGGCTTTTTATTTGTGAACGGTGTAAATTTCATACTAAAGTACAAGAATTAAAGTACAAGAATTCCAAATGGCACATTCCTGCTGTTCTAGTTTAAGGTGACTTCCTCACAGGCACTGAGCCATGAGTTATCCCAAACAGAAACAGGCTCCTTTCTGAAACTGTGAAGCTCAGTCTGTCAGCAACACACACATGGAGAGCACACATGCTTCTGGTAGGCTCATGATTCTTTGGGTGCTGCAGGGAAGACAAGGTGTGCTTGCTTCCTATGAAAGATAAGAGACAGCCATTAGCAGCTCAGGACAGTACAGCTGCCACAAGTAATTCAGTTTGGCTACTTGTTTCAAAGCATCTTTGCTTGCAAAGCTTTGAAAGGAGTAACGACAAAATATCAGTTTTGAAAAGTGATATGTGTCAGCTCACATGATACCAACACTGATTCTTGCTGACACCCAAGGGACACACTGTCCTGCTCAAAACTAGCAGCTATTCTGGGATGCTGGGAAAACATGCTATAGGTAGATCAGAGCAAAACTCACGAGAGGCAAGGCAGCAAGTTGCAGACAGATGCCTACTTCTGCTGGTGAAAAAACTACCCTACCCTGAGCAAGAGAATCAATAGACTGCACTATCTTTACTTTTAAAGTAGACACACTATAGAAAGCTGCCTTATACAGAGTCAGACCACTGGTCCACTACTGCCATTCATTAGATAAGTATTGTCTACACTGATCAGCAGTGACTCTTCCGGGATTCAGGATTGAGCCTTTTCCCAACCCTACCAGGGGTCTTTGGCATTCAAAGCAGATGTTTTACCACTGTAGAGATCTGATTATAATCCACGTATCTAGATTATTTAGATTCATTCCAATCTGGGTTAAGGGCTGGCCATGCGACAAGTCACTGTGATGGATGACCTTTACAGTAAGCAGGACAAAGGGGAGTGTGACATTGCTCCTGCTCTTCGCTGCTTTTGATGATCATGGCATCCTCCTGGACCAGCTCTCTGGAATGGGAATTGGGGACCCCATGTTACAGTGGCCCCAGTCCTGTCAATAGGACTAGAGAGTAGCCTTGGGAGAGCATAGCATCTGTTACCTGGCAATTACACTATGGGTTGCCACAGAACACCATTTTATCCTCAATGTTGTTTAGTATCTATAAGAAGCTGCTGGGAGCGTTCTTTGGGTGTTCGGGGGCAAAATTCCATCAGTAGGCTATTAACACTCAACTCTATTCCTCCATAACATCTAAATCAGGAGAGACTGTGAAAGCCCTGGACCAGTTCCAGGACACAGTGGTGGCCTGGAGGAGGGAAAACAAGCTGTGCTTGAAGCCTTTGGTAAAGTAGAATATATTTTGCTTTTAATTCAGGACACTGGACGCAACTCAATGATTAAACTTTGTACATACAGCAAGGTGGGTTATTATGATTGCTAATAGGTTAGAAATAACTGCAAACTTGATTGCAAAGCCAGAGTATTTCCTTTGTTATTTCCAAGAAACTTAAAAAGAGACAGGCCAGAGCTATCCAAACTTTTCATGTTGGTTACATGCTTTTTTAGACATACATCACTTCACGACATAGTAATTCAGTTTTACTAGCAAACCGACGGTGAAACTAACCCCTTTCCATCTCCAGGAGGAGTGCTGGGAGCATTCACATGACACACCTACACACTGCAGCCGACACACTAATGCAGGGATCGGCTGAGGTGTACCTCGCCTGGGATGGTTCACTCCAGCGGAGATCCCTCCATGGGCCAGATCACCTGTGCGCCCGTGATCTCTGGCGTCTGCGTCGACATGATTTCCGGTGCCTGCGTAGATGCAATTTCCGGCACTGTGGAAGCGAGTCCCCGTGCTGCGCTGGTTTAGCACAGCACGCTGGGACTTGCCAAGTGAGTGGCTCAGTTCGGGGGGGTTGCTCGTGGGCCAGTTAAACGACCCCCATGGGCCACTTGTGGCCTATGGGCCCTAGGTTGCCTACCCCTGCACTAATGTGTCATGACACACAGTTTGGAAAGCTCTGAGATAAGTCCTGGGGAATTTTATCATAGACTAGTAAGTGTAGTTTCTGAAAAGGCAGGCTGGTTAACAAGATAGTATGTTCTAATCGCCACTGCTAATAAATGCAAATGGTGCAAAGGGGAAAGCTTCCGGCACTATTCTTTAAGGGTGACATTTCCAGAAATTCTAAGGTGAAGCAGTTCTGGCTTAACTGACGGTCTAATTAAAAAAAAAATTTTTTTTAGTATTACTCTTTTATTGAAAGAATTTCAGTCATAAAGAAAAAGAAAAATAAGAAAAATAAGGAAATAAAGAGAGAAAATGTGTAGAAACAAATACAAAAATACAACGTATATACTCAAATACATTCTTATATAAATATATGTTATTATCCTAACATATATGTAGGTATTAATAGCCTACTACATTCTGTATAAACTCATTCCAAATGTCATATTTATCCAAGCAAAGTCTACAGCTATAAGCAGTCCATTCATAAGTTGCAAGTGTTGTCATATTGTCAACCCATTGATTAAAGGGCATCATATCTTTATTCTTCCAATTCATCAGTATCAGTCTCTTGGCCACCATAAGGGTGCATAGAACTTCCATACAATGGGTATATAATTAAAAAGAATATTCTTTGATGAAAGTTTTAACTTTTTCTGTAGTCACACAGTCCAGCACTTTCTTCCAAAACTTAACAAGTAAAGAACATTGTACACATGTATATTTCAAAGAGGCACTGTCCTTGCTACACCTCCAACATAGCCCTTTTTATACAAACATAAAGGTAAAGGTAAAGGGACCCCTAACCATTAGGTCCAGTCGTGGCCGACTCTGGGGTTGTGGTGCTCATCTCGCTTTATTGGCCGAGGGAGCTGGCATACAGCTTCCGGGTCATGTGGCCAGCATGACTAAGCTTCTTCTGGCGAACCAGAGCAGCGCACGGAAACGCCGTTTACCTTCCCCCCGGAGCGGTACCTATTTATCTACTTGCACTTTGACGTGCTTTCGAACTGCTAGGTTGGCAGGAGCAGGGACCAAGCAACGGGAGCTCACCCCGTCGCGGGGATTCAATATACAAACATAAAGGAGTCCAATAAATTCCGGATATTATTTTTTGTTGTGTAAGTCTTAATGTAAAGGTCACTGATACCTTTGGTATCACGGGTAAAACATTTTCAACTGTCTGGGTAATACTGCAAGTTCCAATTCTTTATTCCAATTATTTATTAAAGTCTGCATATTGAACTTATTTATTCTTAATAAATATCTATAAAAAGTAATCACTGGTTTTTTTAGTTTCAAACAAATTGTTCAATTGCTCTTAGGTGATCTTAGGTGCCTTGGAAGCTGAAATGCTGCTGGCCCAAACATACGTGTTAGGAGACATTGTAACTGAAGATATTGCCATTGGGCCACAGCTGATAGATGATATTTTTGTCTTAAAACAGCACAGGTATAAAATTAATCTTCCTTATTGATCCATTGTTTCAAAGTCAATGTACCTGCTTTCAGCCAATTTTTAGATTGGGGTTTCCCCACAAAGTAATTTTGGCATGTGAGAATGCATCAAATTTGTTTTTATTAGACAACGTATTCCATATCCTTCTAATTAAGAAGGATATGGAATATGTTGTCTAATAACTATTATTGTCTAACAACTGCTTCCAGAATCATCTGGGATTTTGAATATTTTAATCCTAGTACTGTATTATCCAACCAACCAAAGGTGCTATATGTGTGTATTCTAGGGTTGCCCATGTCAGAAAATTAAGACCAGGTTTTCAATATTTAGTTATTGACAGTAAATAAGCATAGTGATATAGTTCCAAATTCAGAATTCCAAATCTGACTTCTTTCATTTGTAACTGCAAATAAAGCCTTTGATGGCTGTTAAATCAAGTTGATGAGTGAAATGAATTATGGAGCAACTCAAAGGAAAGTTTTCTGCTTGCTATCATTGATGCAAGAGGGAAAGTGGGCCTATAAACCCTACTCAATACAGAGGCTGGATTTTTATGCTTGCATCTTCACACCCTACCAGACACATAAAAAAACATATATCCACCTGTTTGTACACCAGCAGTATTTGGCAGAAGCAACCCTGTTCAACGCTATAAAGAAAATTACAGGGGTTCTAAAGGTAAAGGTACCCCTGACCGTTAAGTCCAGTTGCGGACGACTCTGGGGTTGCACATTCATCTTGCTCTATAGGCCGAGGGAGCTGGCATACAGCTTCTGGGTCATGTGGCCAGCATAACTAAGCCACTTCTGGCGAACCAGAGCAGCGCACGGAAATGCCGTTTACCTTCCCGCTGGAGCAATACCTATTTATCTACTTGAACTTTTTGGTGTGCTTTTGAACTGCTAGGTGGGCAGGAGCAGGGACCGAGGAACAGGATCTCACCCTGTCGCGGGGATTCGAACTGCCAACCTTCCGATCGGCAAGCCCTAGGCTCTGTGGTTTAGACCACAGCGCCACCTGCGTCCCTATAGGGGTTCTACTATGACACAATTAATAATGCAGCTCCCAACACTGTACAACCAGAAGTTAAATTGTATGGCCGTAATCAGAACTGCTGAGCTGCACAACACAAAACTCAATCCACTAATTTAACCCCCATAATGGCTACAATTTTGCAGAAATACACCCAAAGGTACACCAACAAAGCATATCCAAGCAACATTACTCTATTACACTGCATCACAAGGCACCAATTTTGTTATACTGAGTCACACAAAACTGTAAGGGCTACTGGCACTAATGGATTTATGTATGAGTAACTCTGATGAGGACTGGCTCTTTCCTGTATTGAACTACTGTAACAAGTTCTGTGTGGAGCTTCCCTCAAGATTGCTCCGGAAGCTGCAATTGGTACAGAATGCTACCAGCGGGTTGCTGAATTAAGTACCTGTGCTGAGAGAACTACCATAAAGAAGGCTGATCGCCGAAGAATTGATGCTTTTGAGTTATGGTGTTGGAGGAGACTCTTGAGAGTCCCATGGACTACAAGAAGATCAAACCTCTCCATTTTTAAGGAAATCAGCCCTGAGCGCTCACTGGAAGGACAGATCCTGAAGCTGAGGCTCCAATACTTTGGCCACCTCATGAGAAGAGAAGACACCCTGGAAAAGACCCTGATGTTGGGAATGATGGAGGGCACAAGGAGAAGGGGACAACTGAGGACGAGGTGGTGGGACAGTGTTCTTGAAGCTACCAGCATGAGTTTGACCAAACTGCGGGAGGCAGTGGAAGACAGGAGGGCCTGGCGTGCTCTGGTCCAGGGGGTCACGAAGAGGCGGACACGACTAAACAACTAAACAACAACAACAACAAAGCTGAGGGAACTACACTAGCTGCATAATAGCTATGAAAGTATATTCGAGTTCGTGTTACTTACATATAAAGCCTTGTACAACAACTTGGGATCAGGTTTCCTGAAGGACCACCAGCCCCTGTATGGTCCCATAACAACACTTTGGTCACCTGAGGAAATTTTACTCCTGGCACCATACAAAATATCATTTGGCAGCAATCCCAAAATGGGAATTTTCTACTATAGCCCCTTGAAATGCCATTCCTTTGACCATAGATCAATTATCTGACCATCATCAAATACTTGCTTCAGAGATCTTGCTAAGACATATTTTTGCACAGGCTTTCCTTGTTTTATAAAACTAGTCCTGATGCCATTTTTATCTCTGGTTTACATGATACTGTTTTACTGCTTTTATGTTTGCACTGCTTATATACCACGTAAACATTTTTTACATATCAAGTAGTTTAGAAACATTTTAAAATAAATAAATAAAATCGCACAAGTCCACGCTCTTTGACATGTTCCATTGTCAGAATTATTATTAAGTGTCTTAGTGACACGGCACCAGGGATTTTTCTAACCCTGCTCATCCATCAGATTACTTTTATGCATAAATCAAGCCATCAGCCAATTTATACTGTATTTTATTCTAAATGAAGTAAAACTATCACATTTTTTTAAAAAATGATATTTATTGAGAATTTTTTTAAAAATTACACACAAAAAAAGAGACAAGACAAAAAAAAAGAAAAAGAAAAGTAAAACCATCATTCTCCAATTCTCTACTTTCAATACCTTCTTTCCTTGACCTCCTCCTCCTCCCTTTTCCTGTATCCTGATTTATAATAGTCACAGCAAATCCTTTCCATAATTCATAATATTCTGTCCTTACATTACCTTAGTCTATTTTCATCTTATCTTATATATAAAAAAAGTTTAAAACTTAAATCTTAATTTTTACCAACTTCTCCTAACCATAACATTCTTACCTAATTCTTTAAACATTTTTATAAGAGCCAAATAATTTCATTTCAACATTTTCCTAACATTCATCAATTTTGTAAAACAGTCCTAATGATAGAAATAGAAACTTAAGCAATCCAAACTTCCTCCAGCGTCCCTTCCTCCTGGTCCCGGGTTTTGTCAGTCCTTTTTGTCCTATTAATCTAACACATTAACCTGGCAATCTTATATCCGAGGCCCTCAAGTCTCTTCCATGTCCCTTCCACCGCTCTTCTTCATATTAAAACTATCACATTTTCCTTCAGCTGAGCACTTAGCAATATTATCTGAAAGAAAAATACACTGAACATTTTTCCTTTCCAGGATTAGATGTTCTTGTTCTCCTTTCCAACATAGCTGCAGGCAAGTTTCTGGCCTGGAATTTACTTGCTCCTAAACCAGCAGGGAAAAACATTTGTAATAACAACAACCACCGCCACAACAAAGAACTGCCCATAAAACATACTGGCTCACTGTATTAAGGCCTATACAATCCCCAACATGTGGGAGACGAAGGGTTTGATCACTTAAAATGAATCCCTCAATCTGAATGGTACTCCATTTCACAGTATGCAAATACAATTTTGGAATCTCTCCCTGAACTCTGACCGTCACTTACTCACACATACATACACTTCTTCTAAAAGCGATATTCCAGCAAATATTCCTGCAACCAAGGGAAACCAAAGCTTACACCACCCCCTGCAGAAATCTGACAGGTGCACTTTAGAAGGCAAAAATGCCCAAGGCACTTGGTAGCAAAGCCCAATATCATTAGTTACAGGATACCTATTAAGGAAAGTAACTTCAGTAACAGCAGCCTCTGCTCATAACTGATGCACCCTGATAGATGCCCAATGCGCACTCCCTTTCCAAATCAGCCTCGATAACAGCTGTGATCAGCTTAATAAGGTATAAGCATGTAGCTTTGGATGCCTAGATCACATCCACAGGCCAAATTATTCTCCCTGATGAACAAACAGCTTGAGTAGCAACGAATACTTCCCAAGCAGAAGAAAGCACAGCAGCAAGAATTGTGCCCACATGTCTGTTTCCCTATGCCAACACACCTATCCTCTTGCTGTGTATATCCAGCTGTTTTCCATATGGCTAGCACTCAACCCTCTCTGTTGCTCACAATGCCACTGAGCAGTAGTAATGCCAAATCTTAAACATTTCAGGTAATCTAAAAGGCAAAATTTTCTAGCTCTAAAAACACTGAATTTAAAAACCAAAATGAAGCACCCCCAAAGCTATTCAGCACCTGAGATTTCCCAGTTGAAAAAGGTGCATAGTTCAGAATGTTGGGGGAAATATATTGCGCATAATTTCTGGAATACTCAAAAACAGGAGGATAGAGAGGGAACAAGGTTTAATCAATAACAGAAATTTGTGTATAAATTCACTGCTTCTGTGCTCCTATGCACAAACACATTCCCCTATTACCTGCCTATTTGCATAGGAGAATGAGATTTGCTTCATTTTAACCAATGCAACTTGCTAAAGCATCTTCCAGTGTTGCATATCAAAATCCAAATCCTAAGCACCATTACTCATAATGTGAGGGGAAATGCAGAAATTGGGAGAACGAAGTGGATCACTGCAGTCTGTGAGAGAGCTTCTCCAAAGACCTCAGAAGCCCACTCTACAGTAATCTGGAGCGGGGCTTTAGTGTGTCTGCCCTTACCCTGTGGAATAGCATTCCTGTTGAGATACAACAGCCCACTATGAGCACTTTTCAGAAACAGTCAAAGACTTTTTTGTTCAAACAGGTTTTCCCAGCTGGATAAACGGGTATTTATCACAAGTGCCCACTTGTTGGGGTTCTAGTCTTGTTTTAAACGTACAGTGGTACCTCCGGTTATGAACTTAATTCATTCCGGAGGTCCGTTCTTAACCCGCAACCGTTCTTAACATGAGGCGCACTTTCGCTAATGGGGCCTCCTGCTGCTGCCGGCACACAACTTCCACTCACATCCTAGGTCAAAGTTCACAACCAGGAGCATCTACTTCCGGATTAGCAGAGCTTGTTACCCGAAGCGTTCGTAAGGAGGAAGGTACGTAACCCAAGGTTCCACTGTATCTGTTGTTGTTGTTTTTTTACCCGTTTCTAATTATTTTATATATCTTATATTGCCTTGGCATTGTGGTTTAGAAGGCGATTAATAACTAAATGATGATTATAATAATAATAATAAGAAGAAGAATGACGATAAAAATAATTTTAATGCCAATTCACCCAGTTTAGAGTTCATCACAATCACTTTATCTTCTTCCTATGCTTTGTATCATCAGCGAGCTGCCACCTCAGTGCTCACTTGCATTTAGGAGCACAGGTCCCAATAATGATCCTTGGTGGGGAGGGACTTCTTACCTCTCTTCTTTGTAAAATCTGTTTCCTGTTCCTTAACCAATTCCTGACCTACGATGGACCTGTTGTCTTATCCCATTACTGCTAAGTTTACTTGGGAATTTTTGATAAGCCACATTACTGAAAGCTGACTCGTCTCAAGTAACTCTTACTGGGTTAATCAGACAGGACTTAGGCTTGCAGAAGGCATGCTGGTTCTGCTTCAGAAACACTTTCTCTATATTATTGGTATTTCTGTCTTTAATAATGCTTCCCAACAGTTTTCCCACAACAGATCTTAATAGTCCTGTAATTTCCTGGTTTCCTGTAAACCAGAGATGTTCAACCGGCAGATTGCAACTTTGATGAAGTGTCCCCAGAAGAAGCTCAACAACTGTACTGTTGGTCTTCCTCCCCCCAAAAAGCTTAACAACTTTGGTCAATCCAATGGTGTGTTTATAGTGGGAGTATATCGCAGTCTCTTTGGAGTTGGACATCCCTGCTCTAAACAAACTGCTGTTACATTGTCCATCTTTGTGTATGGAAGCTGAACTTAGGGACATTGCCTGTTTGTTTGCTTTTGTTACAAGATCAGCAATTTCACAGTTCTTTAAGACCCCTCCAGACCAGTAGTGATTCATTTGTTTTTCATTTGTTAATAAGCCCTAGAACAATCTCATTATCACTCAAATTACTCAGACTCCTTCCTTAAAAAGTTAGTTCAGGCACAAAGATCTGCCCTACGTCTTCCACAGTGTAACAGATCAAACTTCCTTTTCCTCCTTTAGCACACCTTTAACTCCCTTGTCATCCAAAGGTCTGATCACTTCGTTAGCCAGTTTCCTGTTTCCAATTTACTTTTTTAAAAATGGCCTTAATGCTTTTAAGGATGTGCTTCTCAGATTTGTTTTGGCATCTCTTTTTGTCTGCTTGCATTTATTTTGCCACAGAGTGGGTTCTTTTTTTGAACAAGACTTTTATTTTTTGAAGAAAGCCGCCTTATCTCCATAAGCCTCCTTGACTCTGTTGGCTAACTACACTGGCTTTAGCTAAAGCCAGCAAAATAATCTGTCCCAGCACAATTGACTGGCAGAATGCAATACAGTGGCACATCAGTGATATGCACATTGAACATTCCTTCATGTTTCCTTGCCAGAGCCATCTACCTGAAACCCTGGGCTGCCAGCCAAAGGCAAGCTGTGGTAGGGAAGAAGGCTGGCTAGTGCAGAGAATAGGCTGGCAAGACTGGCTCATGTTCACTGCTTAAAACATGTTGCTCTTTTATTTCTGAGGTGCCATAGCACACTCTTTTTCAGCTACAGGTTGGCAATAAGGGGGGGGGGGACCTTGATAAATCAATAGCAAAGTGACATTATTATGCTTTGTCAGCCAAAACAAAGGGCAGCTCATGGAAACTGAAGTACAGTACAGTACTTCCACTCAGTGAGCAGTGTTTGGATCTCACTTAATACTAAAGTTTTACAGAAATCGCAAGTGTGAAAGACACTTCTATAAGGTCAGTTGCAATCTATAGGCTTTATTTTCACAAAAATGTATTTGGGACCGAGGTGGAATATATGTGTAAAAGAAGCAGAACAACTTTTACTGAGGCCTCCATGAAAGAACAAAGTGACTGAAACTATTTTGAAAACTAAGCACCAAAACGATTCTGCCTTCCTTTCTCTCTCTGCTGCCTGATAATGTTCTCTCTCTCGCTGGCTCATAAAATAAATCTGTCAAGATGCTATACAAGATTACTGATATATTTAAATGATGGCCCTGGCTTGTGATTACATTATCTCCTGGCTCTGTACGTGTGTGACAAGGCAGCAGCCCTACCCTGGGAGAGTCTTATTTCTGAGTGACTTTTATTGTCCATTATCTTACAGCATTTATGCCACAGCCATGATGTCTTGTAGGAATATTTCACAAAAGAAATATCTTTGTCGTTAGTATTCTCACTGCAATTTAGTCAGATCAACCTTTAAATCTCATCCATCATGCTGAAGAGCTTTGGCAAAGCAAGCAACAGTAATATATGCCTTCTTGTAGAACGTAATTACCAGCTAGGTTAAACAGCAGTGCCTCCCCGCATCCCCTCCTGCAACACAAGCAAACAGAAAACACACAAGCAGCCTCTGGCTTCTCACTCTCTCACTTCTTCTGGGTGGAAGTACATAACCGGTTCACTGCAAGCAGACTGACACTGTCTGGCACATGACAAATATACTTGAACCTAACAATTAAGCTTCTGTCAGCACTTCCAAAAGCAAGGAGTATTTACAGTAAATCCCTCACAACTTTTAACTCCTTTGCTTGCCTTTCTCAGGAATCGGTTCAAGATGAGTCAAACTCACCATAAGCAGAGCAGTTTAAGACGAAAAGACACACAGATATATGGCAATATAGTAACATACACCTTTCAGGACCTAAGCACTGATAAGAGAGATGGCAATAGACAAAAGAGTCCTAGGGAGCGTAAGGGAATTGTACAAAAAATTAGTAAGACTTCTTTCAATTCCTATAGCTGACCTTCTCCTGACTTTCTACAGCATACATGTTCCTACTACAGCTTGAGAGGCTATCCACAAAAGTAGGAGTTTGCACGGTTTGCAAGTGTTCTCAAATTGTGAGGACTGCCTTTAAAGGAACGTTGCCTTTCCCCTGCTTATGGCAACCACAGATTTTCTAGGCCTTTCTACGGAAACTTATATGATGCATTCCCACACCCACAATGGCTTACCAATTATATTGCTTGGTGATGTGGGACAGGGCTGCTCTTTTCTGCCACTTTTTAAATTTTCCATCCTCAGGTTCTCTCTCTTAGAACTTAACAAATAATCTGCTCCTTTCTTATTCCCAATTATCTGCCTTGCATGAAAGGGGCAGGGATTCATTCTGGCGTATTAATGACACTTGGGGAATCTTTACACAATTTACAAACAGAGAATATTTTTAAATGCTTACATTATTACCCAGAAATATGGCTGAAGCCTCAAAAATAAACGCTGAACATTTGTTTTTAAAACTGTCTTCTTCTTCAATGTGAAGAAATGCAGAAGGGCTGGCAAGGAAACACAGTAGAGCGGTACCTCGCAAGACGAATGCCTCGCAAGACAAAAAACTCGCTAGACGAAAGGGTTTTTTGTTTTTTGAGCTGCTTCGCAAGACGATTTTCCCTATGGGCTTGCTTCGCAAGACGGAAACGTCTTGCACGGTTCTTTCCATTTTATTAACACCGTTAATACAGTTGCGACTTGACGTCGAGGAGCAACTCATAGAACGTGGTGTGGTAGCCTTTTTGCGGTTTTTAAAGACTTTGGTGATTTTTGAAGCTTTTCCAAAACTTTCCCGACACCGTGCTTCGCAAGACGAAAAAAATCGCAAGACGACAAAACTCGTGGAACGAATTAATTTCGTCTTGCGAGGCACCACTGTGCCTTTCAAAGGAGATGTCACTGTCTATATAGCATTTGAGATACACTGAAAACCAACAAAGCTTATAGTGGGACATCTGTCCAGCATAGGCTCTAAGATCCGAGCCAGAAGCTAAACACCCCTGGAAGCTTGTGCAGATTGCTACAAGAGTGTTCTCAAGGGGAGCAGACGCAAGAACCAGTTTCCTGGCTACAGCCCTGGAATCCTGTAGAGGGATACTTGCCACAGGCACAGAACCTACATAGAGGACTGGAGAGAGACCACAAAATTTCCTAATCTGTAATAAAAGACTGCAAAAAGGACACAATTTTTAAAAATAGAGATTCAATATTAAACACTAGAAGAAGGACAGGCTTCTAAGGGAAAACCCCTGATGAAATTGTTCTCAAGGGTCACTCTATCCTTAAATTACACAACCGAACAATCACTGCTACCCCATGCAGTTCATAGTAACTTAGCCCTGCATGTGCACCTGCTGATTTTGCCACAATAAATCTGTTTATCGTAAAGGTGCCACAAGATGCTTTCCCAACAAATCCCAACAAACCAGGAACTTAAAGTTGAAAACCAAAGCTGCTCTGCTCATTTAACCATACACACAATTTCATGAATGGCAGAACAATTAATGCAGGGGGTCAGGGGAGAAAGTAATATAGTTAGGGCTTTGTTCAAGATATAAGTAAGCTTTACCAGAGCATCAAGAGAGGCTTCTGTTCAAACACCAACATTGGAATGTTAAGTTAAAAAACAAAAAGCAAAGAGAAATCCCAGAGCTACTTTCCCATTATTTCGGTCAACAACAGATATTCATTAAACTTAGTGGTAGAACAGCTGTAATTCACTGTTCCATACCTGGAACCCAAATGATGTTAACTCAACAAATGTGAAGTTAGCCAGAGTTGGCTCATTCTAGACGTCAAAAAAACAAATGCTGCTAGCCTATATTTAAATATTTGTGGCAAATTTCCCATCCTGTTTGAAAGAAATTCTCCACCCAGCTCATGTTTACGTTCCTGTCTTTAGTCAGCAAGATTAATCTTTCAACAGAAATATAGTAAGATGTTTCTATGCTGCATTTATTCATTCACAAAAAGCTCCAACGAACACAGCTTCTTTCTAGAGAGCAGTGTGTATCGTCATTTCCATTCACCAAGACATTGAAGCAGTGCATTTTTGGTAGAGGTTTTTTAACTACCAAAAATGAACTTCCTCCATGTATTCAACTTCCACCACTTTCCTGTAATATAGATCAAGGACGACCAAATGTGAGCTATATTTACAGACCAATTTAATCTGGCCTCAAATGACCCTTCCACATTTTACTCAAATTTTAGTGCTTTTGCTTGTTTGTTTTAAAGCTGCCCATATCATTTACAAGGAAAAAAAAGAAAAGTGCAAGAAAGAAATCTTCACTTTAGTGTTCACTCCAATTTGGATTTTATATTTTGTGTTTTGTAACAGCACGAAAGTTTCATCTCTCTGAAGACTTTATGCAGGTAACTTCAGATTACTGAACACCACACACATATGGAGAAGGGCAGCAGCTATTTGCCAGAAATAGTCAGACTTGCTTTTTATACTAAAATACACCTAACATTTTGCTCTCCACACCAAACTACAATGGTTAAAGTTAAAATGTTTACTATTGGTCCCAACAGTGTAAAATGGCAGAATCTAGATCTCCATCTTGCATTTCATTAAACAGAGAAGACCTTTTAAAAGTTATTTTAAAAAGCTGAATCTCAAAGTAAAGCTTCTTTTGGCATTCATGTCAGAGAAGGAATTGGACCTTAAACAACAACTAATTTGGTGCCTTTTGTTCTCTGTTCAGACGGTGGCAACAAAGGTTTTAGTGGGTACAGTACTTGTCTATGCGAGCTTATTGCAACCATTTTATAATTTGATTGAATTGTACCTGGAAATGAATTAGCAAACTGTTGTGATTAGTCCCAAATATAATGGGCTCAGATACTAAAGGGGTGGTGCCGAGATCATGGGAAGCTCCTCCCAAGATGCAGAAGAAGGCCGTTTGTCCACACTGAGGCTGCAGAAGTCCCAGACTCTGGAGGTTCAGCTATCTTGCTTTCTGCAGCCTGGCCAAAACCTATCCAGAAGGTATTTGACCTGGTGGATGGAACCAACTCCTTCATTTTCATATTGGATTTATTTGCTGTACTTGACTGCTCTAGTGTTGTAAATTTTTGTTACTGTTTGACTACTGTGTTAATTTGTTGGATTTTATTTTTTAAAAACAGTTGGAAGCTGCCCTGAGCACTGTGCATACAATGCAAGTTTGGATATAATTAACTGAATCCCAACAAGACAGAAGGACTGTTTTTGGCAGACAGGGGGCGGGCAGGTGCGAGGGAATAACTGGTCCTGAATGGGGTAACTGTGCCCCTGAAAGACCAGGTGCGCAGCCTGGGAGTCATTTTGGACTCAAAGCTGTCCATGGTGTCACACTTTAATTCTGTGTCCAGGGCAGCTGTCTACCAGCTCCATCTGAGACCATCCCTGCCTGCACACTGTCTCACCAGAGTGGTGCATGTTCTGGTAATTTCCCACTTGGACTACTACTGCAATGAGCTCTGTGTGGGGCTACCTTTGAGGGTGACTCAGAAACAACTAATCCAGAATGTGACTCCCAGACTGGTGACTGGGAGTGGCTGCCAAGACCATATAACACTGGTTTTGAAAGACTGACTCCCAGGATGTTTCCAAGTACAATTTAAAGTGTTGGTGCTGACCTTTAAACAGCCTTGGCCCAGTATACCTAAAGGAGCATTTCCACCCACATTGCTTAGCTTGGACACTGAGATCTAACTCTTGAGGGCTTTCTGGTAGTTCCCTCACTGCAAGAAGTGAAGTTATTGGGAACCTGGCAGAGGGCCTTCTCGCCAGTGGTGCCTGTCTGGTGGAACGCCCTCCCATCAGATGTCAAAGAAATTATATGACTTTCCATAGGAATCTGAAGGCAGTCCTGTATCAGGAAGTTTTTAAGTAATAAATTCTTACTACTACTACTACTACTACATCTACATTCTGTGGGAATATTAAACTTGTGTCTCAATTAATATTTTTTTAAATGCATGTTTATTTTCATTTCCGTGAACTGCCTTGAGTCTCTGCTCTGGGGGAAAGGCAGGATATAATAAACAAACAAACAAACACTGTAAAAATACCATATATTGTTCATGCAGATGCAACACTTCCTGCCACTAACAATGACTTGTATGTACTTGAACCTATATGCTGAACAAAAAAATCTGCTGGCAGTGATGCTTAGCTATGTGCATAAACAAACTGGTATTTGGAGGGAAAGCATTATAAACCTGATGTAACAGGTCTTATCAATATAAAACAGGAGGGATGAAAAAGTTCAGAAGTAAATCCTAGCGGGGTGGGGCAGCAAACACATCACATTATGGGCAGTTTCTATTCCCAGGGCTGCAATAATGAAGCAGCTCAAATGGAGCCTAAAAATCTGAAAAGTTGTTTATGTACTTGTGCTGTAAAGCACACACCAGCGTTTCTTTGGTGGACAAAAAGCATGGTGTCTGCTTTAAGAGAGGAAGTAGCTCAAGGAAGAGGGGTCCCAAAGTGTTTTCGCCTCACACAAATTTCAGTCTTTCTTGGAGTTGGCTCAGCAATTGGCTATCAGCTCTGTTGCCCTGGATTCTAGCTTTCTCAGCCTTGGAAAAAAAAATTTTTGAGAGATGATACTATAAGAAAAGGAGATGAGGTATGTCTCAGACTGTGTGTAACATTACAATGAAAGCAAACACACCCAAGACCCACTGCAGTAGACATTAGAGACAGAGTCATCCATATTCCACCTGGCTATCTATGTACTTTTTAGATTATTTTACAATGTGCTTGAAGACAGAAACACCTGTTATAGCCCTTATGTTTGTATACTAATGAATGTGCACCTCAACACTGAATTAGATTCCCATCTTTGCTGGCTGCTGGTACCAGTAGTGTGAAAGATACTAAAGTACTGCATGCAGTTACTGCAGAATGTCTGAAGATAAAGGGCCTTCATTGCTCCATTTTTCTTATCCATTAAAGGGTCGTGGAAAAGTAACACGTATACAAAAGGAAGCCCCTTCCTTGAAACTTTCTTACACCACCAGTGATTCAAAGGGACAGCTATGTCTTTGAGAGTTATAAATACAGTTGCATTAGCCAACACGAAACTCTCTGCGGTGTGTTGTATACCCAAGAATATTACACAAGTTGCTGTCCTCCATGAGAAAGAATTAGTTTTCCACTGAAAAGAAAGGAAAGTAACTAGAACAGCAACTCCTTGGGGGACTTATTAGATCCTCAAAGAGCTGCTGTGATTGCTGCTTTTGCCAGGAGAAGTTTCATCTTACATGTATACAAGGGGAAGCCATAAGAGAGGAAAACCCTGAAGACTACACTTCAATGTTCCTAGATAACTGAAGAAATATCTTTCAGCAGCTGAGTGCTACACTAGGCTTTTTCTTAAAATTTTCCTAGCATAGCATGAATGTCAGAATTAGCATCCAGGTGAGATTTTCTGCAGACACTCATGATTTGGTCACTGAATCAAATTTTCCGCTTAGCTTTCCCTAGACCTACAGTATGAAATTTTAAGAGAAAAGCAAAATCTGGCCGCTGGTGGGAAGGAGGAAGATGGAAAGTCTTAAAAATACACTGTTAACAGCTATCCCTAACTGAAAATGGTTGGAATCTCACTGCCTGTTTGACTAAAGAGAGCTTAAAAACTAATCGGAATATATCTTGTAATTTTTATAGTCTCTCCTTGTGTTTTTATTAGTTTTCAGTTTGAGATTGTATTCCCACAGAAGACTCCACTCCCACAAGATAAATTATTTTACTCACATTTCTACGTACGTTTATTACTTAAAGAGGCCACAGGAGCAGTGAACATCCCTGAAGCAGCAGTGCTCCATAAGACAAAACTGAATGCATTTTATTTTATCACAGTAACTGAGTAATATACAACTCCTCTTGATTATTCATTTCTTCCATTCCATGCCCAGTACATGGCAACACTGACCATATTGATACACCAGTGTTTGTAGTCTGGGGAACATGTATTAGCTGATCCACAACCAGCCTTGCGCCTACAGTACATAAGAGAGAGCAACAGTACGTAAGTGCATAAGAGCGGGCCTACTGGATCAGGCCAAAGGCTCACCCAGCCCAGCATTCTGTTCCCATAGTGGCCAGCCAGATTCCTAGGGGAAGCCTATTTGCAGGACACAAGGAGGGAGAATAGCACTCTCCTCACCTGTGCCCCCCAGCAGTTGGCATTCAGAGGCAGACCAGTTCAGATACTAGAGGTAATACCCAGTCATGATGGCTAATAGCCATCAGTAGACAAATTCATGGCTAAATCCTTTTTAAAACCATTCAAGTTAGTGGCCATCACTACATTTTACTGCAGTAAATTCCAAAAGGTTAAGTATGCACTGCATGAAGTTGTATTTCCTTTTGTCAGTCCTAAATCTTCCAATATTCAATTTACTTTATTTATTTATACACCACTTTTCGGGTGGACCTCACAAAGTGGTTCAATTTCATTGAATGACCTCAGATTCCAGTGTTATGAGAGAAGGAAACATGTCTCTATCCCCTTTCTTCACACCACACCCAGCATAATTTTTCTAAACTAAAAATCCCCAATTGTTGTAAACTTTACTCATGGGGAGTTGTTCCAGTTGCACAATCATTTTGGTTGCCCTTTTCTGAATCTTTTCCAGCTCTAAAAGATCCATTTTGAAATGTACTATAATATACACCATGGGCAGGCAAACTAAGGCCCGGGGGCCAGATCTGGCCCAATCACCTTCTCAATCCGGCCCACAGACGGTCCGGGAATCAGTGTGTTTTTACATGAGTAGAATGTGTCCTTTTATTTAAAATGCATCTCTGGGATATTTGTGGGGCCTGCCTAGTGTTTTTACATGAGTAGAATGTGTGCTTTTATTTAAAATGCATCTCTTGAGTTATTTGTGGGGCAAAGGAATTTGTTCATTTCCCCCCCCCAAAAAAAAATATAGCCCGGCCCCCCACAAGGTCTGAAGGACAGTGGACCAGCCCCCTGCTGAAATGCTGTTTTGATTCCCTTGGATTATTTAAAGTTTCTTTTGTGGCCTTTTGAAAAATGGAAGCAATTAACCATTCCAAAAAGAAAGCATGAAAAATAAAAGGAGCACCTCATATCATACCTTTGTATTTTGAGCAAATTAATCTGGAGTAACTACCATTTCCTCATTCTGTACTAACAAAAGCACATATTACATGCCTACACATCTGATGGCGCACCAAGCTGAATGCGGCCCACCAGACATGCACTGTAGCCAGGAGGGTCATTACTACACCAGTTCTTGCAACTGGAGGCAGGCAGCAGAAAAAAGGGCCGCTATGCATGGCTGGTGGGCTGCGTTGGTGGTTTAGAAATCATGCACTAAAATACTTTTATGCTTGCAGTGTGCTTTTAACACACACACCAAGGCAAGGCTTAGTCCTCAACAGAACTGCTACATCCCCATATACTAATACACACACACACACACAAGTAGAACACATTTAAAAGGGGGCGGGAATTATCTGCCCTACAGGAAACCTTCTTTGGACAGCAAGGTAAACACAGAGCGAGGGGCAAAACTTGTCATTTTCTCACTTCTTGAGGGACGGAAAACACTTTTTAAAAAATACTACTTTTATAACAAAGTTTGTGATTTACTATCAGCCTGAGCTCCCCTCCTGCCCCCAAGAGAGAAGCAATCCATACAACCAGGTGAAAAGTTGCAGCTTGTTTGTTTACTTATGCAAAGAGACCACAATGGAGTAAGATTCCCTCTTCAGCGCATCCAAAGGCTTCATGAGGAGTTCAAAGGGAATTGTAGAAGCTCAATAGCTTATAACAACTTTTCAGCTTTTGCGGTCAGTCAGGGACACTGCCCTCACCCTCATGTGGTGGAGATTTCAGTCGCAAACCTTGTGACAGGAAATCACTTGGCTGCCAGAGGGTGCTCCCGAGTCACAAAAAGCGCCTGGCGCCTGGTTAGTTTCAAACACTGTTTTCAAATGAGATCTGCTATGCTGCAGCACAAAGCCAGTGAAGCTGAAACCCATAGATATAAAATGGGGGATGCAAACCAGAGATGAGAAAAACTGGAAGGCTCACGAAGAACAGCACACCAACGTCACAGAAGGTATGCGGTCATGAAGGATGTTCTACCAGCCACTGCCAATGCAGTGCCAAGAAGCGGACTGAGCGGGGAAGGTCAGTTGTACATGCTAGCGACCACCTCCTGAGGGAGGGACACTGGTTAAAGCTCTGGAACAGGCATCTCCAACCTTCAGCCCTCCAGATGTTTTGGACTACAATTCCCATCATCCCTGACCACTGGTCCTGTTAGCTAGGGATCATGGGAGTTGTAGGCCAAAACATCTGGAGGGCTGCAGGTTGGGGATGCCTGCTCTAGAATATTCAAAAGTAGTCAGCTTCACATTAGTGCAGATCCCATATGCGGGACTTCATGGAGGCTATGAAGTGAGACATCAAATAAGAAGAATTAAACCTCAAGCCTCAATCACTAAGGGAGAAGAAAGTCTGAAGAATCAAATCAAGCAGGTAAAAAAATTACAATCTGCACTGTACTGTTGGATGATAATGTTCTTATAGCTGACAAGATGTTATTAATTGGAGTAATTGACCTGTGAAAGCAGTAAGAAGCTCAAGCGAGTTAAAAAATTATCCTATAAATACCATAAAGATTAACAGATCTTTAATATTCACCCAAGAAGCGCTTACACTAAGTACGATGATTATGGTAACAGAGTTTATTTACTAATGTAGGGCTGACTTTAATATATACAACTTGCCACAAAAAGCAGCTCTGGTTCTTAATCCTCTAAGAGCTAAAAGTCATCGCTTAGATTTTCCAAACTGATTAAACAGAGTCTGCAAAGGAAAGAAAAAGAATCCACTACTCATTTCTGATGTACGAAGAACTCTACATAAATGTTTTAGTATAGTAAGCTCTGCCTGGCCCAACTGGGAGTCTGAAACACACTCCATCACCAAGATCTTGCACACAGGGATACCTTCTTCTTCTCTGGCAACAAAGATTAAGCACAGGTTGTTGAGTGAGAAAATCAAAGACTAGGAGGCCAAGAGTTTTTCATGGATTCTCTGGGACTAACTAATTACCTTGTTTCTGTCAAGGAGCAGGTTTCCCACAAATCAGACTGAAAAGCAGTAACAGGGTTTTACTAATGGTGCCCTAAAGCTTAGAACTTCTAGAATGAGATACCATGGCTGGTCTTTTTTCTTTTTTAGTGACAATAATGTAAATAATATTCATACACAGCTAACAAAGTAGCTGGAGCTTTTCAGAGTTCCATAATCAAAAGCAACAGGCCCCTGTACCAGGGAGCTTCAAGCAGAATTTCAATACAGTGGTACCTCGGGTTAAGAACTTAATTCGTTCTGGAGGTCTGTTCTTAACCTGAAACTGTTCTTAACCTGAAGCACCACTTTAGCTAATGGGGCCTCCCGCTGCCACTGTACTGGGAAGGGAGCAGAGTGGGTGGAGAAGAACAAGCAGCTAACAAGGATGTGAATATCATGGATTTATTGCGGAAGTGGGCTTTGAGGAGCACACTGCTAAAAATATCACTACCAACAACAAAAACATATGTTAAAATTTGGAAGCAGGAAATCAGTTGGTGAGGCAGTCAAGATTGTTGGATGGCAAAGGATTTAAACAGGAAGACTGAAGAGGACTTCTCTAAAGAGGAAGGCTGGAGGAATTCTTTGCTAGACTGCACTGTGGAATATGCTGGATACCAACAACTGTTTGAAAAGTTAACAGTCAGGTCCTGAGGAATCAGCATTGAGACCAATGCTAAGTAACTTGTTCACAATTAGAGCCAGTGGTGACAGGTGAGGTAGCCAACGTTGCAAATCAAACCAAATTACTCAAGAATAGTGAAAATTCAAGCAGACTGTTAAGCATCTCTCCAAATGGAGCAAATGTGCAGTAAAATGGCAGATGAGGTTCAGTTTAAGAAAAGATAAAGTGATGCACATTAGAGCAAAAATATTCTACTTCACTCTTAAAAGTGATGAAGTCTGAATCGGCAGTGACTATCTAGGAGAGAGACTGTGTACAGCAGCACTGAAAAGGGCAAATTACATGATAATGTTTATTAGGAAAACGAGAATAAAACTGTCCGTATCCTAATGCCTTTAATGTATGGTGTGGCCATCCCAAAAATGAAAACAGAGGGGTTTTAGCCCTTTCCACATGATGCAAGCCTAAATTACGGAGGTGGTTTAGTTTCAAAAAAGACAACTCACAGCGGCATGATAGTTGTAAAATTATGCATGGTATGGAGGAAGTGAAAGCAGAGAATTTTCTCTCCCCCTAATCTAGCTTTAAAATGAAAGGTCGCCCAATGAAATGAAAGGTCACCCAATGGGAGTAAATTCAAAACAGACAAAAGGAAATAGTTCTTCACACAGGGTAGTTAATATAATTCTTCCCATAAGATGGGTTGATGGGCTGCTTAGATGCATTTCAAAGAAAAATTGGACATATCCAAGGTGAACAAGTTTACAGACTATTGGTCATGACGTCTAAAAGGAATCTTCATGTACAGAGACAGTTTACAACTGAGCATTAGGGCTGTTGTAACTGGTGGACCTCCATTGTGGGGGGAAAGATGCTGGACTAGATGGATCTTATCTGGAAACAGTGGGATATATCAGGGCACTATTTCTGGACTGAAAATTCAAGTCTGCCCTTGTATAGATTAATTCATGTGTGTTGCAGCATCAGGGCAACGGTGATGAAAGACAAGAAGATGAAAGCACAGCTGCATCACATTACAAATCTATTAACTCCCGCCCCCTTCCCTTACACAATGCTCTTTATACCTAGCTGCTCAGAAGTAAGTACTTCAGGTGAAAATTGTTTATGGATATCACAGGCCCGTTCCTTCAGCAGCTCATTCAACCAACTCACAGACATGCCTAGGAGTTGCCTCTAGATCTCTATGGAGGGGCAGCTTGAAGAACACTGACGATTTCTGAACAAGCAATCAAGTGAAAATATATTTTGCAGACCAAAAACATCCATCTTTTTTCAAATTATTCCGCAAGCCAGCTTGCCCCAGTTGGCTCTGACATTTTGCAAACCAAAAAGTGTAATAGTCCTTAGAATCTTGCAGTGAGCACACATATTCTATTCCATTATTCCAAAAATTTTCCTTTTTAAAAAAGATTTCCTCTCCTCCCTGGCACACATTCAAATTCACAGCATGCTCAGAGTCACTCTCTAGTAGTAATATGGACAGCAGCTGGCTCATAGGAAAGGGGAAAATTTGGAACTTGAGCTGTCCTACACCCACTTGAGCCAGGAGCAGACTGCTGACTCAAGAGGCAGACACTGACAAGCAGATGCCCGGGTTCCAGTCCCCTGCACGTCACTTTACAAATACATACAAACACACAGTCTGAAAAAGCAATCCCAGTTACTTGGCACCCATCCCCTCCCAAACAACTTAAGAGTACAGGTTCAGTTTCATGTCCATTCAAAAGGCTGAAGGACGTTTCTCATTTAATAATAAAGAGAATTCTCAAAGTTCACAGATGAAGCAACAAAAGTAATTAGAGAACAGTAAACATCACACCACTCTTCAAAATGGAAAGGCTGCGAGCCCTTTGAGAGGGTGTGGGCCAGCACCTGTTCCAAGAGCATTCTAGACTAGGGCAAGAGTTCACAGAGCCTATCAATTTATCCTTCATCTCTGCAATAAGAGGGCACTAAACCATGGCATTTTATTTATTTCAAATAAAGAGTTCAGCAGGAGAAAGGTACAAGACGTGTGCCCCCACCCCAAGAGAGAAAGAAGCAGCCATCCTGCCCTTCCCAGCATTATTTTTAAATAACCAATAGGGAACAGCTTTCTACATTTCACAGTTCTGGTAAAGTGGCCAGTTTATGAACTCTTTTAACAGTTCACAGTTGTTCCATTAAAGAAAACCATTCAGTCATGAATTAATATGGTTCTAACAACTGGTCTAAAATTTAGGCACTGCGAGTCTCTATTGCCTTCAACTTCAAAATATATACGTTTTTCTAACTATGGGATTTCGTTCAGTGTCAAAACGCTGAACAGTGCAAAAGGCTCCACTTTTATGACAAGAATATTACATTTGTTTCCTTTGAGTCTCTACAGCAGAGGTAATTATGAGTGAGGAAAGGACTTGCTATTATTAAAGAATTCTCTAGGCTCCCTGACTTTGTTGTGTAAAAGCAAGAATAGAATATCATCATGTTTATTTTGATAAAGTATAAAAAATTCTAAGAAGTTTATTGCTTTTAAAAATGTAGAGGAGGAAACATTAAATACACGCTCTTACAAGAGAGTCGCTGCAGGGACACTAGTTGAATTCCAGGGGAGAATTACTATTTCAAAGCAGCTCTGGGCAATGTGTCAAAATCAATATTAAGCAAAGTTATCTGCACTTCTAAATCTGCTCTTTAAAGAAGGATCTATAAAGCAATGTGCTCAGCCTCTTCAGTCAGAAGCATTTTACTCAAAAATATTAAGTTCTATGTCTCGCATTCTACTATGCACCTCTATGGTTTATCTAAAAATTTTATGAGGCAACACAGCCAGATGATCTCCTATAACAGGAGGCTGGGAAGCCTCAAACTGAGCAGTTTGGGGCAATTCTGCAGGAAGTGATCCAAGTATTGCAGACAGTATTTGCTAGCACAATTTCTGTGGCCGAAATCAGCACAACTGCCCACCAGGGGAGAGAGAAAAAGGCCTGCATCTTTGGAAAGATGCTTGTTCCTCACATGAAATCCATCTGAGGGAAACAACTAGGAAGACTCCTTCAGATTCCACATGCAAGTCGGCTCAAGTCATTTCAATAAGACATTTTAGCACACAAAACTTTGGAAACATTTTTGTTAGTGTATGTAAGAAAGCGTAACATTTAAAAAGGATGTCACAGCTTTATTACTATTTGGAAAGTTGAGGAACAACAATAAATCATTGTCCATCGTATCAGGAAACTGGAGAGAGTATTTTTAATTACAAAAAAAAAACACACAAAACGTAATGTAAATCCCATAGTTCCCACGGCAAAGAACTGAAGCAAGAACACTCTTATGATGAGGTGCTTCTGGAACTTACAAAGGAAGCTCAAATAGGCACAGTAAACATAACAGAAATAGTCCCACTTTTATTTATAAGTGCCCTTTACTGACTCAGATTGGCTATATTATCTCTACTTCACTAAATCAGTGGTTTTCAACCAGTGTGTCGTGGCCCCCTGGGGTGCCTTGAAGGATGGTCAGGGGAGCGGTGGGCAACCCTGGCCTCTGTCCCTCTTTCCTTCCCTCCCTCCTGTGATGCCCTCTTGCCTCTCTGCCTCCCCAAGGCTTGCGCAGCTGTTTGTTGCAGCAGCCCTGGCTATAAGCTCCCCAGGCGAATGGTGCACCTTTGGCTGGCCAGGGGGTGCTTCCCCAGCCCCTGTGGGGCAGTGTGAGGAGGCATCTCTCTTTGGGGCAGGGGGGGCAGCTCAGAGACCAGAGACAGCAGCTGCCCAGAGGATTCCCTGGGAGAGGGGAGAGGAGAGGAGGCTGAGGGAACACTGCACAAGGGAGGGTGTTCGAAAAAGGGTGAGGGGCTGCCAGCTCTGCAGGCAAGGGGGGACGTAAGTAGGCCCCTGGGCCCCACAAAGAATGGAGTTGGTCAAGGGAGCCGTGGACTGAGAAAGGTTGAAAACCTCTGCACTAAATGATGATACTGATGCTTACACCATTTTTAAAATATTGGTACACACTTTTAAAGTGCTAAATATCACTGTGTGCTAACACCAAAAATTTGGTTCATTCAGAGAACAACATTAACATCAACATTAACAATACTCAAAGGGATAGAGGCAATTTTGGAGGCTGCAGTCTTTGTAGAGTTAGAGGCTTGAAATGACGCGAGCTGTAAAAAACAATGATGTGTTATGATCTGCCTGAATATTGAACTAAGAAACCATACACCTTACAGGAAGACAATAATGGGCAATGTCTTTTGACTACTGTACAAGGTTGATTTACTCGGCACACAAAGGAAAAATAAAGTCTTATGTTCAGCTATTAGGCCTGTAGGAGCAATCCATTAAAGCAGGCATTTGATCTTTGGAATATTCTGACTACCTTTCACTAAGCATTTTGTCAAAATGTTAAAAAGTCTACTTCATCTTATGAAGCCTGAAAATCTGGCAAAACCTTACAATAATGATGCTTCAGGCAATCTTAAGCACTAGGATCTTATTTACACCATTTCAAGTGGGAAGACACTGTGAAATGGCTATCCAGAGCCCATTTTTACAGTAATCAACATTATTTAGCACTATCCCTAGCTTGTCACAGTAGGATCCTCAGCACTTGCTCTGGTAGCATCCAGGTGAGGCTTCTGAGGAATTATTTCCCTTCTATATTATAAGTAGCAAATTTAGTGACAGCAGCAACTGAAATATATTCATATGCAAATGTGGAGAACTATATTTTTATTATTGTTGTTGTTGTTGTTATATTATTATTATTATTATTATTATTATTATTATTATTATTATTCCCTACCTACCTGGCTGGGTTTCCCTAGCCACCCTGAGCATATATAAAAACATAGTAAAATTAGCAATTCCAACCCAATGATTCATGTACAGTTGGCTACAATCTGAGGTGCATTCAACTGATGAGCGATCGCCAACGCACAGGTCCTTTTGGACCCAGAAGAGAGCAAGGCAGGCTGGGGTACCTTTATTCGCCTTCTGCCATCACACACAGAGGCTGGGAACAGAACCCCTGTGTGAAATGGTCGTCACAATTCCTTCTTGTTCAGAACCTTCTATATTAATGGCAAGCATTTCATGTAGAATACATCTCATAATAAATAAAGATTAAAAGCTAACTGAAGTAGTATTACTAAATGAGCTAGTTAGCTAATTTATATATCATTTCATACATTCAGAGGCACTCCAAAGCTATTTACAATAAAACAAAAAAAAGACAATAAAATACTAAAAGTGCTCATCCCAAAAAAGTCCCAACCCCCAGTACAAAATACCACCGCCCCTGGCTGAGCACTGAAGCCACCTGCAGTTGAAATGCCCAGGAAAATAAAAATGTTTATTCTGCTGCTGGGAAGAGGACAAAGTTAGAGCTTATGCCCCAGGCTGTGTTTCTTTAAAATGCTAACAGCTTGTTTGCTCAGCGTTAGCTGCATGTTACAGTCCACAATTTTGCTTTTTATCCCAGGGATTCCCAAACTTGGATCTCCAGCTGGTTTTGGACTTCAATTCCCATCAGCCCTGACTACTGGTCCTGCTAGCTAGGGACGATGGGAGTTGTAATCGAAAAACAGCTACCAACACACACCCAAGTTTGGGAATCCCTGCATTAGTCCAACTGTTAGCACCAAATAAATGATAAATGTTAGGAGGGAAAGTAACCAATTCTTTTTGTAAGCCTACATTTTTCTGAGGGAATATGTTGTTTTCATTGTACTTTCTCTCTTCCGCTTTGCAGTCTCCACAAATGCCATTCTATAGAAGCAACATAAATTACAGTTATTTACAGTTATTGTCCCAATTCCTATTTGGGCAATTAGCAATCAAATGAAGTTCACTTCTCTCTAATTGTTGCTTTTTAATTTTCCTTCCAAAAGAGTTATGCTCTATATCAGAGCTCCCCAAACTTCTCTTGTTGGTGACAAACTTTTTAGACATGCATCAACATTTCACGACATAGTAATTCAGTTTTACTAGCAAACCAGAGATTAAACTAACTCCTTTTTCCAGCCCTGAAAGAAGTGTGGGGAACAGTCACGTGACACAACTATACACTGAAATGGACACGCTAACGTGTTGCAACACAGTTTGGAAAGCTCTGCTCTATATGATATTAAGTCCTACAAACTGCAACAAAGCACATCATTATTTCCTGTTTTAAGGTATTTAAGGTATACAAGCCATAACCCTCTTATTCCTTGGGTAAAAGGGTTCAATGACTGCAGCTAAAGTATATAGGTTATTCTGAGAAAAGTGAAGCATTGTATGTGTCACATATTTTAAGGAATTCACCGTATAGATTCACAACAGTTTTGTCTTCTGGATAATAAAGTTTCAGGGCAGATCTGTGCCAACTAGCCTCCTTAAAACTTGAGGAAATAAACATGACCAGCAGTTTAAGGCTGTTCAGGCCTTTTAATGCTGTTGTTGTTGTTGTTGTTGTTGTTGTTGCAACACAAACACTCACAACACTAAAAAAAATAAACCTAACAAGAGAATACAAATACAAGTATGAATATAGATACAAATACTAAACAAACATATAACCATATTTCACTTCTTGTTTTCTCCTAATTGACTTCCTTCGTCCTCAACGCAGGTCTACTTTCATATTTAATAAACTGTTTCCTTCTCATTCCGTTTTTCCTACTTTTCTTTCTATTTTAGACTTTTATACCTTAATTTGTTTTGCAAAAGTTAATCAAAACAAGTCCATGTATTAATTTGAGGGCACCGCTTTTTATGATAATCTCTATATTTTCCCCATTCCTTTTGAAATTTTTGTTTAGACTGACCCCTAACTGCATCTGTCATTCTAGCCAGCTCTAGGTTATCAAATAATTTTTCTTGTCATTCATTTTTGTTGGTCTGACTAGTTTTTCCAGTTTTTGGCAATTAGGATTCTCGCCACCAATATTGAATACAGGAATATTTTTGTGTTTTCCCTAGCAATATCTGAATCTAATATTCCCAATAGAAAAGCTTCTGTTTTTTTTTTACAAAAGTTTGTTTAAGTATTTTCTTCATCTCTTCATATACCAAATCCCAGAAGCTCTTGATTTCATCACAGGTCCACCACATATGTAGGAGCATCTCCGATGCCTGATTGCACCTCCAACACAATTTAGATTTTGTTTATACATTTTAAATATTTTGCTCGGTGTTAAATACCATCTATAAAACATCTTTAACAAATTTGTTAAAATAATTCAACATTAATACATACATAGTACGAATATATAAACATACATTTCATACAAGCCTTAAAAATATTCATACATACCCACACTCAATCCCACCCAGCCTCACAAGCTGTAAATCTCCAATTCTCTTTCCATAATCTCCCCCATGATGATAACTGAATACCGTATTTTTCGCCCTATAGGACGCACTTTTTCCCCTCCAAAAATGAAGGGGAAATGTGTGTGCGTCCTATGGGGCGAATGCAGGCTTTTGCTGAAGCCTGGAGAGCGAGAGGGGTCGGTGCGCACCGACCCCTCTCGCTCTCGAGGCTTCAGGAGAGCCCCAGCGCCAGCCCCACAAGGTCAGGGGACAGAGGGAGGCGGAACGCCGCCATCCCGCTGTCTCCCCACAAGCTCCAGGGGCAGCTGGGAGGCGCAGCGCGTCTTCCCGCTGTCCCCGGACCTGATCTGAAGGCGGGCGGCGGGGAGAAGAGCGCTTCTCCCTGCTGCCTGCCCCACAAGCTCCGGGGACAGCTGGGAGGCGCAGCGCGTCTTCCCGCTGTCCCAGGACCTGGTCTGAAGGCGGGCGGCGGGGAGAAGAGCGCTTCTCCCTGCTGCCGGCCCCACAAGCGCCGGGGGGGGGGGGAAATAAATTTTTTTTTCTTTATTTCCCCCCCAAAAAAACTTGGTGCGTCCTATGGGCCGGTGCGTCCTATGGGGTGAAAAATACGGTAGGTTTGCCTATGTCCATTGCCCATTTAATCATTACCTCTTTTACTTGTTCATCCTTCACCTCCCACTCTAGTAAAGTTTCATACATTTTAGAGATTACCTTTGTCTTATTTTGTAATAATTCTTTGTCCAATATTGAAATTTCTCTTGCAAAACCTTTTTTGTTATCTGTTCTGAACACTTCGTTTAATTGGTAGTACTGAATCCACCCTGTTAGGTGATGTTTTACTTCCTCATATTTTTCCAATTTCAATTTGTTATCTTTTTCTTTTAGCAGATCCTTTTATGTGCCCAATTTGATTCCGTATTTTTTCTTTTCACTGCTATCGCCTCCAAAGGCCAAAGCCACCAGAGCATTTTAGGTTCTAATAATTCTTTGTACTTTTCACAGACTCTATATATCAACTTTCTTACAATATGCTTAAGAAATCCTCTGTGGACTTTCACCTTTTCATGACCTAAGTAGGCATGCCACACATCACGGTTGTCAAACCCTTCTAAATCCAATAAATCTGCATTTTGCAGTATCATCCATTCTTTTAACCAATTTAGACAGAATGAATCATAATACAAATTTAAATCAGGTGGTGCCAATCCACCTCTATTTTTCTTATCTATTAATAATTTATGTTTAATTTTTGGCTTTTTGTACTGCTAAATGAATCTTGATATATCTCTTTGCCATGATTTAAAGCATCTTACCCCTCCAATTATTGGTATCATTTGAAAAAAAACATCCTTTTGGGAAGCACATTCATTTTCACTACTGATATCCTACCACAAAATGATAATTTTAACCTGTTCCAAATCTCCAGATCTCTTTTAATTTCTTTCCATATTTTTATATAATTATCCTCAAATAGATTGCTATTTTTATTCGTCAGCCAGATTCCCAAGTATTTAGTCTTATTTACTATCGTTAGTCCTGAGCTCTTCTGTAATTCTTCTTTTTCTTGTATTCTTTGCTAGCATGTTGGTCTTATTTTTATTTAACTTAAATCCTGCCACTTTTCCAAATTCGAGGATCTTTTCTATTATTTTGTACGCTTTCCTCTGGATTTTCAGTGGTTAATATCAGGTCATCCGCAAATGCCTTTATCGTGTGCGATATCTTCCCCACCTTTTATGTCTCGATCTTTCCTTATTGCAATCACTAGGAGTTCTAGTACCATAATGAACAATAAAGGTGAGAGGGGGCAGCATTGCTTGGTCCCCTTACTTATCTTAAATTCTTCTGTTATCTCATTATTTAATATCAATTTGGCTCTCTGATTTCTGTATATCGCCTCAATACCCCTGCTGAAATTTTCTCCGAGTCCTTTGGCTTCTATAGTTTTTTTCATAAATCTCCAAGAGATGTTATCAAAGGCCTTCTTGGCATCTACCAGCATCAATATATCTTTTTTTGTTGTTGTTCTTACTTCCAAATATTCTAATATATCTATTATATTTCTCATATTATTGCACATGTGTCTGCCTAGTAGAAAGCCCACTTGATTCTTATATATAATTTCATTCAGTACTCTTTTTAATCTGTTGGCTAGGATATCAGCAAATATTTTGTAATCGTTATTTAAGTAATCGTTATTTAAGTTAATTTATATTTAATAGTGATAAAGGTAAAGGTAAAGGACCCCTGACAGTTAAATAAGTTGCAGACAACTCTGGGGTTGTGGCGCTCATCTCGCTTTACAGGCTGAGGGAGCCGGCGTTTGTCTGCAGACAGTTTTTCCGGGTCATGTGGCCAGCATGACTAAGCCTCTTTGGGCGAAACCAGAGCAGCACACAGAAACACCATTTACCTTCCTGCCGGAGCAGTACCTATTTATCTACTTGCACATGCTTTTGAACTGCTAGGTTGGCAGGAGCTGGGACCGAGAAACAGGAGCTCACCCCGTTGCGGGGATTCGAACCGCCGACCTTCTGATCAGCAAGCCCAAGAGGCTCAGTTTTTGAATGATATTGGGTGCATTCCTTGTTGGGGATCAGAGTGATAAATGCTTCTTCCCAAGACTTTAGTATTCTTCCTTCTTTTAAAATTCCATTCATAACTGTTTTCATTGGTTCAGACAGTATCTCTTCTAGTTTCTTATAATATGCTTTTAAGGCAGTTTAAGGCCTTTTGAAGATGCTTCTGCCTACCTGGACAGTTCATCCCTCTGCCCACTAGTACAAGGAGAACCAATGCCAGGAAGAATGAGGGCTGATCAGGTGCAGAGTTCCTTGCAGTCACATCATCCTTGCAGCAGCCACACACAGCCCAGGATCCCCCTCATCTGCTTTGTGAGTAGGCAGGGAGATCCGGGGAGATATCATGCACCTTGGGTTCTTGTTAGTGTGCAAAGCGACAAAACACACACACACACAAGTCTAGGCTATTCCCAAAGAGAATAGAACATGAAAGTGAGAGAACAGGCTGAATTCCCTGCAAAAAGAAGCTATATGAGAACAACTGTTCTATGTTATGCCTTTGGGCAGAGGAGGCAGCACCAGCACCAATTCTAACATTAAAATTTGCAATCTGATACTAAACCACACAAAGAACCCTATTTTTAGCAAAAATTTCAACCATGCACACAGTTCCAGAAAAAATTCTTACTGAATACATGAGTAAACTCAGATTATACCAAAACTGTATGAGGAGGGAAATGTTTGTTTCAGGAACTTCTTACTTTAGCTATGTTGACCAAAGAATGAAAGACAACAATGGGACTTTCCATTTGATAAGCTCTTTCAAATTTATGGCCTCCTTAACCTGGGTTTCCATTCAGATAAACACCCTGATGTAGTCAGTGTTAGAAATTAGCCAGGCGCCAGATCTCAAGTTTGCATTGCTGTGAAATACTTTTTAATAAAAACATTTTTCCTATTAACAGTCTTAAATCATGAACACTTACACAACTAGATATTTATTTATAACCCACTCTTCATTGTTCACACAGCCCCATATGTTCACATATTTGAATGTATGTGACTATGTTGTCTACTCTGAAATGAAGCAGCAATCCCAAGTTTTTTTCTGCACTCCTACCTAAGACCCTTTGAATTTAAGTTGCCAGGGAATGAACTGGGGACCTTCTGTATGCACAGCCTGTGCTCTTCCCCTCAAGGCCACATGAGACTCTTCGAGGAGGAAGCAAAGGGATACTCTGTGCTCTTAATCTCAGGGTTGTGAGTTCGAGCCCCACGTTGAGCAAAAGATTCCTGAATTTGTAGGGGGTTGGACTAGATGTTCCCTGTGGTCCCTTCCAACTCTACAATTCTATGGCTCTATGAAAACAATTTTCTATCCATAGCAAGAGCAACTCCCAAAAATGAATGTGGATGATGGGTATGTGTGCACTGACAAACAAATTTCTGCCTTACAGACATAAATCAAGGCTCGGAAAAGACACTGGGCAGGATTCTTGGACACGATCCCCAAAGCCTGCCTCTAATTTATCCTTTGATAGCAGGAATGAAGAGAAACCTGTCAGATAATGAGATGACAGCAGAACTGTACTGGAGAGGCCCACACAGATTCTGCATTAGAAAACACACCACAAACTGTTGGGATGTTTTTAAAAATCAAGTAAAACAGACACATTAAAAAGTAATGGCACCAGGTCACCTCTCACCAGAACGGCATTCAGCAAGTTCGCCTACATCACAGAAGTGACCATGGCAATCCCCTGGGGCCAGAGGCACCTCCTCAAGGATGGCACAAGCGACCCCACCAGACAGACGGTCCCCAGTGCGCCCTGTGCCCGCTCGTGCCCCTAACCCACAACACCTGGAGAGGATCCCTACGGCCACCCACCACGAGAAGAGCAGCAGTCGTGGGAGGAAGTGGGAAGGGCAGGGGGCGGGGCGGGCGGGGTGGGGGCGCCGCCCCAGGTGAAAAGGAGAGCTGGTCCCGCGAATCCAACAGGTCGGTCGGCCGTCGAGGTTAAGGGAGACCTTCTAAGAGGCCAGCACACCTGATGCATTTAAAAAGGGAGCCATTCCTGAAAACTGAAATGAGAATGGGGGGGGGGGTGGGCAAGGAGTTATAAGGTGCTGGAGGTGCTTTTAATGCTGCGGGGGCGAAAGCGACCCCCTTCCAGAAATGCCACGGCAGGGGAGGGGTGACCTGTGGGGGTCGCGGGCGGGGGGAGGGGCGTGTCCCGAGTCCGAGGCGAGGCTGGGGGGAGCCGGGGGGGTCTGCTCGGCGCTCCCTCGCCCCCCCCCGCCCGCCCGCCCAGGTGAAGAGGCCTCTCGGCAGGTCGCCGCCCCCGCCATCGCTTACCTGCTGGCGGCTGCTTCCGCCAGGGAGGCGCCTTCCCCGCCGGAGGGGCTCCGCGCCGCCACAGCAGCCCCCTCCCCTGCCCGCTCTGGCTCGGGTGGGGGGGCGGGGGGAGCCGCAGAGCCTCGCGCTCTGACCCCTCAGGCACTCAAGTCAGTCAGAGGCGCCCGGACGCAACTTCGACCCACTCGCCGCCACACGACCGACCGACCGACCGACGGCCGCGCGCGCGCACACACACACACGCACACGCGCGCCCCCGCCTGCCTGCCCGCCTCTTCTCTCTCTCTCTCTCTCAGCCCCGCGTCCGTCCCCAAGCTGCCACGCAGGCCTCCCTCCTCCGTCCCTCGTCGGGAGCGAGCGCGTACGCGTCACCGCCGGCTTCCCGCCCGCCACTCCAGAGGGGCGAGGGGGGCGTGGCTTCGCCGCGGGGCTCCTGCCCCCCCCACACTGGAGAGGCGGGGTGCGCGCGCAGGCGGGGCAGCGGCCGTTGGCGGGGGGGGGAGGGGCGGCGCTTCCTTGTCCCTCGCGCGAGCGTGAAAGCGACCCTCGCGCGTGGCCTCTTTCTTTCTTTCTTTCTCCCCGCTGACGTGCCATAGTGAGGCGCCCCTGGGAAAGATATATTTCCCACAAGTAAAGACAAATCCTGAAGGCGGATTGTGTGGTAAAAAAAATAAAATAAAAGATGTTAAAAGTCTAGTCCAGGGAGTTGTCAGAAGTTCCTGACCCGTTTCCATGAAGGCGGGTCGGGCCACCTGGGAGGCGAGGCGAGCGGCCGGGGGAGCGGATCCAGGCTCCCAGGCGCGCGTCGCCCTCCTCCCCAGGAGGCTCGTGTTGTGCTCCTCAGCGACATTTCCCTCTCTCCTTCCCCCCTTCCTCCTCCTTCTTCTTCCTCGGAGCGATGCCTTCCTTCTCCCCGAGAGCAAGGGGGCCAGGACTGCAGGGCACCCCAGAAGACCTCGCCCACCAGCCCCTTCTCCACACGATCCACAGGTGACCCGTGCTATCCCTGCAGTATTCTGCAACAGGAATACCGCTCTAAGATTTTTTTTTCTACTTAGAATTCAAAAATAGTAGCAGTGATGGTTACCAATACTAAATAATTTTAATTTTATTTGCAGGAAACATACTTTATTTGAAGCACCAGATACTGGCAGCATTCACACAACATGGTAAGCAATGGTTGGTGGTTTACTGCGAAGGTACAGACCCACCCGAGAGCAACAGACCACAATGCTTAGTTTAGTAACCCAAGAACAAGTTGACCCCTGATTCTGATGCAAGGCTAAGCCAAGGATCGGTTGGTTTCTCCCATCCACTACTGGGAAGGAGCAAAGGGAGAGCCATCACAGGGGTTTCACAGAAACTATTACCTGGTGGTTTGCTGTGACATATGAACACACAGCCCTATTCAAGGGATCACACTAGCCAAAAACACTTTCTTTTCACTAGTTGCCAAAAACCATTTCTTCTTCTGAATTAATGCCAGTTTACCTTTATCCAGCCAAGGCTCCCTAATAAATTATGTTTCTGAAATCTGGGTAAGTGCGCTTCCCTTTAGGAGCTGCAATATGATTTTGTGGATGAAACCAATGTCAGCAGTGTTACCCAGTGAACTGATGTATCCATATCCATTCTGAATCCTTCAGATTTGGCCCAATTAAGTTTATAGTCCAAAATACGTTCCAAGGAGGTGCTTGCAGCACGTTGGGTACTAATTTCAAATAGGATGGGAAACACTTCATCAGCACAAAGCTGAATTCTCAATTCTTAAAGTTTTTTATGTGTGATGTCTTAGTGTATTTTTGGTCTTTGTGGAAGCCGCCCAGAGTGGCTGGGGAAACCCAGCCAGATGGGCGGGGTACAAATAATAAATTAGTATTATTATTATTAGTCACTGATTATAATACCTTCATATCTTGCCACATGCAAGAGATTATAGAAAAAGACCTAGGAATAACAGAGACAAGAGGGAGTTGTGCCTCATCCCCCTTTGCAAAGATGCTGGAGTTAAACGAAGTCATTCTTTTAGAAGTGAGGTCCTTTATGAATTAGTTTTACCTGTATTTAAAAATGCAGCCAGTGTGGGAGTTCTGTGGCTTCACTTACCCAGGAGTCAACTGAAGGGTAGAGAAGGAAATAAAAGCACAGATGGTGACAATTACCTTATGAACAGTGGCCATTCACCAAAAATGTTAGTTGATAACACAGACCTCTACATTTTGCTTTGTTTTGGCTTCACTGTTTACATCTCCCCTCCGCAACTCAGGATAACAATACATCTTATGAAGTGGATTGCATACTCTGGGAAAAAGTAAGAGAGGCCATGATGGTCCTTTCTTTAAAGTGAGTATGGCAAAGTCATCCGTTTTACAGAAAAACGTTTAACACTATGTAGAAAAACATACTCTGCTTTGATTCCAGGAAGAGTTAAGGCTTGTACGTGCATAAATTTGTACCTGTTCTAACAACCGGCAGAGGGGAAAACACATTCCTCAAAAAGATTTGCAGTCAACATATTGGAGCAACATGCTAATCCATGAAATGTGTAGATTGGGAGAACTAAGAGCAATGAACATATGGACCTCTCTGTAGAGCTTAAACATTTTCAGTGTTCCTAACAATAGCAAGATTTTTACCTTTGATAATCTTAAGAGATTTGTTATTTTTGGCAGGCACCGAAGCTGAAAGTGCTATGCCAGTCTTTCCATTCTTACCCAATTGCTGCTGCATGTTTGGGTGCTGATTGACTAACTGAGCCCTTAACAAAACAGAGGGTGAGCATATACTGCTAGGAAATAGCAAAACCTTGCTTCCTCAAAACCAACATGCAAAATTTGTTTTGGGGACATTTTTGCGTCAGCTGTATCCTATGAAGGACTGCAAGTTCTCAATTTCTCCTCCCCCCCTTTTATTTTTTTGCAGCTCCATCTTTCCATGCACATAGAGCAAACTCACAGCTGGCTTCCCCAGAATGTCTGTCACATGCAGGCTCTGTTCTCATATTTCTGTAAGATCTGAGTCCCAAAGGAAGCATTAATGCTAGAGGAATGCATGCTGGCATGTGACTCCTGTGAAAGGAAGTTGGGGAAAGAAAACTCAAATAAGCTCCTCAGGTCCACTGTGGGAACCACCCTCTGCCTAAAGATTTGTGGGTCAACCTTTTAAATATTTTTCAATAGATAACACTGTTACAAGGAGGAGGGGGAGGCGTGAGCTTCAGAATTGCAGTCAAACTGGTATCCAGGAGGAAATAGCAGCCTAGACTGGTCATGTGGTGCAGGAAAGAAATCTGGACCAGCTGCCTGCAGACCTCATCAGGGGAGCATGTAACTGATGGCAAACCGAAAAGAGAAAAATATCCCCAGCACAGGATCTGAAATCAAAGGTTGCCATGCAGGAATAGGAAAATGGGGAAGTGTATGGGGGGGGGGAATGATGGCAGTGGCATGGTGTGGGTGGCCAGCGCCCCGGGCTGCGCAAAGGGGATGGGGTGGGAGGGAGGTAAACAGACGGAGTATGCATGCACATTCAACTGCCTAATGGCATTCGCGTCACCCAGGAGATCATAGCTGCAGAGATAAGAAAATAAGAGTCATTCCGTTGTCTGGAGATGTCACTTCCTGGTTCTCATGAAGAAACCATTTTCAACGGAACCCAGCAAAGGAAACGTAGCTGTATTGAGACAGCACTGGGCGTTGAAGTTTTGTGCCCCTAACAATTTTTGGCAACCAGGGCAACCGCCCGTGCCCCTCCCCTAACACTACCCCACTAAATGATGGGGGTATCTGGAGTTCAGTTGTTCATAAGAAGATTTTAGGTTGCATACACACCATACATTTACATCAGGGGTCAGCAAACCTTTTCAGCAGGGGGCTGGTCCACTGTCCCTCAGGCCTTTTGGGGGGCCGGACTATATTTTTTGGGGGGGGGATGATGCACGAGCCCCAGTGGCTGCTTACCTGTCTTGCGAGTGGCAGGGGCTGGCAATGGCGGCAGCGGCGGAGGGACGATGAGCGGCACATGAAAGGGCTCCGGAGAGGGGCTGCTTAAAATGGCAGCTGCTTGAGCGCTGCTGCTGCTGCTGGCACTAACATAGCCCAGCCCCCTTCCTCCTCTAGGCAGGGCAGGGAGAAGCCAGGAGGAGGGAGGGAGGAGGAGCCGCTGCCGTGGGAGGAAGAGGGAAAGAACGTGCACGTGTTGGCGATCCACATGGCGATTCCCAGACAATCCGCGGGCTGGATCCAGAAGGCAATTGGACCTGATCCGGTCCATTTGCCGACCCATTATTTACAGCATTCAACCCCCCCCCCCCCAATAATCCTAGGAATAGAGCTACAATTCTCTTCACAGAGCTACAATTCTCAGCACCCTTAACAAACCCATGTTTCCCTTGGGGGAAGTCGTGTGCTTTAAATACTATGGTGTGCATACAGCCCTAGACAAAAAAAATCACAAGGACGCAGACTTGCAGGGAGAACATACTGGTTCTAGAGCAAGCAGGAGTCATTGTTTCTCCATCACACCACCCTCTTGATTTTGTAATGCCTGGTGTCGCTGCCAGTGCCTGGCATCTCCTGTTTCTCAGGAAACACTATTTGCCCCAATTATGTGCTCCTATTTGAAGTCTTCACTGGCATTTCTTATACAGTAGGCTGGATAACAAGTTTATTCCACATGTGCATACTGTATACTGAATCATCTCATGGCTTATTTTGCCTCTTGCCATCAGGTTTGCTTACATCAGGGTGGCTAACCCAGGGCCATTCAGACGTTGTTGGGTTCAACTCCCATGAGCCCCAAGAGGCATGGACATTGGTCAGGGATGGTGGCCGTTCTGTTCCAAGAATATCTGGAAGGCCACAGGTTAGCCAACTTGGCTGAAGCACTGCAAGGTGGTGTGTTTCTGTACGCCCTTCTCTTCTCAAAACTTAGTGTGCAGGGTGATGCCCAATGGTCTTCCATCCAGGGTCTGGCCAGTCCCAGACCTGCTTAGCTTCACAAACAGAATTGTATCAAATGCCTTCAGACTAGTCACTTTTCAAGAGCCCCTTACAGCAGGCCAGTTGTTCCGCAAACAGAAATAAGCTGCATAATCATCGCAGCTTATTGAGAGCCCACAAAGAGAGGAGAGTTAAAACAGGTAGAGAAGACTCCAGTCTTCTTTCAGAATTTAAATTGTGGCAGGTGAACATTTAAAGTGCTATTGTACCACAGTCACAGCTTTCCCGAAATCATCTTGGGAACTGCAGTTTGTTGAGGGTGCTCTGTTCCCTGCACAGAGCTACAATTCAATACCCTCAAAGTATCCCAGTTTTCCAGGGACAGTCCCAGAATTACAGAAGCCATCCTGGTTTCTGATTTGATCCTGGAATGTCCTGCTTTCCCTCTATCGGATGTCCTTATTTTCATCAGAGAAATGTTGGGATGCAATTCCCAAAGTTCCATGGGAGGAGGGATTGATTGTTGAACTACTCTGAGAATAGGAGTTACCTAACAATAGGGCTGCCATACGTCCAGATTTTCCCAGACATTACCCAGATTTCAAATGTGGAATTGATGTCTGGGGGAATTTCCAAAAGGCGGCACGTTTTTGTCTTTCAAAAGTTCGACAACTTTTGGGTTTTCCTAAAAAAAACTCAACAACTTTCAGGGTGTCCTGGTTTTTACTTTTTGAAATATGGCAATCCTACCGAACAACTCTTAGCACCCTTACCAAACCACATTCCCCAGGATTCTTTGGGGGAAGCCATGATTTTTTAAAAGTGGTATGATACTGCTTAGGGATGTGGGTGGCACTGTGGGTTAAACCACAGAGCCTAGGACTTGCCAATCAGAAGGTCGGTGGTTCGAATACCCACAATGGGGTGAGCTCCCATTGCTCTGTCTCAGCTCCTGCCAACCTAGCAGTTCCATAGCACGTCAAAGTGTAAGTAGATAAATAGGTACTGCTCCGGCAGGAAGGTAACTGGCGTTTCTGTGCGCTGCTCTGGTTCCCCAGAAGCGGCTGAGTCATGCTGGCCACATGACCCGGAAGCTGTACGCCAGCTCCCTCAGCCAGTAAAGCAAGATGAGCGCCGCAACCCCAGAGTCGGCCACGACTGGACCTAATGGTCAGGGGTCCCTTTACCTTTATGATACTACTTTAAATGCAAACTGCAGATGGGGCCTACCTCTTTCGGGCATTCAGGTGCTTAGCAGTTTCTTCTCCTTGATTTGCTCACTGGCTCCCTTGCAAAGACCTTGCCCTTCATGCACCAAGGTTTAATCCCCCATTTCTCTTCCAATCCAGTTTCATTGCAGCCTCACATTCTCTCTACAGCTGGAACTCTTCCCCCACATTCTACAATGCTGAACTTTTCATTTCTGTTATTTTTGTGAGTTTTGGCAGCTGCAGATGTTCTTTTGTTTTATTCTGTCCCCTTTTCCCCACTTAAATTGAAGCCAGGTACACCAATTGCGACTTTTAACAGCACCACCCTCCCCTTATTTCCCCCCCCCCAACATTCTTCCTCCCATTCTGAGTGTTTTTCAGGCAAGTTTCTTTGGAATGTGCAGATTGGCTCCAGCTCCACGTATGCTGCTGACTGCTGTTGTTTGGAGCGAATTGGCGGCTGCTTCCAGCATTCACAGCCAGATGTTACAAATGTGACCCAGCCAGAAGCTGCAATGTGCCCACACTCACTCTTGCTCCAAGCTGCAAAGCTTTGTGTGGGACTGCTCTCGCCTCCTCTGGAAATCTGAAGTCTGCTTTGCTCACTAGTTTTCCCTCCTTTCTTTTTTAACTGGTAGTACAAGCTCTTTCACAACATCTGAAGTGCTCTCTGAAGAAAAGCAGGGCCTTCCTTCGTGACTGAGATTTTGCACTCCCAAAAACTCCTGGATCCAATGCCCAGAAAGCATCATTTTCAGTTCTTGGAATACTTGTTGCAGCTCAGGCAGGTTAACAGGTTTTCTCAGCTAAGTGTTTAGAATGGGAGTGGGAAGGTGGAATTGCAAGGTCAAAGTAGGAGCCTAAATCACCCACATTTGGGTTTTAAAGAACTGGCAAATGCCCCTATATTCGGCTTGGCCTTTAACTAGACTAATGAGCTGAGGCTGTGCCTGAGATTTCTGGGAATGCATCCATGGTTAAGAGTGGACTTTACCCATGCTCCTTGCTGGCTCCTAGGAAACTCCTTGTGCTGTTGATGCACAGCTATGTCTTCCCATTCCATCTCAACTGGGAGTGGCTGTCAAGGTGTTGGGCCAGTGAGTGTCTGGAAGCAGTGATGGGCTGGATGGAGGACAATAAACTAATTTCTGGACCAGAAATTAGATGCACAGCCTTTTCTCGTAGCTTCAATAACTAGAGCAGGGTCAATACAGGAAAGCCTCATTTTTTTATTTACTATTCTTTCTTTATTGAAAAGAGGAAAATGGCAAACTAGAAAGCCACATTTCTTCATATTAGGCAGGCAGCGAACTGTGCAGCCTTACCTGGTGGTTCAGCTAGCCCAGGGAGCCAGATGGGGTTGTGTCAGAAATGTACAGTGTTCCAAGCCATAATTAAAACAAATTTAAATACTTATTTGTTCTAGGGAGCTGTGGAGAGTGCACATAGACCCCTGCAGCAGAGAAGGGGTTAAGTGGAAAATATTGAAGGTGCAAAGGCCACCCTGACCCCTGTCACTGGTGGTCCTTGTCAGTGGAGCTAGAGATGCTGGGAGCATCATTAGAGCTGCTATTTAAATTGCACGTTCATAGGGCAGGGCAATGGGTGAAGTCAAGGAACACCATTGTTTGCAGTTCATTAGCAACAGAGAAACAGGCGAGGGGGGAGAGAGGGTGAAGGGGCATCAGAGCAGCTCCATCCTGCCTGGCATGTGTGGACTGAGTAGCATAATGTTGAAGAAAAGAGGACTGATTATGTAGTAGCCACAGCACTAAATAAAAGTCGCTTAAATTGGCATTTGTTGGAGGACGGCTCAGAATATAGCAAGAAAGTTCCCAATGAGAGCAAGGCCACGTTCACAAAAGCTCTTTCCCACCCAAAATTGGCATGAAGGGCATTTCATTTTTTATGGGAGATATTCAGAACTGGATGGTGATGTGTTTTGTTTTTGCAAAAGTGAGTATTCTCAGGAAGCCATAATCGCTGCATGAAATTCAAGTTGTCTGTGACTGTGTGTGCGTAATTCTGGCTGTCTAAATAGTGGGAAGACAAGTCTTGGCACCGTCCAATTCTAGCGGGATGGCTATGGTAGCAATCTTTTTTGATTAAAACAACACACAGTCCTGCTGTTGCACCTTGGGAACTACACCATGGACCAGAAAAGCCCATTTTTCTTGGTTGCGTCTTGCAGGGACACTTTTGACTTTTTGCATTAGGAGCGCTGATTGGATTTTTCGGGGCTTGGATTGGACAGTTGATACTTTGCAGACAGGCCTCTGTGAGGTGAGGCAGGGCATCTGTGCCAGAGGGCAAATTTTGAGGTGCAATTAAACGACAAGAGACTTTCAATTATTGACTTAATAGATGATCTATCTCCCAACAGAGAACCTTGGGAAGATCAGCTGCAAGGGGGTTACTAGGTATGGGCCCATGACACAAATTAGCACAATATTTTTATTTATTTTTTGCAAATTTTGCATAAATGTTTCCAAATAAGCATGAATTTACTCATTGTTGCAACTGCATATGCTGAATCCACTTTTTGGAGGGAGAAAACAAACTCGGCCTATCAAGACTTCCTCTGAGCTATAGAGTGCCAAAAAGGTTTTCTGAGTGCAGGATTTTGTTTGGGCTTCCTCCACCTGGAATATGTTAGGAAGAACTAATGTTCATATGAAAACTAAAATAAGGACTGCTGGGTAGATTAAATTGTTGGGTGTATGTGGTTTAATTATCACTGCTGCTGTGCACCAGGGTGAGTTGTAAGCAGAGGTGAAATATACTCGGAGTCGACTGTGTGGATTTCATGCTCTTTATTCAGCTCATAGTAGTGAGGAATGAAAGTTCCCCCAAAATATCTGCTTTATATACATTGTTTACACAATGGGCCGCACGATTTTGGCTAATTCTGGGATTCTCCTGTAGGCCAATCAGGTTGCGGATTCACTTCCACCTGGAGCTGGATTGGGTGGCTCCTGCAGACCAATCATACTGCTGCATTGTTCTAGGACCAATCAGACTGCTGCATTCTGGATCCTATTGTTCTAGGACCAATCAGACTGCTGCATTTTGCATCCTATTCAACTCAGTACATAACAAGAGGCATAACATGGGTTGCCAACTCCAGGGACCATGTGGAGGGGTGGGTGGGAGGGAGGGAGGGAAGGGGACGGAGTGCGCATGCACATTCAACTGCCTAACGGCATCTGTGTCACCCAAGAGATTGCCGCTGCAGAGATAAGAAGAGTCTTTCTGTTGTCTAGAGAGGTCACTGCCTGGTTTACATGGAGAAGCCATTTTCAACAGAGCCCAGCAACAGAAGCATGCAGCTGTATTGAGGCAGAACCAGGTGTTGAATTTTTGCGCCCTGTCACAATTTTGCTCCTGGGGCAGCTGCCCCAATAGCACCCCCCACTCTATGCCACATCTATTATCTGTAAGCAAAGACAAAACAAGTGTATGGAAGGTAAGGTTGCCATATTTCAAACAGTAAGAATCCGAACAGAAAAGTTGTTGAGCTTTTGAGGTATTTTTATGCAAAAACGGCACTGCCGACATAGGCTGCCATTCATCCGAATTTCCTGGACTTTTTTACTGATTTCTGTCTCGACACTGCTGCTGACTGCAGTATTTCGGATATGTCCTGGAAATTCCAGACGTATGGCAACCCTAATGGAAGAGACATCTGGATTTTGGCACAAAAAAATCCAGGGCTTTGACCTCCTGGGTCACCCCATGATAAAATCCCTGGGTGCACCTATGAAATAGATTGTTGAACACCGGCTCTTACGATGCCTCCAGGTGGCAGTGGGGCCAGGTCTACCCTTAGGCAGAATGAAGCATCTGTTTCAGGCACCAGGGGCTGAGAGGCAGCCACAGTGCCACTGAGTTAGCCTGCTCTGCACTTCCTAAGCTACCCAGTTGCCTCAGTATTACAGTGGAGCAGTGCCAGATTTACGTATTAGCTAAACAAGCTATAGCTTAGGGCCCCACTCTCTTGGGGGCCCCAAAAAAATTCAAAGGGAAAAAAACTGGGTGTGCTTTTCCAAAATATAAGATAAAAAACAAATAAAACCTACATACAGCAACAGTGTTTTGTGTTGTGTAGGCTCCTATGATGTAAGTAATGAGCCCCACCTGCTAGCCTGCTCCCTAAAATATCACTATTTTGCTCATTTCTATATATAGGGTGCCTGCATTCTGCACATGCAAATGGCTTGAGATACCTATTAAATCCGAAAATTACCATATAGCATATAGTCAACACAAAACCAGCAACCATTTGTTGTTGACAAAGGACAGCTGGACATATAAAGGGCCCCATTACCTTCAGGAGCTTAAAGGTAAAGGTACCCCTGCCCGTATGGGCCAGTCATGTCCGACTCTAGGGTTGCGTGCTCATCTCGCTCTAGAGGCCGTGAGCCAGCGCCGTCCGAAGACACTTCCGGGTCACATGGCCAGCGTGATGAAGCTGCAGCTGGCGAGCCAGCACCAGCACAGCACACAGAAACGCCGTTTACCTTCCCGCTATAAAGCGGTACCTATTTATATACTTGCACTTAAGAGTGCTTTCGAACTGCTAGGTGGGCAGGAGCTGGGACCAAACAACGGGAGCTCACCCCGCCGCGGGGATTCGAACCGCCGACCATACGATCAGCAAGTCCTAGGGCCTCCTCAAACCTAAATCTGGTCCTGCAGTGGAGGGTGTTGTCCCATCAATGGTGTCAAAATAAAATTCAACTGCCAGTCCAGCCAGACTGTATGTAGAATGATGTGTGAGGGTTTCCTTCGCTTCAGGCAGCAAAATGTCTTGAGCTAACCATGAGTGGGAAGCACTGTCCTGTCGCACCTAACTAGGTGCTTCAGCAAACAGTGCTGATGAGCACCCCAAGGAGAAGCTATGGGGCAAAGGCAAATCCCTTGTTGCTCCTGTTGAGTTGAATGTGTCCCCTCCTGCCCCCTGGACTGCCTACCAAGCTCTAGCTTTCTACATTCTGGATACACTTAATTACGTAGGTTTTTTGACCAGCTGTTTTTCATGCATCATTGAGAATTTGTGATGGAAATATGAGCAATCCATGTTAAACACCCTAGGCTAATTGAGCAAAGTGTGCAGGGAAGGGGGTCTACGGGAAGCAGGATCCATACAACTGTATATGCAAGTTAGCATACGAAAAATTGATGTAGATTTGTGTCCTTTTTTGGCAATACATAAGAGGCCACCGGCACATCATACACGGGGAGCAGTCCTTGGCTATATGCACTACAGTATGGATCATCCACTTGATTTCTGCAATTTTGTTTTAGACTGTTTTAATGCTGCTTTTGTTTTAATGTTGTGTTTTAATTGTTGGATCCTGTCCTGGGGCCTTAGGGTGAAGAGGATGATGATAATGATAATGATGATGATGATGATGATGATGATAATAATAATAATAATAATAGATTCTTTACACTCACACATAGAATCATAGAACTGTATAATTTAAAGGGACCCCAAAAGTCATCTAGTCCATCCCCTGCAATTCAGGAATCACAGCTAAAGAACCCCTGACAGTTGACCATCCAAACTCTGTTTAAAAATCTCCAGTGAAGAAGAATTCACCACCTTCTGAGGGAGTAAGCTCAATTGTTGAACAACTCTTACTGTCAGAGAGTTCTTCTTAATGTTTAGCCAGAATCTCCTTTCATGTCATTTGAATCAAATGGTTTGAGCCCTACCCTCTGGAGCAGGAGAAAACAAGCTTGCTCTATCCTCCATGTGACAACTCTTTAGCTATTTGAAGATGGCTATCTTATCTCCTCTCAATCTCCTCATAAGCCTTGATTTCCAGACCCCTGATCATCTTGCTTGCCCTCCTCTGCACACGTTCTAGATTATCAGTATCCTTCTTAAATTGTGGTGCCCAGAACTGGACACAAGACTCCAGGTGTAGTCTCACCAAGGCAGAATAGAATGGTGCTATTATTTCCTTGATCTGGACACTAGCCTTCTGTTGATGCAGCCTAGAATAGCATTAGTTTTTTTTGCTGCTGCATCACACTGTTGATTCATGTTAAGCTTGCGGTCCACCAAGACCCCTAGATCCTTTTCACATGTACTGCTAGTAAGCCAGGTGTCCCCCATCCTATATTTGTGCATCTGGTTCTTCCTGCCTAAGTGCAGAACCCCACACTTGTCCCTATTGAAATCATTTTGTTAGCTTGGGCCCAGTTCTCCAATCTGTTAATGTCATTTTGAATTCTGCTTCAAAGTTTGGTGTCATCTGCAGATTTGATGAGCATCTCCTCAATTCCCTCATCTGTCGTTTATAAAGACATTGAACAACAATAGACCCAGGACAGAACCCTGCAACACCCCACTTGTCATTTTTTTCCAGGATGAGGAAGAACCATCAAATAGCACTCTATGGGTTCAGTCAGTCAACCAGCTACAAATCCACCTAACAGTTACCTCATTCAACCCACATTTTACTAGCTTCCTTACAAGAATATCATAGGGGATTTTGTCAAAAGCCTTACTGAAGTTAAGATACAATATTTCCACAGCATTCTCCTGATCCACCAAGCTAGTAACTCCATCAAAAAAGAAATTAGATTCGTCTAGCATGACTTATTTTTGAGAAACTCATGCTGGGTCTTAGAAATCACAGCATCCTTTTCTAAGTGCTCACAGTTTGACCGTTGAATTATCTGTTCTAGGACCTTTCCTGGTATCAATGTCAAGCTCACTGGTCAGTGGTTACATGGGTCTGCTTTCCCTCTCTTTGAAGATGGGGACACCTCCAGTCTGTTGGGACCTCACCTGTTCTCCAAGAATTCTCAAAGATCATAGACAGAGGCTCTGAGATCACATCTGCAAGCTCCTTTGGTACCCTTGGGTGCAGCGCATCAGGCCCTGGAGATCTGAATTCATTTAAAGTAGCCAGGTGTTCCCTTACTATCTCTTTTCCTATCTTGGACTGCAGCTCCCTCCATACATCATTGATTCAGTTATCACCAGGTTGGGCATCGCTTTCCTTGTGGGTGAAGACAGAGGCAAAGTAGGTGTTGAATAGTTCCACCTTCTCTCTTGTCATCCAATAGCATTTCCCCGTCTTCTCCATGCAGAAGACCCTTCACTTGCTTGTTCTTCCTCTTGCTTTGGCCATAGCCCCCAACCCCTTTTTTATTATTTCTGATCTCTCTTGCAAGCCTGAGCTCATTCTGAGCTTTAGCCAGCCTGACTTTGCCCCTGCAACTGTTGGCTACTCGTCCATACTCCTCCTTAGTGATTTCTCCCTTTTGCCATTTCTTAACTCTCAGCTCATCTGTAAGCTCCTTATGCAGCCACAGTGGTTTCCTTAGATGCCTCCCACTTTTCTTTCTTGTTGGAATTGTCTGCAATTGGGTGTCTTCAATATTTCTCCTTTTGGAAACTCCCATCCATCTTAAACTCCCTTCTCTTTGAGTATTTCTGACCATGGGATCTCACCCAGTAGCTGCCTAAGCTTTTTAAAATTGGCCTTCTTAAAGTCCAGAGTTCATGTCTGGCTACCCTCAGCTTCCCCTTGCCTCTGTATCATGAAATCCAAGAGGACATGATCATTTCCTCCCAAGTTTCTGAGCACTTCCACTTCATCAATCATCTCCTCCCTGTTGGTGAGGACCAGGTCCAAGATAGACGATCCCCTTCTTGCTTCTTCCATCTTCTGGGAAATGAGACAGTCAGCGAGGCAGTGGAGGAATTTGTTGGACCTTACATTCTTGGCAGAGTTTGAATTCCAACAGATATTGGAGAAGTTGAAGTCTTCCATGACCACTATATCTCTCCTTTTTGAATGTTTGGTAATCAGCTCTAGGAAGGCATCATCCAAGTCTTCAGTCTGGCTTGGCGCCTGTACAGACACCCACAGGAAGGTCACTGTTGGTTATCTCACCTACAGTTTTTACTCATATATTCTCATATTTACTCATATATTCTCATTCAGCTTTCCATGGTCCAGGTCATGGATTTATTCACAAGTGTACACATCGTTTACATACAATGCTACTGCTTCTCCCTTCCTGTTTGGTCTGTTCCTTTTGAACAGGTTATTCGCCTCAATTCCTATTTTCCAGTCATGAGTCCCGTTCCGTCATGTTTCAGTAATGCCTACCAGATCACATTTGCCATTCTGTAATTCATCTTACTTGTTTCCCATACTCTGTGCATTTGTGTAGAGACAATTGAGTCTACACAATTGAGACAATGGAGTCCTTCCCTCCAGCTGCTCCCTTCTTGTACTTTCTTGCCCCTTAGTAGGTTTCTAGAGCACCACCTCTGTTTCCTTTGCATCAATAAAGCTATTATCCCCAGTACCAGGTGTTCTTCTGTCGCCTATAATGTTGTCTCCCTCCCTCTCAGGATTTAGTTTCAAGCTCTCCTGATCAGTTTGTGAGACTGTTAGCAAACACATTCTTGCCAACCACTATGAAGTGCAGTCCATCTCTCAGTAGAAGTCCTTCTTCAAGGAAGCGGAGACTGTGATCCAAGATGCCAAACACTTCCTGACGACACCACCTGCACACCCAGTGATTTACTTGAAGTATTTTCCTCTCTCTTTCTGGGCTACGACCTTCAACTGGAAGGAGTGATGAGAAGACCACCTGTGCCCAGAGTCTCACAGTCCCATGCTATATGTTGAGGGCTGTGTGTGGCAGTATTATTTGTACCCACATGAATCAGAATGACTCTGTCCTCATCGCAACTGCGTTAATTTTTGCACAAATTGAGCAGTGACCTATGTTTACGAAGAGGGTTCCTGGTGGAGCTGCATTGCGGACTTGGCTGTTTTTGCTGAATCAGCGGCAGCAATATGAACAGGTAATTACGCCCTGCCATGTGTGTCTAATTCTGACACAGGCAGCAGCTGAGCAGCAGGCTGTGTGACGCTACCAGTGGACGATGGGGAAGGAGCAAGGAATAAATTGGTCCCCATGGCCAGAGGGAGGGGAAGGGGACTTTGTCAGATCCCTCTGTCTTCCTATGGCACCGAGAATCTGCCTTTGCTGCGATGGCATTATTTAATACCGCTAAGATGTCAACAGGAAATCCTTTCAAGCATAGTTTGATACATCATGACAGAAAATCGTTCAAGGCAGGGGACAAGATACCCAGCCGCAATGGAGGGTCTGGGCTGGGGGTGCATTTCCTTCAAATCACCATGTAAAAATCATGATGCAGCAGCAAAACAGAAGCCCCCTTCCCAGAGGAAATAGAAGCTCTTTAAGGCGTTCAATTTCCCCCTCCAGTTGGTACAGCATGAGATCCTTAATCTTAGGATTGTGGGTTTGAGCCCCACGTTGGGCAAAAGATTCCAGCATTGCAGGGGGCTGCACTAGATGACCTCTGTGGTCCCTTCTAATGCTGCAATTCTATGAGTCTATGCTCCCAATCCAACAACCCCCTCCATATCATGAACTGAGACACAACTCTTCAGAAGTTGGATCTGGGCTCTTCTACCAGCAAAAAAACAGGAATTAAAATCCTTTGGGAGATGGTGGGCTCCTTCATTGGAGGTTTTTCAGTGGAGGTTCAGTGCCCAACTGTCAGGGATTCTTTAGCTGTGGTTCCTGCATTGCGGTTGGACTAGATGGCCCTCGGGGTCCCTTCAAACTCCATGATTCTAAAACACAATTAAAACCAGCAATTAAAATGCAGTTTGCCCTGACAGCAACCTGGTGGGAGGCATCACCCTCACCATAGTTTTCAAAGGCCTGTCTGAAGAGGAAGGTCTTAGTCTGTGGGCAGAAGGATAACACAGAGCGAACCGATCTATCCTACATGGTCTCCTTTTAGCCCATATCTGTACCCAGTGCTTTTTTAAAAGAAAAAAAAAAGGTGCTGGGACTCACCATGAAGTTGTCACAGTAAGTGCCACACTTTTAACATTGGGGTGTGTGTGCTGGTACTGCATACACTTGAGCACTCCCAGAAAAAAGCACTGCCTGTACCTTTTGGCACCAGTGTTCTTGGGAACTGTTGACTCCAGTTCCTCCTCTGACAGCTCTAAAGCTTAACCCCCAGCGGCCCCCTCAAGGGGGTCATTGGCCTGTGAGGTGCAGGATTAATCCTCCGGGGACTCCATGTCTGGCACCAGGTCAGGGTTAGGCCGAGGAGCAAAGTGGATCCAGCTGCCACTGGCAGACTCAGCACAACACCACGGCAAGGAGATCTTGCTTAAGGCTACCAGACTTTTTTCAAAGAATCCGGGGACACTTGTGCCATTGAACCAATCACGCAACATTCATTCCCTACTAATAAATCTACAACACTTAAATGAAATCACATTAAATGAAATCCGGGGATATTCCGGGAACAGATTTTGTCCTGGGACAGATTTGTAAATCCGGGGACTGTCCCCGGGAAACGGGGACGTCTGGGAACCATAATCTTGCTGCTGACCTGTACGAGCTCCTAAAAATCCTATGCCACTCTACTAAAAGACAAGCACTGCAGCAAATGCCTGGGTAAACAGGAATGTCCTTGTTTGGTGCCTAAAATTTAATGTGAAGGCACCAGGCACAGCTCTCTGGGGATAGCTTTTTTAATTATTTCATAAAATGTATATGCCACTTGAATGTAAAACAACCACAAAGACTTCCGGTTTCTGTGAATGGCGAAAAGGAGTGCTAGTCTGATCATCTGACGGACTCAAGCCCCGCGGAGATACAGGGGGAAGCGCCAAGGTGAGACGCACCCCCTAAAAAGCCTTGAGAGGGTTCTCAAGGGGTCAAGGTGTCCAGCAGTCCGCAAAAGGGCTCTCCTGCGACCCTCAAATCCCTGTTCCAAGAGGAACGGGGAGTGGGGGGGGCAGTGATTGAGCCTCCGGACATGGCAGCAGTATTGGGCATTTTCACTCTGTTCAGACCATTTTTAATTGTTTAATAGTAACTTATTGAACATGGCAATTAAAAAGCAACCAACCCCAAGTTCGGATAGAAGGACCTCTGTACAGGACACGGGGGATAAGCCTTATGGTGAATGGGTGGAATTCTTTTATAAATTGAGAAATGAGTTAATTAAGAAGATAAAGGAAAATTTGGATAAGACAGCAAATAAACTTATAGCCCCAATGGACAAAAATACTGAAATGGTGACAGAACTGATTTTTAAGATAGAACCAGTGACAAAGAAAACAGAAGCGGTGGAGGTCTTGATGCAAGGGCTGAAGGAAAATTTTAGAAAAATGGAAATTGTGATTGATATTAAGAAATACCAGGAGACACTCAGGGCAGATATGGATGGCATGGGGGGGGCAGGGAATATTTGGGAATGCCTTGGTGGCAGAAATGAGGCAGAAATTACAGCCTCTGAGACCAAGAGGAGACTGTGAGGAAGGGCAGCAGGGTTTTAAATCAGATGTAACTATAGTTGCCTTCCAGCGAAATTTAAATATGCCAAAGTTAGGAAAAAGAATGGGAAACACTTATTGTATATGTGCAATAATAATGTAAATAAATTGATACATTGGCAGGCTCTGACTACACACTTGCAATCAGCAAAATTTGGATAGAAGAAGAAGAAGAAGAAGAAGAAGAAGAAGAAGAAATGAAGTATGTGTATGGAAATGCAGAAGAATTTATTAAAATCAGAAGAAGAATTGATGAAGTGTGTGTATGGAAATGCAGAAGAATTTTTGTTAATATAAAGAACCAGAAGAGGGAATGGAGGGAAGTCATGAGGTCTAAAGAACCTCAAAACAAGGTTTTGCAAATTTTTTTGTGAATGGGGACGGGGGATTTGTTTTTTGTAGTTAATTGTGGAAATTAATTGTGAAAAAAATCAATAAAAATTATTTACAAAAAGAGAATGTACAACAACAACAACTCCCAAAGCAGTTTGCAAAAAGATAATATAAGAAAATAATGTGGGTGGCCTTGACTCCCCCTAAACTCCTAGGTGCCAGATCCTCCTCTAAGATTCCTGGGTCTAATGGGTGTTGGAATATTAAAATGGGCTGCCAGACACTGGATTTAGCAAAGTGTTAAAATACAGGCCAAACCAGTTTCCTGATCATGAAATCACCTGGGAGAAGAGCCATTATGGAGAACAAAAGGAAAGTAATGGGTGATTACACAGAGCAAATACTCTGTGTCCGATGGCAGATGGCTGGGAGCCCTCCTTCAAGAGAAAGATAGTTAGCAGAGACAAAGCAGAGTTGGGCCTTAGGACTGCAGTTGGGGATGATGTGGACTGGAGAAAAAATAGTTGCAGACTGGAGAGAAGAGAGAGAGTCTGTTAAATGCAGCGAGCTGAGCAGAGTCACAGAGACCATGGCTGATTTCTGCTGGCATCCAAACTGTGGGCATGGGAGAAGCAAGAACCTCTTGGAGTGTAATACTCTGAGCCCCTCCATCCCAGACTTGGGTTGTATATATGTATAAATAAACCATATATCATGAAGACACCACAGTTCCTGCTGTGCCTCTTTCAAAGGCAACACAAACCTTGGGTAAGGACCCAACCCCCTGGAATTTTGCATCGCTGGGAGATTGGGGTGGCACATAGCAACACTAAAACAGATTAAGATTCACACCAACTTTCTAAGGCTTGTTTAAACAAGAATGTTTTTGAAAGAGTACAGTGAAGGTGCCTCCTTGATACCAATAGGCAGGGACTTCCAAAGTGTAGGTGCTGCCACACTCAGAGACCAAGTTCATACAAATGCACAGAACGGGTATTATGTGGCACCAGTAGTAGTGCCAATTCTGCTGATCAAAGTGGTCATGTGTGGGCTAAGATGTTCTCGTAGGTAAGCTGGTCCCAATGTTGTTCAGAGCTTTATATCCTAAAGATAACACCTTAAACTTATCTGAAGAAGTGTTCCTGCACACCAAAGCTCATACCAATAACAAACTTAGTTGGTCTCTAAGGTGCTACTGGAAGGAATTTTTTTTTAATTTTGTTTCGACTACGGCAGACCAACACGGCTACCTACCTGTAACCTTAAACTTAGCCTGGTAGCAAATGGGCAACCAGTGCAGGTCTCTGAGGAGGGGTCCTTCTGTGCAGCCCCTCCTGTCAATAATCATGCTGCAGCTTCCAAATCAGGTTGAAGGGAAGCCCCACCTAGAGCGCATAGCAAGGCTTTCCTAGCCCAGGAATGGCTGTAACTAGTCAATAGCACTTCCTACCTTGACACATCCCCCTCTTCTCCCCCAGCTCCTGCCCATCTGCTTTCATGCTTTGCCTTGCCACCAGCATACAGAAGCCCCCCCTCTCCCTGTTTCCCCCTCCAGCCTCATCACTTGCCTCGGCCAAAACCTGTATCAAACGATGACAAAACCCTGAACCTGTTTGCCAGCCTCTGGACCGCAGGTGGCTGGAGGTTTGCGATCAGAAAAGTTGCCGAAAGCGCCAGCCAATCCACTCCCATCTCAAAAGCTTAATGACTGCAGCCCGTCCACCTTACCCATCCCTTCAAGGCATGAGCTTTGAAGGATCCAGCACAGGGGCTCACTTAATTACCTCCAGTTGTATATGACGTTGTCATGTTGATTTACTAAATATACGTGGGAAACCTCTTTATTTTGCCAGCCTATAGAGGATATAATCCAGAGCTCCCAGGAGCGGCTCTGACACCAATTCCCTCTGGTTATGTTACCTGTCTTTTCCACCTGCAATTGCACCGATGAAGCCCGGAAGGGATGTCAATAACTAATTTATTCATTTTACTTCTGATTTATTATAAAAAGGAGAAGATGTCAGGGCAACTTGTATCGAGTGACAGTGAAGCTCGCAGTACCTTCAGAAAAGTCTGTGCCTTCAACAAGTAGGAATCAGCACATGCCCCAGCGCAACATCGTATTTCTTGATGCAATAATAATAGGGCACTTCAGAGGTCCGTGGTTGTGTGTTTGATGGCCAGGAACATTTTTATTCCTTTCCAAGACACTACCCCCCAAGCTGGGACCATGCAAATTCTTTGCTTGTTTGTTTGTTTACATTTCTATCCTGACATTTCACCTGGCAGGACTTTTCACCTGACAGGGCTTTCCACACCGACTCACGCAACCAAGGTCCTTGGCACACAGCTCCTCTGGATTGCCAAAGTGTCGCAAAGATGATGGGCAGTGTTTCCAGACAGGTGTGAGGAACATTTTTTGGTCTGAGGGCCACATTCCCCATTCAAGAAGTTTCTAGGGGTGACAAGGCAGTTTTGGGTAGAGCCAGAGGCAAAAGGTGAGCGGAACAACAGGTGTGGCTCTTTTTTCATATTTTTTATTGCTCAATTTCCACATAACAAATTATCAAACCATATAATCGCCTACATAATTCCCCCCCTCCCCCCATGGACTTCCCTCAGCTCCTCTCCCTGATTTCGCTGCACATATTTTCTCAGCATATTATAAAATTGTATATATCCTTACATATCTGTCCATCATGTTATCAACAATAAATTTGTGTATGTTTATTCAAAACCTGCCAAGGAGTCCAGTTTATTTTGTTGTGTTTTTAAATAATTTGTGAAAAGTTTCCATTCCTCCTTGAAATCACAGTTGTCTCGCAATTTGTATGTCAATTTAGCCAGTTCTGCATAGTTCATCAATTTTTGTTGCCACTGTTCTTTCATCGGGATTTCCTCATTCTTCCATCCTTGTGCCATCAAGACTCTTGCCACTGTTGTAGCATACATAAATAGGTTTCTTATTTTCTTTGGCAGGTCTTGTCCTACAATCCCTAACAAAAATGCTTCTGGTTTTTTTTACAAATGTCATTTTAAACATTTTCTTCAATTCATTATGTATCATTTCCCAAATTTTTAAAACTTCTTTACATTCCCACCACATATAATAAAAAGTCCCTTCTTTGTCTTTACATTTCCAACAAATGTTAGAGCTGGTTTTATACATTTTTAGGTGTGGCTCTTATCTTTGCACGGGAGGCTGCATTCCCTCTCTTCAGAGGCCAGCACTTCCATGAGGAGAGGCAAAGAAACCCCTGGCCCTGACCCCTAGCGCCGCTGTCAGCCCCACCACAGCTTCACCTGTGCCAACACCCCCACAGCGCCCTCACCGCCAAGCCTGCACCCTCTCTGCTGTGCCATGTGGGGGTCAGCAGCATCACAGGCACAACAGTGGGGACAGGAGGGAGGACTAGGTCAGCAGGGCGTTTTGCCTACAGTGTCTAAACATCCCAGGGTTTCCCCTGCCCAAGCAAGGGAATTACTATGTCCAGAGGAGGTCACTCACAAACAGTGAATGAAGTAATAAAAAATTAAACAACAAGGTTGGTGAGGGAAACTGGACCCTGAGCTTTGCTACTGTGTAGGTGTAACCTTCACAGAAACAGCAAACAGCTCTGAGGATGCTCACAACAGATATGGGTCTACCAAAAAAGTAGACTTGCCAACATGGCTGGATTGCCATCGTGAGAAAAGAAGGAAGAGGGATACTGCGCAGCCAGGGATAAGGGCCAGCAGCTTCATGAACATACACATTTACTATCACATTGTTTGTCTTCCTGGAGACAGTTGGCCATTACAACGCTTTTGGACTGAGATGGGCTGAGTGGTGCAGATAGCTGGCCAGAGAATAGGAGGTTGACAGATACGTCTCCCTGACCCTCTATAAATTCAAATGGATTGTGGATCATTCCTATATATGCTATTGCCTTTTGTCTGCACCCATCCACTTCCCTGCCTCTCCACCCGAGAGGAACATGCTGAAAGAAGTATGTAGCTTAATATTATTGTTATTTTGCCAACTCGATATAATATGAAAATATGGAACTCACCCTTTTAGAACTCCCTACTGTCGGATCCCCAGAAGGCTACCACACTCCAGGCCTTTTCGAAAGCCTGGAAGACCAACCTGTTTCATAATCAATAGCTGTGAAGGCTGTGGTGGTTCCTTCCATTAAACATTCTGTTGAAATTGTGTTTTATATCATGGACTGTGGATGTGGTTTTTAAAGTCCGCTGGATTGTTAATTTGATATTGTGGATACTGTTCTAAATCTTACTATGTGAACTGCCTTGGATGAGTTGTACTCAGGAAAAACAACAAACAAAACAGTATATTTCCTATCTAAGGGAGATATTATTTTCAAAACTTGTAGAATACTTTCTGCATGACTCTTCTCACAGGCAAACTCTGTGCCACAGCAACACATCTGGGACTGCCGATAAACTCTGAGTACAGAAGGAAATATTGGCCCCATTCACACCATCAGTTTAAAGTACTATGATGCCACTTTAAACATTCATGGCTTCCCTCAATGAATTCTGAGAGTAGTACAGTGGTACCTTGGAATATGCATAGAGTCCACAGTGTTTAGCTGTGTCATGAAGTTTTGTTTTGAATGTGGAGTTCGTCTTCTGGAATTGATTAGTCTCTTGCTGAGTGGGTCGGAAGAGCATCCCCACCCCCAAAACGATTTAGTATTAAATGCTCTGTTTTTAGTTTGGTGATTTGTGTTTTAATGGTTGGGCCACTGTTATTTTAACATTTGTCTTTATCTACATAGACCACTTCCTGCCAACCTAGCAGTTCGAAAGCACGTCAAAGTGCAAGTAGATAAATAGGTACCACTCCAGTGGGAAGGTAAACGGCGTTTCCGTGTGCTGCTCTGGTTCGCCAGAAGCGGCTTAGTCATGCTGGCCACATGACCCGGAAGCTGTACGCCGGCTCCCTCGGCCAATAAAGCGAGATGAGCGCCGCAACCCCAGAGTTGTTCGTGACTGGACCTAATGGTCAGGGGTCCCTTTACCTTTACCTTACATAGACCACTTTGAGAAACTCCCCTGTGGAATGGAAAAGTGAGGTATTATTTTTTCAGAGAGATAGAAATGAACATATAATCCTTATTAATACTTATGTTCTTATTCCTCATTTTGATTCTAGTCTCACGCTATACAGTGGTACCTTGGGTTACATACACTTCAGGTTACATACGCTTCAGGTTACAGACTCCGCTAACCCAGAAATATTACCTTTGCTTCAGGATGAGAACAGAAATCGGTCTCTGGCGGCGCGGCGGCAGCAGGAGGCCCCATTAGCTAAAGTGGTGCTTCAGGTTAAGAACGGTTTCAGGTTAAGAACAGACCTCTTAACCCGAGGTACCACTGTAGTTTGTTAAAGGTGCTGAAAGTGGTTTCACAATTAATTCCTCTTCACAGAGTGCTGGCTGTATCTTTGTACTTTTGTTCTTCTAGTCTGTGATGCTTTTTGGTTTACATTTTTTATTCTTCTTTGTGTGTGTGTGTGTTATGCTTGCAGCTCTTTGTTGTTGTTAACAAATCAATAAAATGCTGTTTCGTGGGGGAAAGCCACCATTACTTGGCACTCATATAAGTGCCCGTTCTGCCGATTGAAACAGTCGAGTGGTCGCAAACTTATTAAAATCAAGCCTGTTTGAAAGTGCTGTGCCTTTCATCAAACCTCCATCAACCACCAAGGCTGTTTCTTGCTTTGTGCTCACTGGCCTCTGATAAGCTGCGATGCACAGCATTGGTCAGACTGAGGGGTGGGGATACTTGTGGTTTTCCAGGTGTTGTTGGACTCCTGCCAGCCCCAAACAGCATGGCCCTTGTCAGGCATGATGGGAGTTGAAGTCTAGAAGTCTCTGGAGGGTCACAGGTTCCCCATCCCTGGTTAATTCTGAACAGAGTCACTTCACAGGGGCCTGCCCAGCAGTGTGGGAAAATCCCCAGCGTCCTGTCAGGGCACTTAAAATATTTTCCAGTTCATTGGCTGGCAGCTGAGCTGCCCCAGGAGATTACATGAGCAGCTCTCTGGGCACAGATCCATTGTTACACCTCGGATGCTTTTGTGGTCACCGCTGGTGTGTTACCCTCTGAGTTGCCTGGCAAGGAGAGTGACGATTTGGGCTGCTTGGAGCGCTTCTGTAAAGACCTGGTGCCAATTGTGCTTGAAAGAAAGAAAGAAAGAAAGAAAGAAAGAAAGAAAGAAAGAATCAACAGATTTCTGAATGAGCAACTGCATTTGGAATATTGAGTACAGTGGTACCTCTGGTTGCGAACAGGATCCGTTCCGGAGCCCCATTCGCAACATGAGCAGAACACAACCTGTGTCTGCACGTGTGTGGGTCGCGATTCGCCGCTTCTGCGCATGATGTCATTTTGAGCATCTGCGCATACGTGAGCGGCGAAACCCGGAAGTAACCCTTTCTGGTACTTCCGGGTCACCATGGGGCGCAACCTGAAAAGACATAACCTGAACCGAGCGTAACAAGAGGTATGACTGTATAGTTCTGGTTGCCTTCCCTCAAAAAGTATATTGTAGAGTTGGAAATGGTCCAGAAAAGGGGCAATCAAAGTGATTAAGGAGATGGAGGGACTCCCCTGTGAAGACAGGTTGTAGAGTTTGGACTCTACTCACCTTGAGATGAGGTGACATGATGGAAATGTGTGAAATTCTGCATGGCACATAGAAAGTGGACAGAGGAAAGTTTTCCTCCCTCTTCCTAACACCAGAACTCATAATAATTCCCGCACAGGACAGCTGCCTATTCCTGCCTTGCGGTGGAGTAGCTGATATGATCCTCAGGGTCCCTTCCAACTCAACAATTCTATGATTCTATTGTTCCAGCAACACTAGATTCAGGATAGATAGAAAAGATGATTTCTTCATGCATCCCATAGTTGCACTATGAAACTTGCTACCACGGGAGGCAGTGATGGCTTCCAACTGGGATGGCATTAAAAGAGGACCAGGCAAATTCATGGTTGAGGAGAGGGCTACCGGTGGCTACTAGTCACAAGGGCCCTGCTCTCCATCCACGGTCAGAGGCCGCAATGCTCCTGAATACAGCGGTACCTCGGGAGGCAAACGGGATCCGTTCCAGAGCCCCGTTCGCATCCTGAACAGAACGCAAGACGCGACAGCACGTCTGTGCATGCGCGGGCCGCGTTTTGCCGCTTCTGCACATGCGCACGACATCATTTTGATCATCTGTGCATGAGCAAGTGGCGAAACCCGGACGTAACATGCTCCATTACTTCCGGGTCGCTGCAGAGTGCGACCCGAAAAATATTATCCTGAAGCATATTTATCCCGAGGTATGACTGTACCGGTTTCTGGGAACTGCAGGAGGGGAGAGTGTTTGTCTTCCTCTCAAATCCTGCTTGCTGGTTTCCCACAACCATCTGGTTGGCCACTGTGAGAACAGGATGCTGGACTGGATCCCTTTGGCCTGATCCAGCTGGGCTCCTCTTACATTCTGAACAGCTATCAGCCATGAAAACTAAAGGCTTATTCATTTAGTTCTGATGTTCCATGATTTCTTCGGTTCGTCCCATGATATCTAGGCATGCGTCTGATGGGTTTTTTCTATTGCCCCCCTGGAAATAGCTGCTGTTTACTGGTGAATCAGAACAAAGATCAATCCACAGAAAACCCAAGAGACGTTTGTTCAAATTCAGCAGTAAACAGTGAGTTTTCAAGGGGAAAGCGACAGAACAAAAGAAAAACCTATCAGGCAGACGTGTGTCTAGAAATCAAGGGGCAAACAGGTGTGGATGAGCCCTAAATGAGACTTCAATGGCCAGAGGCAGTTTACCTGTCAATTCCGAGCGACTATGGGAAGAGGCATCCTTCTGAGAAATGATAAATGCATCAGAGCTCTGCTTATGTGCTCATCCGCCACTCTAGAGGGTGCTAAGTCCTGGTCCCAGCAGACCGGCTTCTCCCACCTCTGCATACAGTGGACCAACATGCAGCTTCCTGGGCAGGGACCACAAAGGCTCCCCAAACCCCCCCTCTGGCAGGAGCCCCCTTTCTCCCCCTCCCCATGCATTAGGTGCACTCTCCCTTCCCGCTCTCCACATGCTCCTTTCATCAGATGCCTTTGAGGTTCTTTAGAAAACAGTACTTAATTAGACCCAGTTACATCCACTGGTGCAGAGAGGCTTCTGTCTGATCTTAAAGGCTTCCCTGTCAAAGCAAAATAATAGTCCCAATTAAATGCATTTTGTTTATTCTGTGAAGTTCAAAAAACAGAGGGGCAGCATGCTCCCTCTTCCCCTGTTCTGGAAGTTTGCACTGCGCTTGCAAAACAGCTGCAGAGAGGACCAGCAACAGCAGTGGGCAGGTTGACTCTGAGGCTCTGGCAGCCGATCCTGGGCCAAGGACCAGGGCCTGCCTGGGGGTGGGGCCAAGCCCAGAGCCTGAACAAGATGGCTCTGCCCCATTTCTCCTCCACTCCGCTACCCTGAGCAGCTCACCACAAGGGCGCCCCAGCATTCAAGCCCCAGCAGATCCCATTGCACACCATCCAACTTTTCCAGAGCCAAAACTGGAGTGTGCGTCTTCCAGGATGCATTCCCGGGTGAGTCAGGTGACCCATGCCACACTCTCAACCTGTGGCGGGAGGGGGGGGGGATATGGCCAAGTCACTCTGCACAGAGCTGACCCCATGCCACCACAGCCTTTTCCACGTCATTTTATTTATTTTATTTAATAAAATTTACACACCACTTGAGGGACGTGGGTGGAGCTGTGGGTTAAACCACAGAGGCTAGGACTTGCCGATCAGAAGGTCGGCAGTTCGAATCCCCGCAACGGGGTGAGCTCCCATTGCTCGGTCCCTGCTCCTGCCAACCTAGCAGTTCGAAAGCACGTCAAAGTGCAAGTAGATAAATAGGTACCGCTCCGGTGGGAAGGTAAACACCGTTTCTGTGTGCTGCTCTGGTTCACCAGAAGCGGCTTAGTCCTGCTGGCCACATGACCCAGAAGCTGTACTCCGGCTCCCTCAGCCAGTAAAGCAAGATGAGCGTCGCAACCCCAGAGTCGGCCATGACTGGACCTAATGGTCAGGGGTCCCTTTACCTTTACCTTTACCTTTACACACCACTTGATTGTAAGGAAAACTTCTAAACTGTTCACGAAGAGGTTTATCAGTAAAAAACAACTCTTTTAAAAGCATTCAGAAGATAAAATCAGACACACTAAAATACTGTTCTCTTACAGATGTTCAGCACGTCTTATGTGGCACCTTTAACAGCACCGATTCCACAGGGGGAAGTGGCTGAGTGCGCAAAGGTGGGATAAGATAAACAGGTCACAAGTTGTTAAGGGCTGCATAATGTACTAAAAGTGGCACCTTGAAAGTAGCCTGCTAGCCGACTGGCTCTCTAGCCTCCTTGCAAGGTGTTGGTCTGGCCTCTGTGCCCGGACCCTCCCTGCGGACTGCTGAGCCCCTGTCACCAGAAGAAGGAGGCGGGCAAAATCCCCCTTTGAGGTTTTGGCACCCCTGAAGCCTCCCAGCGCACTTATCTCACCACAGGTAAAGCCATGACTCATTTTTCCTCTCGCCTGCTGAGGCTTGAGGTCGCTTCTTAGAAAAAAGGAGATGGGGGAGAATGCGCTAATCTGTCACCAAGAAGAACAGGATGTGTGATTCTCCATTCTCCATTTCTACTCCCTCTTGCTTTTGAAGAGGTGTTTCATAACTTTCACTTTATTTTATTTTATTCCCTCTCTTTTCAAATCCTTTTTCTCCCTGCAGGTATTCAATGAGATGGACAATGAAATTAAACATGAAAAGTTTTATTTCAGAAAAGAAAAGAAAAATCTAGATCCGTAGCTGGGAGATACCTTCATTAGCAGAGACAGCCAAAAAGTCACAAAACCGCATAACTTTTCACGGGGCAAGACATTACACAAAGTAGGAGGTGGGGGTGAAGAAAATACCCCAGAAGTATGAAGATGAGGCTGGGCAAAGTGTGTTTACTCCCAGTTCCAAGAAGGAGACCGCAGGTTGCCTTCTAGACCAGGAGTCAGCAAACTTTTTCAGCAGGGGGCCAGTCCACTGTCCCTCAGACCTTGTGGGGGGCCGGACTATATTTTGAAAAAAAGAAAAGAATGAATTCCTATGCCCTACAAATAACCCAGAGATGCATTTTAAATAAAAGCACACATTCTACTCATGTAAAAACACGCTGATTCCCAGACCGTCCGCAGGCTGGATTGAGAAGGCGATTGGGCCAGATCCAGCCCCCGGGCCTTAGTTTGCCTCCCCATGTTCTAGACCAGGAGTCAGCAACCTTTTTCAATCCACTGTCCCTCAGACCTTGTAGGGAGCCGGACTATATGGGGCAGGGGGAATGAATGAATTCCGATGCCCCACAAATAACCCAAAGCTGCATTTTAAATAAAAGGACACATTCTACTCATGTAAAAACATGCTGATTCCCAAACCATCCGTGAGCCAGATTTAGAAGGCGATTGGGCCGGATCCAGCCCCTGGGCCTTAGTTTGCCTACTCATGTTCTAGACCATCACTGTGTTTGGAAAGAATTGGGAAGGATAATTGATTGGGAGCTCTTGCACAACAAACCCGTTCCCCCCAAAGACCAGATGTTTTGTGGCAAAGCAAAGAAACTGATGAGGATGCGTAGGATAACAATTCCTTTTGATGCAACATTACCTAATCTCCTTGAGAACAAATCAGGATGAATGCTCATTCAACAGATACACCATAAGGATGTCGCTGCCATTTTTCCATAAGAATGTAAGAGGAGCCTGGCTGGGTCAGGCCAAAGGGGCCCATCCAGCCCAGCCTCCTGTTCTCACAGTGGCCAACCAGGTGTCCAGAGAGAAAGCTAAAAGCAGGACAGAAGCACTAGAGCACTTTCCCCTCCTGTGGAACTCATTCCTGCAAAGAATGAGGCAGGGATGACCACCAACCAAGGCAGCTTTGAAATAGAGTTGGACAAATTCATGGAGGAGGAGGAGGAGGAGGAGGAGGAGGAGGAGAGGTCTATCAATGGCTACTAGCCAAGATGACTACGCACTGTCTCCATGGCTGGAGGCAGCAGTGCTTCTGAACACCAGTTGTGCTCATGTTCTGCTTACTGTTTTCCCACAGGTGTCTGGTTGGCCACCATGAAGAAGAAGAAGAAGAAGAGGAGTTTGGATTTGATATCTCGCTTTATCACTACCCGAAGGAGTCTCAAAGCGGCTCACATTCTCCTTTCCCTTCCTTCCCCACAACAAACACTCTGTGAGGTGAGTGGGGCTGAGATACTTCAAAGAAGTGTGACTGGCCCCAGGTCACCCAGCAGCTGCAGGTGGAGGAGCGGGGAATCGAACCCGGTTCCGTAGATTATGAGTCCACTGCCCTTAACCACTACACCACACTGGCTACCAGGGTGCTGGAGCAGATGGGCCCCCTTTGGCCTGACCCAGCAGGTGGTTCTTATGTTGACAGACCTCCAAGGTCATCCACAGGGCAGCCATCTTTTAAGGTGGAGGAGATGGGCACTGACCACGATGTCCTTTCTGCACCAGAACCCAAAGGTCTCAACGCACTCAAATGCCTCTTCTCTCCTTTCCGTTCTTCAGTTCCCCTTTTAAAGTATCAATAATGGGAGTGCTTACTGGGACCCCTGAACAATTCAACCCTTATATTTTATTTATAACCACTGGAGCTCAGAAAACAGTCAGAACAAGGACACAAAAAATAAAATAAAACCATAACACTTTAAATAATTGAAGGCAAAGGTATTAAAAGTACACAGGCAGTTACAGTTGTTGCAGAAATTCATCCCCACAGACCTGACGGTGCACACAGTGGCTGCATTTTTAATTTTTAAAACATATTTCTTTCGGAATTATCCAGTAATACAAGAGAGCCGCATTTATGGGGTGATAAATTACTGCAATAAACTGCCTGATGTCCAAAGGCAGAGGGAACGAGCCACCACCGAAGGAGGAACGCAAATGGGCTGGCCCTGGAGAGCCCCAGGAGACCCGTGAGCAGGGGAGGTAGAAGGCGGCTCCTAGCGAGCTCTTGGCCTTAATTACTGGGAGGGCTTCATCCTGCCTGTTCTTGGAGGCCTTTTTTTTGCTTCAGCTTCAGATTTCTTTTTGTCTATCAGCCCTGGGTGTTGTGCATTTTGAGAGGAGAGCTGAAACTGGAATCCCACACAAGAAAAACTCGCTTTGCCACAGAAAAGCGAATGAGGAAGTGGGGGGAAAGAAGGCAATCCTAGCTTGCATCAACATAAGTCAAGTGTCCAAATCAATCATAGCACTACAGTGGTACCTCGGGTTAAGTACTTAATTCGTTCTGGAGGTCCGTTCTTCAACTGAAACGGTTCTTAACCTGAAGCACCACTTTAGCTGATGGGGCCTCCTGCTGCTGCCGCGCCGCCAGAGCACGATTTCTGTTCTCATCCTGAAGCAAAGTTCTTAACCCAACGTACTATTTCTGGGTCAGCGGAGTCTGTAACCTGAAGCGTATGTAACCTGAGGTACCACTGTACTCTATTCAGCTCTGGTCAGTTCTGGGCGCCAGTTCTGTGTCCAGATCTGGGCGCCACAATTTAAGAGGATGTTGACAAGCTGGAAGGTGTACAGAGGAGGGCAACCAGGATGACCAGGGTCTGCAAACCAAGCCTTATGAGGAACAGTTGAGGGTGTTGGGTATGTTTAGCCTGGAAAAGAGGAGAGAGAGAGAGGAGAGCCGTCTTCAGATATCTCAAGGGCTGTCGCATGGAAGAGGGAGCAAGCTTGTTTTCTCCTGCTCTGGAGGGTAGGACTCAAACCAATGGCTTCAAGTGACAAGAAAGGAGATTCTGACTAAGCATCAGAAAGAACTTCAAGTTACAAGAAAGGAGAGTCAGATGAAATATCTGGAAAAAACTTTCTGACACTAAGAGCTGTTCAACAGTGGAACAATCTCCCTTGGGAGGTTGTGGGCTCTCCTTCCTTGGAGGTTTTTAAGCAGAGGTTGGATGATCCTCTGTCAGGGATGCTTGAGCTGAGATTCCTGCATTGCAGGGGGCTGGACTAGATGGCCCTCAGGGTCCCTTCCAGCTCTATTATTATATTACCCTTCCACGTTGTCAGGATCCAAACATTCCGAAGGAGCCTTTGACAATCTGCTGCCCTCCAGATGTTTTGGACAGCAATTCCCACCAGCTCCCGATCAGCATGGCCTTACGATGGTGGGGTTGATGGGAGTTGAGTGGCACCAGGTGGGGGGAGGCTGTTCTAAAGGAACTCTTGTAAGCTCTGGCTGAAAAAAGGCCCTGGGATCAAAGGAGGCAAAAGCCAGCCTCTTCCTCTCCTTTTCCCTTGATGCCCAGAGGGTCCTAGGTTCACTCCAAGGCAACTCCAGATAGGACTGGGAAGGACCTTGTTAGATTGTGGGTGAACATATCAGACGACACAGCGATTCTTCAAACAGCTCTTGTTTATTCACAGGCCAGAACAGAACTGAACTAAAGGGTTCAGCCAGCCTGCTTATATAGAGCTCCAGTACAACGTAACTGTAACAACTTTCTAAAACTATCCAATCACTGAACGTTACTTTCGATCCCTTATTTGCATAACTATCTACAGTATCCCCCTGCTGGCCCAGGGTGAGAACTTCAGTACATAACAGACCTTCCATTTCAAACCCTGTGGTGCCACAACTGAGGTAGATGGACTCGGTCTGGCTCAGCATAAGTCAGCTTCCTATGTTCCTATGTTAAGACAGAAGACAGAAAGTAAGAAGTTATTCTGAGGTGTGTCTGCACAAGAACCAGTCTCAGTAACCACTTTACTGCTACAAAGCCAGTACAGTCATACCTTGGGTTACAGATGCTTCGGGTTGCGTGATTTCGGATTGCGCACCGCACCGAACCCAGAAGTACCGGAATGGGTTACTTCCGGGTTTCAGTGCTTGCACATGCGCAGAAGCGCCAAATCGCGACCCACGCATGCACAGATGAGGCCCTGCAGGTTGCGAACACAGCAGGTTGCGAATGTGCTTCCCGCACGGATCACATTCACAACCCGAGCGTCCACTGTACAAGTAGGGATGGCATTATAAGAGGACTGGACGAATTCATGGAGGGGAGGGCTAGGGATGGCTCTGCTTCCACAGTTTGGGGCAGTAATGCTTCTGAATTCCAGTTACTGGAAACCACAGGACAGGGAAAGAAGAAGAAGAAGAAGAAGAAGAAGAAGAAGAAGAGGAGGAGGAGGAGGAGTTTGGATTTGATATCCTGCTTTATCACTACCCGAAAGAGTCTCAAAGCAGCTAACATTCTCCTTTCCCTTCCTCCTCCACAACAAACACTCTGTGAGGTGAGTGGGGCTGAGAGACTTCAGAGAAGTGTGACTGGCCCAAGGTCACCCAGCAGCTGCATGTGGAGGAGCGGGGAAGCGAACCCGGTTCCCCAGATTAGGAGACTACCGCTCTGAACCACTACACCACACTGGCTCTCAAGTGTTTGACTTGTGCTCAAATCCTGTTTGCGGGTTTCCCAGAGGCATCTGCTTGGCTACTGTGAGACCAGGATGCTGGACTAGGTGGGTTCCTTCGACCTGATCCAGCAGACCAGGATGCCAGCCTCCCAACGGTGAGCAACAAGGGAGCAAACAGAGCACAACGCAGCAGATTGGGGAATGGCCTGCCTCCATTTTAGTTCAGTGAGATGACTTGGAAAGACTGTTTTGCACAAGTGTCGTCTTGCACCAGGCAGTAGTCAGGCAAGGGCAGACAGACTCACCGCCATCAGCCTTCTCCATGATGGGAAAATCAGACCCCAGCTGCACACGCTGCAGAATTTCCTTTGGCCTCAGCCTGCACTTCACCTCGGGACTCTGGAAGAAGCTCAGCGTTTTTCAGACAGTGTCCTATTAAGTTACCCTAAAGTATTTTCAAAGGGGGTGTTCTCTTGCCTGCAATTCTGCTTGAGTTAACAAGAAATGACAGAGTTGGGGATATATATATATGAGCCAGGCAAGCAGAAATCTAACCGGAAGGCAGACAAAGCAACAGGAACCAACTTGAAATTACGTGAATAAGTTTGTGCTTGTTCTGAGCTGCTCTCCCAGGGCGAACAGCGCCAGAGGTCGCTGTTTTGAAAAGGACCCAAATCACTCATCATGCTGAGTGACTCAAAATCCATTGTCATGGTTTTTATGCAAAGTCTTTTCATTTTGGGGGAGAAATACCTGGGCTTGGATTTATCTGGGCCTCCAGAAAGAGGCTGTTCTCTTTTTCAAACAAAGTTTTATTAAGACCTTTTATAATACATTACAATATAAAAAGCTACTGATCAAAAACAAAGCAATAAAGAGAAAAGAGGAATACAAAGTGAACCCTCCCATCTCTCACCTGGGAGCTTCCTTCCACCCTGGGAGACCTTCCCTTCCCCCCCCCCTGCAGGGTCCTGCCAACTATCCACCACCTTCACCTGCATGGTAAAGGTAAAGGTAAAGGGACCCCTGACCATTAGGTCCAGTCGTGACCGACTCTGGGGTTGTGGCGCTCATCTCTCTCTTTAGGCCAAGGGAGCCGGCGTACAGCTTCCGGGTCATGTGGCCAGCATGACTAAGCCGCTTCTGGCGAAACCAGAGCAGCGCACGGAAACGCCGTTTACCTTCCCGCCAGAGAGGTGCCTATTTATCTACTTGCACTTGCTTTCGAACTGCTAGGTGAGCAGGAGCAGGCACCGAGCAACGGGAGCTCACCCCGTTGCGGGGATTCGAACCGCTGACCTTCCAATCTGCAAGCCCTAGGCTCTGTGGCTTAACCCACAGCACTACCCGTGTCCCCACCTGCATGTCAACCCCATCTGTGCTCCTCAAAGGAAGGAGGCTGTTCTGGGCTTCTCACCTCATCATCACCCTCTGCTGTTCCTGAGCAGCATCAAAGCAGCAAGGGGAGTGAAAAGTCTGCTGATTCCTGTGACCCTGGCTAGCTGCCTGAAAAGTCACCGAGCACTTGGGCTCCCTTGGCAAAGCATGAGGCATGAGAAGAGCATGAGAAGAGCATGAGGTGTACCACCTGATCCCACATCCTGCTCTCAGCAAGCAGCAGACAGAACATGAGAACAAGAGCCTCCCCTCCCCTCCCCTCCTATACTTTCCGGCAACGTACAGTGGTACCTTGGGTTACAGACGCTTCAGGTTACAGACTCCGCTAACCCAGAAATATTACCTCGGGTTAAGAACTTTGCTTCAGGATGAGAACAGAAATCACGCAGCAGCAGCGGGAGGCCCCATTAGCTAAAGTGGTACCTCAGGTTAAGAACAGTTTCAGGTTAAGAACGGACCTCCAGAACGAATTAAGTACTTAACCCGAGGTACCACTCTATTCAGAAGCAGCGCTGCCCCCAACTGGGCAGGCACCAACTCTAGGGG